ACGTAGTTGCTGCTCCGGAAGCAGTGGTCCATCACGGACAGGAGGCAGTTTCCGTCCGGCGGCAAGTAGATGCGGACCACTTCGGGAGACTTGTTGCACACAACATCCAGGAAACCGGGATCTTGATGGGTGAAGCCGTTGTGGTCTTGACGCCAGACAGTCGCCGTCAACAAGATGTTGAGAGAGGCAATCTTGGCACGCCATTCGACTTCGAGGCATTTCTCAATCCACTTGCAGTGCTGGTTGACCATCGAGTCGATAATGTGGATGAAAGGCTCGTAGCTGTTGAGCATCCCATGGCGCCCAGACAGAAGGTAGCCTTCGAGCCAACCTTCCACGGTATGCTCGCTGAGTATCTCCATGACACGGCCTTCGAAGGCCAGGTTGCCACCGTCTTCATCTTCTTCAAAGTATTCGCCCATCCACACTTTCTTGCCAGCCTTGTAGACTCCGGCGAGCTTGTTGGATTCTGTCTCATCTGGTCCGAAAAGGCGGAAGTTGTGTGGGTTCTTCGAGATGATGTCTCGCAGGAAGACGGCCATGTTCGACATGCTGGGTGCTTCTGTAACGCCCCCTTTGTCGCATGCAATCTCGTAGTCACGGAAGTCGGGCATGAGCAGCGGCTTCTTCAAGAGTCCACCGTTGGCGATAGGGTTCGCAGCCATCCGCCGGTTGCCTTCTGGCACCAGCTTCTTCAGAGCTGGGATCAGTTTACCGTCCTCTCCAAAGTACTTCTCAGGTGTATAGCTCTTCATCCACTGTTCAAGGAGCTTCAGATGCTCGGGGCTAGACGCCACGTCTGGAAGGGGAATTTGATGGGCTCGCCAGAAGCCTTCGAGGTAGTGACCATCCACTGTTCGTGGCCCAGTCCAGCCCTTGGGGCTTCGAAGGACGATCATAGGCCACAGAGGCCGGAACGCCTTTCCTGATTCACGTGCTTTCTTTTGGTGGGCTCGAATCTCCAAGACGCACTTTTCCAAGGTGGCAGCCATGGCCTGGTGCATGCTCAGGGGATCGCTTCCTTCGACGAAATACGGAGTCCAACCATAGCCGACGAACAGCGCCTCCAGCTCTCGGTGGCTGATACGGGCGAGCACGGTAGGGTTGTTGATCTTGTAGCCATTGAGGTGAAGAACAGGGAGAACGGCCCCGTCGGTGATGGGGTTGAGGAATTTGGTGCTGTGCCAGCTGGTTGCCAAAGGACCCGTCTCGGCCTCACCATCGCCGACCATCGTCAAAGCGATCAGGTTGGGGTGGTCGAAGACAGTGCCGAATGCATGTGAAATACTGTATCCGAGCTCACCTAGGCAGAATGTTAGTTGGCACCGATTATGGGGTTCGTGGTACTGTTACTCACCTCCCTCGTGCAAACTGCCAGGCGTCTCTGGGGTAGCATGGCTACCGATGCCGCCGGGAAAAGAGAACTGCTTGAAGAATTTCCGCATGCCTTCTTCATCTTCGGATTTGTCCGGGTAAACTTCGCTATAGACACCCTCCAGGTAGGCTTGAGAGATGACGGCGGGCGCTCCGTGTCCCGGTCCAGAAATGAAGATGACGTCGAGGTCATACTTTTTGATCAGGCGGTTCATGTTGACATAGGTGAAAACTTGACCGGCGTCGGACCCCCAGTGTCCAAGGAGTCTGGCTTTCAGATGCTCGAGACTGAGCGGCTCTTTGAGGAGAGGGTTCTTTTTGAGGTAAAGCATGCCCAGGCAGAGATAGAGACTCGCTCGCATGTAGTCATCCTGGAGCTTCAATTCCTCGCTGCTGAGAGGCTCGCCCTTGGCGGTAGAGCGGGCTTTCCCGTAGGGCGAGATGCTCTCGGCAGAGACATCCTCCAGGACGGTGGGCGACATGGTGGAAGAAGATGACAAGGAAGACGACTGAAACCGATCCTGAGAAGGAGATCTATAAGGAGCAAGAACGGAAGGGAGGTTTGAGTGTTTAGCTTGGAGGAGGTAGAGGTGAGGTTGTGGTGAGAGGAGAGTGAGGTTTAGGTGACGACAGGCGGAAACGAGGAAAGGTTTATATACCAGTCAATGATGATCACATCTACTGCCTGCCTACAGATGGATGGATAGCTACGTATTGTAACCCAGGATCAAATCATGACAACAGGAAACCTTGTCGTAACGGATGGCGGCAGGCACCGTGGGTTGATTTCATTGCTAATCTCTCGGTAGCGGCACCAGGTCGACAAGCATTGTGATGGGGATGAATGGGGACGAGGGACATTCTTTTACCATACTCGCCGTCTAGACTTGTCGCCTCCAGTTATGCACCAAGTTGGTTGCATCAGAGTGCATTCAATGCGAGCTGCTCGATCCCTGCACGTGTCCGAACAAGGTTACAGGTGGTTGATCCGGAGCATATGCTTTGGAGCGAGCTGCATCGTGAGCAAGCTGACTGTTCCCCCAAGGAAGAGCAAAAGGCTGGCGAAACCTTCCTGACGCGGCCAGAGCACGGATCCACGGATACGAGAAATGTACGAGTGAGGACGCTGGCAGGGGAGCTTTGAAGACTGGGAATGAGATGGCACCCAATGGGAGTCAACAGGCGGGAAGCTCTGCAACCCTTTGGAGCATAGAAGGGAAGTTGCCGCTGACATGATCTGATGGTAATGGAGGACAGTGGAGGACAGGGGGGGTAATAGGTTGGCCAAGGAATATCAGGAGATGCATAAACTTTGGAATGGCACGAACATGTGAGGAATTTGTTTGATGGAGCGGCTGGTGGGTGGCTTTGGACGCCTTTGAAAGCTTTGGAGGGCAATGGAGGGCAATGAGGGCAATTGAGGGGTGGTGTGAGGAACTCATGCATCACCACCCCCATTAGGCTTAGCGGTATTTATGCCTGCATCCGAGCCACTGGCCACGAGCTGCGGACGCGATGTGCAGCCTGCGCTCGGCTGTCCGGACTCTAGTCCTTCAAGTTCTGGTCATTCTAGTCGCTCTATTCACTGTATCCACCCTGATGCCTGACCACCGATTGACTTTGGGTCACTCACCCCATCTGGGTGCCATTCATTCCCACGCACTGAATCCTGCCTGATCCAGATACCGGCGAGATCCACGAGAGCACCACAAGGCATCAGCTCGACGAGTTGGCCGTCGGACTTGTCCCCCCAGGGTGCCATGTGCTGCCATGGGCTGCTCGGAAAAGAGGTTGGAAGAGGAAAAATACCGCAGCTACTGTAGGATAGGGACGAAGCGAGCCGATGACAATGCCACTCTATTGACTCTATCGCAATGCCCAACGTCGCAACGGACGAGGCTGGATCGAAGAGTCTTCATGCTCCAATCTGACAACTTGACGCTTGGTTCCACTCTGGTATCTCTTCGACTCTGTCCCCAAACCCTGAGATCATGGAGAGCTCGGCACAAACGAGGTCTTTATCCCGTCTTGACAAACCCTCCTCTTTCTCCGGCTGTCTCAAGGCTGGGAGCTCGTTGTTGAGGATCTATCCACCCCCAAAGTTCAGCAAACGCTAACCCTCGTATGCAAGATTGCCGGGCCATGCGTCGATCAGGTCGTTAACGAAAGTATCCGTATCCTTGTCCGGCACCAGCAATAGGTGCTGTGCATGTGGCGGAAACAGCCGTTCCATCACATCTGATCCGTCCTTGTGCCGTATGGGGTATCGAGTCAGGGGTGGCTTTGCCGAGGGGGATCTGGGACGGACGTGCCTTGATGAGGGGTCCCATCTGGAAGTGGAAGTGGAAACGACAAATGGTGGTGCTGCAAGAGCCGATCAAAAATGACGGCCTTTCTATTGGCCAAGTCGAGACGCTTGATCTCGTGCGTGAGTTGACTTGGCCTATACCTAGGAGGTCAACATGTGAGTGGTTTTCCGTGGTATATGGTCCTGCCCATTAGCAATCAACTCCAGATTCGAGGCTGCCAGCCCTACCTTGGTCAAAAGGCTGCGAAAGCCACATTCTCACCGTACACTGAACCTTTTTTTCCATGTCCTGAGCAGCTGGATGGCCAGAAGGCTTATGTCTAGAAGCTCGTCTTTTCTGCTGGGCAAGACCTGTCAACTGTCCAGCGATCAGTGACTGCGATAATACCCGGGCAGTGGCTGAGGACTTTTTCATTTTCAGAGAGCTTCGCGGCCGGTAAGCTTGATCCTTTGTTTTCTTTCTCATTCGTTGTTGCTGGTGTTTGGCCTGGTGAATGCTCTGGTGAAGCTTCAGCACAATAATGGCTTCGTACCCAATGCTTGGATTACTCGATTGAGGATCGATGATGCCGGCGTCGCCCTGAGGACAAATTGCGAGTGCCTTCTGTATAGGTCAACACTTACTGAGAAGTCGAGACCGAATGGGTCAGCAGTCTTTGACAATGTGCGTGCAAAGCAATCTCAGGTCAACGTGTGTAAGGCTTTGGTGATGTTAGGGCGTCTTCATCCTTGACCGTCGACAGACTGCGCTCGGCATGGACACGGACATTGTCATTGTCATCAAGCGGCGAGGTCTTCAAGTTCTTCATCATCTCCCAGGCGTGGAATGCGACGGTATCTAATGTTGAAGGTGCACGTGAAATAGGATGCTTCTCGTATACAATCTTGGAAGGGGAACGTGTGAGCTGCACTGGCACACTGGCACCTTGCATATCTCTCTTGCCTGATCAGGAATTTGTGTTGAACGTTGCGGGGTTCACTTTGCCCGGCGGACTTGAGCACCACCCGCGCAGTTATCAATTCATCTCCATTCACTCAATCAATCGATCCCATCGTCCATCAATCAATGAACCCCTCTCCTCCCAAGTCTCATCTCTCTCTTGCCTTTCTCGTCTTATCACAAACATACTCCCAGGAACCCTAATGGGCGCCTCGCCGCGTCTATCTCGTGTCTTACTCATGTTGTAGGTATAAAACATGCAGCCTCACCCTCCCTCTCCCAGGTAATTCGTTCCGTCTCCATCCTCGTCCTCGTGCTGCTTCTCTCTCACCTCCCTATTTTCGTGCCTTCTATAACCCAATCCTCGCTACCTCCACCATGTCGACCACGACAACCACCACCACCTTCACCCAAACCCTCTCCTCTCCTCCTTCCGACGAGCCTCAGTATTATGGCAAGTTGCGCTACATCCCTCAGGGCCAGACCCCAACCCCATCCCCTCACAACTTCCATCTCCCTGCCATGGCTGAGTTCGGTGACGTGCGGCTTCAACCTCTCATCGACATGCGCCCTGTCCCAACCATTGCTGAACTGCCCAAGGCAAAGGAAGGCGCCGCCCAGCTCGACACCCACGGCTTCACTGCCATCCGTCACCCAACAAGCATGAACGCGGCCCCTTATACCCGTGAGAGTTGGAGTGACCCTAACTTGCTGAAGAAACTCTACGTTCCCGAGACGGAGGAGATGGTTAAGCAAGTCACGGGCGCGAAGACCGTCATCACCGAAGCTCTTCTTCTGCGCAGCGCCATCTGGTCCGAAGCAGACGCCCTAGCTACCCATGCAGGCCACGGGGACCAAAAGGAAGAACAGCAGCAGCAGCCGCAAGAGAAGTCGCAGGAAGAGAAGGATCTCGAACTCGGTTTCCCCCAGTTCATCGGCTTCTCCAAGCAACACGGCGGCGCCAGTCCCGCCCCGAAAGTCCACCTGGACTACGCGCCCAACGGCGCCCGGATGCACTTGAGAAAGTACCACCCGACAATGACGGCCGTCGCGCAGCCCATCATCGACGCCGAGGAGGAACTGCTCGCCCAGGGGAAATCGCTGAGAGAAGAGTACGCCGAGTCCGGCCTCGGACCCCGCTGGGCGCTGTACTCCATCTGGCGGCCCTTGAAGCGCGTGCGCCGTGATCCCCTGGCCCTGGGCGACGCGCGCACGTTCCTCGAGAGCGACTACGTCCCCGTCGTGGTCAAGACGCCCAACCTCGGCATCTCCCCGGACTCCAAGGAAACACACGACACCGAGTCGTACCTCGCCCGCTGGTCGTCGGGACAGAAGTGGTACTTTATCAGCCAGCAGGAGCCCGAGGAGGTGCTGGTCATTGGTCTCTTTGACAGCAACCGCGACAAGGAGACTGTCGCCGCCGGCGGCACTTTGCATTCCAGCGTGGATCTGCCGGGGACCGAGAACGAAGAGCCCAGGGAGAGTCTGGAGCTCCGATGTCTGGCCATCTGGTAGGGTATGTGCGGTCCAGTATCGAGATGGCCGGGTTGGCATATATACCTAGGTACTCGTTGAAGCTATGTGAATATTGGAGTTACGTGGATGAAGATCAGAAAGGAGCTCGGGCGCTGCGCGGAACATATATATAGACATTTGGATGTCTGTGGAATCCGCAGTTTCTAGTCACGTAGTTCGCGATAGATTGATGTGATGTAGAATTTGGAAGGTCCGAGCCCTTAAGTCTTGAGTTTTTCTAGTTATTTCGTACAACTGGTTGCGGGCTTCTGGTATCCTGTTCGCTGCGGACCCAGTCACACGTCATTTGGTCACCGCGCAAGTCTCTTTTTGTGGTTCGTATCCTGCAACGCGCTCTTGGGTCTTGTGTCCAGAAGAGGGCACAACTTAAGTAACCCAACCGACCGACCGACCAAGCACCAAGCACCCATCTATCTCATCGTACGCACGCCGCCGAAGATCGCGAATCACCATCGGCACATGAAGGAGCGACCATAACCACGTGGCGTTCAGTCAGTTAGAGGCAGTCCGCTACTGCTTGAGCGCCAAGCCGATCGAATTGAGGTATTGACACCTCTTCCTGACGGCGGTGCTGACCGCGGCCATGCCCGTCGTGTCGGCCGTGTCGAAGAGCATTCTCATCCAGTCACCACCACCGCCACCACTAACACCGTCATTGTCGCCGTCACCAGCACCAGCACCAGCACCAGCGCTGCCCTCCTCGTCTGCCAGCGTAAACTCCCGCCACATGGGTGCGCCCTGGATCCTGAACGGATTCGGGTCCAGGACGCGAATGAAGCTGATCCAATACCCCTGCATGAGTGGCACGATCCACGCATTCGGACCGCCGTTGCGGTAGCTCGCCGGGCTGGCGCCGTTGGGGATGTTGTCGGGCCCCCAGATGGCCGCGAGCTCGACCGTGTGCGGCACCCCCAAGCCCTGGCGGATTTGGGCCGCGTCGGCCACGTTGTACCAGTAGTTCCAGTTTTGCGGCACGCCGTACCGCGCGTAGGCCGACGAGATGAACAGGTTCGGACACATGTACCGCATGTCCCCGTAGACGTTGGAGACTTGTCGCCACCAGGAGCCCGAGTTGGGGAATTGAGGCCCGTTGTTTGGGTATAGTTGGTCGAGACGCTGGAGCTGGTCGATCGTCAGTTGCGGGAATTGGTTGTGCAGGAACGTGTTGGACTGGGCCTGGCTGGATGTCCCCCGAGGAGTGAAGATCGTCCCGCCGTTGGTGTCGTCGCCGAACAGGACGGGGACTCTCAGAAAGTTGCCGTTGTCAAAGGCGGCGTAGGTGTAGTTTTGAATCAGGGCGTTGTCCAGGACCGGGTTCCACATGTACAGAGGCGGGTTTTGGGCACCTGGATACGGCGGCACATTGTGGGTTTGGGCCTGAAACTGTGCTGTTGTCTTGGAGCGGAGACACGACAGCGTGTCATCCTTGACGGTTGCATCTTGACTGCTGGCGGTGCGAGGCGCGCAGCCTAGGCTTTTCGCTAGGTTGTCGTACTGGTACTGACTTTCCTCGACGGTCAGGATGGGTGCGAAACTGACCGATTCGGCGGCTGCAGCGACAAATAATCCGTCATCTCGACCGCCGTATGCCGTTAGATGGTAGGCGATGGATGCGGCACCTGCGGAATCTCCTCCGAGAACAACATGCTTGGGGTCTCCGCCGAACTGGGATATGTACTTCTGCACCCATTCAAGAGCTTTGGTCCTTTAGACCGTTGTTCAAGCTGGCGGAAGGCGAGTCTTGGATTTCCCGACTGGCGAGAAACCCATATGGCCCAACGCGGTAGTTAAAGGTCACGACGATAAGCCCATGGCCAGACGTGGTGATCAAGCCGCTGCCGTTGTGATTCGAATTGGAGTTGAAGTTGAAGCCACCACCTTGAATGAAGAAATAGACCGGCAGACTGGAGGTGTTGGTCGCGCGGCTTGGAGCGTAGACATCCAGGAAGAGACAGTCTTCGGATAATGTTGGGTCGTGAGCATTGCTACCCGTTCCAAAGCAGAGGGCACCGTGCTGAAGATGTAGTTAGCGATAGCTGAGAACCGGGCCGTGAAGTGTATATATAAGTCACCTTGTCAGCTACGCGGATATCGTCGGTGACGGGAGGATCTTGGGGTGCAGCGAATCTCAAACTGCCCGTCGGCGGTGCGGCATATCGCATCCCAAGCCACTGAGTGATGCCATTCGGAAGAGCTGTGCCTTTGTAAGACGTGTATTCGAGGCGGACTAAATCATTTGTGGCCAACACTGTCGAGAGACAACCAAGAACCAGGGCTGGGCGCATCGTCAGCTGGAAGTGTAGAGCTCGAAGCTGAGTGCGCGCGTCTGCGAGTGAATGAGAATTTTCATTGAGCCACACCCTTGAAACACTGGCAAGAGTTCATCCTGGCCGACGGTTCATTTCCAAATCCACGATCTTCAGAAATTCAGTGAATCCCCCCTTGTTTCCGCAGTCAGCCCCGTCTTGAGGAATAGTACTTTCACTCGAGGTGTTCGGTGACGCGACTGCGCGAGGCGCAGCGCGCAAAAAGAAAGCCCACCATGCCAGTGGTTTGGGAGAGTCTTTCTAGGACGGCAGCACGGCTGTTGCTGGGTAGTTAAAGCTCTGGGGTATGAGCAGCGTTGTAGTAACGTAGTTCTGGTTCCAATGAACACGATGTTTTGGTACACGCGGCCAGTCCCGGTTTTGATCAAATTTCTGCGTCATCGCGGGCCTAAATAGCGCGGCACAGGTAAGCTAAAGGTCGAATGCAGCGGGATATGTCCGGTGACAGTCGAGAGTTGTAGAGGAGCATAGAAGTATTTCCCACAGAAGAGTTTTGTTTGGATGACAGCTGTGTCGATTCCATAATGGTAATTAGACGCTGAATTGATGTCAATGGGGCACCGCATCGGCAATTCCCGCTCTCACGACCTCCCAGTTGATCCCCCCAATGCTGTCGCCTTTGAGCCTGCTCAGCGCAGTTGAATCACTTGTTGACCTTCCCATGGCGATTGTCCTTGCCATGAGCGAGTCCTTCGCACCAGGCAGCTTGGAAGCTGCACCGTCCAATATGCAACGCTCGAACCAAGCTTCCTCCTGCGCGGTCAACGGCAGCCCAACAAGAAGCGCAGCTCGCTCCGAACGAGATTGTCCAGGGCTGTTCTGATGTACGGCAACAACAAGTTTGTCAAACAGCATTTTGTGTTTTGCTTCGTTTTGTCTTTGTGCGAAATAATATGCCTCCACTAGGTTATTGGTTATGATTAACTCATAATACGCCTCGAGCACCGCTGGATCTTCCAGTGGTGGGGACATAGCAATGTAGTAGGCGGTCGCCAATGAAGGCTCGCATTTTGGATGTCGGAGTAGGGTAAGGAGGATCTCGTCGGTGAAGGTGGGTGTTAGCGAAGGGTCTGTGAGGTGTTCAAGGGCGCGAGAGAATTGAGCGTGATCGAGTTCCCATAAGCCGGCCATGAGAAGCTGCCATCTTTGAGGGAGGTGTGTTCTTCGGGCAAAGTTCAAGTCGGCGTTTTGCAGCTGGCGACAGTCTCTGAGCAGGTAGTAAAGAAGGGCGAGTTTCTGCTCCTCGGGAGCCGTGGACTGAACGATCTTGGACCACAAATTGCGCAGATCCTGGTTGGACCGGGGTGGATAGTTATTCCTTGCAGCTGATTTCTTGATCAGTAAACGGACACACGCTGATGCAGAGCGTAATCTCACGTCTTGTAAGCCCAATTGTCCTCCAGATGCGGTCAAAGAATAGTTGGTCGCCGAACTCCTTGCGGTGCTTGATGATGCTCTCTACCGTTCGGGCGTCGTAGGCATAGTCAGCCTTTGGCTGAAAGACTGCGTCAAAATCGTGCCAGTTGAGCATTTTCTCTACTGTGGTAGCAGGTTCCGCCGGACGCTTTGTTATGGAATATGAGGGACCTGAACATGGGAGTGTGACTTGGCTATCCAGTAGCAATTCCCTTCGCGTGGATGGCGTGTGGCATCAACAATCTTCTCCGCACCCCATCACGTGACAGCCTACAAGTCCCGCGTATTAGATAAGCGTAAGACCCCCCACCAGGTTTTGTACCAACCTAGTTTTGCACCACGCGTTCTACAACCTCACCACCTCGATACTACCAACTTATACTAACCATCACGTAACTAATTAGCCATTAATCACGCGTCAATAACATCGAATCGAGAGGCTAGGATCTAATAGACTATTATAGACTATTAATAACGTAGATATCCCTCTATTCGCGCGGCCGCGGCCGTAAACGACGTCTATTATTCTACACTAGTTCGCCGTCTATAGGGCTATCAATCGCTTTTATTATCCTACGAATCGTAGTAGCTATTATTAAACTAATAGAAGACTCTATTAAAGAGATAGATACTCGATCTAGAAGTATAAGAATACGCGCCTAGCTATCGAACTATCTAAGATCTCGTAGGGATAATTAGCGAGTTAAACGACGACCCTCGACGCGTTAGAATTAACTAGCTACTACGATATCTAGAACGGAATCCTAACGTTAGAACTAAGGTAGACTAAAAGATCTATACTAAACGCGTTAATTATACCCTTTCTAAGTTATTAGTAAACTAGTTTAGCGACCTAGTAGGCGTTAAAGAGCGATATAATATATAGTCTAAGAATAGCTAGAATATAGACAAATCTAGTACGGCTCTAGATATCTATAGTAACTAATTAGTTATTAGTATATTAGCTACTACTAGATTACTTAAAAAAACGCCTAAGACGCGCGAATAGATAACGATTATTAAGATAGTATCGGCTCTAGACTTACGTCTATAATCGCTAGTTATCTTTAAAGACTAATCGCTCTAGACTACTTAGTTTAACGAGGGTAGTTCTATCTATCGATATATAGTGTCTAATAATAGCTATATATTAAACGAGATAGGTCTAGTCTAGCTAGACTAGATATTTATATCTTAAACGGCTAACGAAGACACTATCCGCGACGCCTATCGAATACTACTAATAGATAGCTATAAAAGTTATATTATATACGAATTTATATAGAAATACTACTAGAATAATATTATAGTATACTATCTTATACTCTATTTAAGCTATATTTTATAGTCTCTCGATCTTACCTATTTTTCGCTTATTAAGTCGCGCTATTAGGAGGCTATTACTAATCTATCTAGGTTCGACGATGCTAGTCTAGTAAAGAAGGCTAGGTTCCTAGAGATCTATTAAATAGCTAACTAGGAAGGCCTAACTATCGCTAATATCAAGATAGGCTAGAAAGCTAGTGATATCTATCTATAGAATCCGCGGTAGGCTATTAAGTCTAGCCTAGTCCTAGCTAACGTAGAAAAGGCCTAGTTTACACTATAAACGCCGCCTTTACGTAAGCGAAAAGCGCTCGATAATAACGTCTATAATACGCTAATTAACCGGAAGGTATATAGCGATTTAATAGCTAAGGTAACTTAGCGCGAATCGCTATCTCGTCCTATACGTAATTAGCTTAAAAAGATAGGCTAGATTCTTGAGCGTTTATAGTGAGATACTAGGTAGAAGGATAAATAAATTACTAGACTATAGACGCGTCTAGACTAAGTAAAGGCTAAGAAGTAAAAGAGTAAGGCTATTAACGTAAACGAGATCTTTGTCAGTATCGAGAGTATATAACTAGCTAAAGAGGTATTAGAATAAACGGCGGCGGCGACGATAACTACGCGTAGGTCTAGGTAGGCTATAAACGCTAGGAATGACACTAGTAGTAACCTATAGGCGGCATTTATGTCATAGTTTTATATAAACGATCTAGTTGGTTGATTAATTGAGACTTGTTCTGTGGCGATCGCGATCAATTAAGTGGTGCAAAACTAGGTTGGTGCAAAACCTGGTGGGGGGACTTAATATCCGGAACAACTCCAAATCCGGCTGGATCAACTCCCGGTGGGTGCCAGCTCGCCAGTGACTCCTCACTCCCGTGTCTCCTTTACCGAATGTTTTATGGGTCGGTTCCGCGGTTGTGCTCCTCATTGCCCAAATTGTACTACGCTGAAGATGAAGCCTGGAGCGCAGACTGCAGACGGCCAGGGTCTAGAGTTCTCTTGGTATTGATTGGGAGCGAATCCTATCGCGAAAATGCCCCACTGCAAGTCCCCAGTCCGGTGGACGAAAACCAAGAGACGAACCCCGCGTTATTGTCTCATGTCAGTCCTGCAATGGTAATTGAAAAGTCTGAATACTAATTAGATGGCCCGAGGTGAGACTCTTTTCCCTTACCCCGTTGTCTCCTTGGACAAATATAAAGAGGTATGCCTACCCCTCTATACGTGCCACTCTATCGCCCAAGAAACCACCTGTGCTTTTGTATCTGGGTATTTGTGAAACGTCACAATGGGGTCTGAGCGCTATCCCGTTAAGCATAAAGGCATCTATCACAATCTGCCGACTTACGATCCGTCTATCAAAGATCTCACAGCTATCGTCACCGGTGCCAATGGCATTTCAGGCTTTCATACCATGCGGGTGCTGCTTGACAGCCCTGAGCGCTGGAGCAAGGTCTACGCCTTATCGCGCCGCCCCCCTCCCAAAGAGATGATGGCTCTGCTTCCAGAGTCTCAGCGATCTCGCGTACAACACGTTGCAGTCGATTTTCTCGAAGATCCCAGAAAGATTGCGGATGCAATGAGCTCAGCCGGTGTCAAGGCCGACTATATCTTCTTCTACTCCTACCTGCAACCAAAACCCCCGCCAGGAGCTCCTGTGTGGTCCAACGCAGATGAACTGGTAAAAGTGAACAGCGCGTTGCTCGACAACTTCCTCGGGGCTCTCACACTTGCTAAGATCATTCCCAAGCGGTTTTTGCTTCAAACTGGCGCCAAGAACTACGGCATTCATGTTGGTCGTGGTCGCACACCGGCCATCGAATCCGATCCGCAACCGGCGCACCTTGAACCAAACTTTTACTATCCGCAAGAGAAATCACTCTTCGAATTCTGCAAAGCCAACAACACCACGTGGAACGTTATCCGTCCGGCTTGGATCCTCGGCGCAGTCAACAATGCCCAGATGAACGCCTTGCATCCCTTCGCCCTCTATGCGGCAGTCCAAGCCCAGAAGGGCGAACCCTTATATTTCCCGGGAGATTGGGATACCTGGCAATTCGAGGCTCATCATTCGTCTGCTATGTTGACGGGTTATTTGTCCGAGTGGGCAGTATTGGAGGACAAGTGCAAGAATGAAGCTTTTAATTCCCAGGACACAGGACCGTTGAGCTGGGACCGCTTCTACGAGGAGTTGGCACGTTGGTTTGGCGTCGAGAAGGGTGTCCATCCCCCCGAGGAGGATCTGAGCAAGTTCCATGAGATAAAAGGCAGAGGTGGAAAAGAGTCTCCAATGGGGTGAGTGCAGGAAATCTAACTAACAATGTGGGCAGTCGAGGTCGCTAACTCCGTTGCAGCTACGGCCCTCCGCCGACCTTTCGCGCCCTTTTTTCATTTGTTGCCTGGGCTTCAGAACCGGCAAATCAGGAGGCCTGGCAACAGCTCATGAAGGCTTCTGGAGGTCAGCTGACGGACAACCCGTTCAAGGATCCCCAAGCGAGCTTTGAGTTTGGCGATGCCGCCTTGATGAAGTTTGGTAGCCTGTGCATGAACAAGGCTAGACGGCTGGGATGGACAGGTTTCGTCGACACGATGGAGGCTCTTTTTGAGATGTACTCCGAGATGGGCGACTTAGGAATGGTCCCTAGAATGAAGGTTGATAAGCCGAAGCCTTTGGTGTAAAGGTGGGTGGATTGAAATCCTTGTCCATGTATTGATGAGCCGTCCATAGAGGAAATACGCACTTAGAGAGCCAGGTCAACAATACCTAAGCAAATGCAGGTTGTTTCTCTGCAACAGTGGGTTGCTCATACATAGTTGCCCAGTTGCGATCAGATCGGCAATACACTACGCATACTGCCGAGCCGACCAGAACCCTCAAGACTACGAAGAGTTTAGCTCAGGAAGGACTTCTTCGACATATTCCCATAGACAGCTCAAGCTCTAGTCAGAAAGGCCCCTGCTTTCCATGCAGCAATCCGTGCCGCGTTGACTGGCCTTGGTGGGTTGAGTCAAGTGCTGCTGCACGGAAGCTGCGCCTGGCCCTCCTGCGCTCACGATGATCGATCCGCACCTCTTCCATCTGTGTCGAGTTAATGATAATCAGCAGAGTAGCTCTCTACCTGATTCGTCCACACTGTCTCACTGGGCTAGGATGGGAGATCCGAACATCAAACAGGGCATGAAGACGTTCGATCAAAGAGAAGCTGCGCCCATCGGTAGGCAGACGTCTCCCTGTTTGATGGGCTAAGGCTGCCACGCCCGTCAATTGAGGGTGATCACGAGGCCTAGGAGGCGTGCGGGCCACAAATAGTGCCAGCACTTGCATCAACATCAGGATCCAATGGACGGACTGCAAGAACTAGTCCTCCTGGCAAATACGATCAGATCGAAAATCCTGTGAACCGGCTAATTAGCCGTCGCGTGTTGGGTTGACCATTCTGAACCATCACAGATCCACTTGGGTGCATGTCGATTGCACTAGAAGAACCACCTCAGGAGTCAGAGGCATCTCAGAGGCACCTCAGAGGCCATGACTCGCTTGATGACAAACTTTGCCTCAGCTTTTGTTGGACAGCCAGGACCTCATCGACGCAAATACCGCACCAAGGATGGCAAGATCCGAATATTGGAAGGTTAGTGTGAAGCTGGAACCCCGAAAGTGTGCCTCTCAAAAATGCGATTGGACACACTCGAAGAGTTTTGCCAGGCCAATCGCCTACATATGCTGGAATTCCTTCTCCGAGTCGGTTATCTGGGACACAATCTAGCCTAAGGTTCTGTCAGATTGGGCTGAATGGCGCAAAAGAAAGTTCATGGCTAAGTCTGCTTGCAAGAATGAGGCTGGATACGAAGCCGCCCCCGCTTCTTGCCCTGGCATCCTGGTTCTCTTCGACTCTATTCGATAGCAAGACAACTTCTTCCCCTTGGAGCTGTTCAACCCGTCATCATGTGCATAGCGGAAGCGGGGCTAGAAATGTGCTAAACACATCCTAGGTACAGGCGAGAGCGAATCCAGATGAAGGTATCCTGCATCTATCAGGACCAACGACCGAGTACCATGGCACCATGGCACCATACCCTCAGGTCTCTATTGTTGGTGCGATGGGATTCAAAAGGAATGCAAAATGCAGGACACGCCCATCTCCTCCAAGGCTTCCCTGTTGGCATCTCTTTCTTCGCTGTCTTTCTACAGCATGTCGTCTAGCTTTCTACCTGATCTTTCCAACGACAGCAAGACCATCGGCCATGCCCTACCGCCTGCGTTTTTCCTTCCCCGTGCTCTACCGCTTCACAGCAGCACGATATTTCGCAAACAGACAGCCGTGCAACACCTCTCAGAGACTATGGTAAGCACGGATCCACCCGGGAGATCTGCAAGAACACTATTGAAAATACTTTTACCAAGGAGGAATTGTATCGTTCTGCTCTAGCTCGTCTCCAGCTCGAGCTGGAATTGCCTGACAATATTGCAAAGCGGCTTGACGCAAAGATCAAACAAGTGATTGTCCCTCCTTTCGTGCCAGATGCTGGCACCTCCGTCCTGAACTACGGGCTCGACTTCGAGGCCGTCGCCTGTTCCGTTAGTGGCTGCCCTGAGTTCAGGCCTTATTTCGAGAGAACACGTTCCAGAAATTGGGAGTCGTCCTTCAACAACGCTATCTATTACTGGGCCCATGCCGTTTGTGGTGTTTCAGAGATCTATAAAAAACAAAGGCCGGTGACTCGAAGATCATTAGACACCCAGCAGTCGCCGAAAACACCCGAGAGGCTCCCAGAGTCCATGGTTGCCGGTGAACCATCCACTACTCCAACATTCTCAGCTTCTTCTACTGCCGCTGTCTCGCCGGGTTTGCCAAACGACATCTTTGTCGCTCCTCAAGGCAGCTCCAGCCAAGCTGCAGGGGATCGCTGGATGCGACTCTGGCCTGGCAAATATGACCATTGCATCGAGATCCGCGCCCTCAGCGGCACCCAAGAAGAAGTATTGAGCGGGCGCATGGAGGAGTTATTCCATGTGCGTTGCCCTATGAAGACGCGTGGGTATGACTATGTCTTGCCACACTGTCGAAGGTTTCTGGAGAAACACAGAAAGGCTCCGCCCGATGCGGAGGTCAAGCTCTTCTACTACATCAAATGGCCGAACCTAGCCAGCCCAACTCGGGTGTTGATAGAGGATAACAAGTCGTGTGAAAGGGCCTACGACTTCTGGTCAACCCTCGAAGATAGCAAGATCCCGTTCATGCTCTTTCTGGACGACCTAAAGTACAGTCACTCGGTATCGACACTGCCCCCCACCCCGCAGATATCTCCCAGACAAGGGCTCGAGAACTCCCAAGACGTTTCGCGAGGCATGTTCCATCTGTACGGAGGCCATTGACACTTTCCGAAGCCGCACTCTCGTTATGGCTCACGATGGCACACACTTGGCTGGGGGGCCACCCAACTGATTGAACTCAAACGAACAAGAACTCGCGGACAAAAATTGCAACCAAGACCCTGACTCCTGAACTCGCATCGGGACATATAGGGAGAGACGACCCCGAGATTAGATGCATCACTTTCATCAAGAATCGTCCGAAATACACATAATACGCGACAAAGGACTCGACGGCACATAACAAAGCCCCGGCAGTTCTTCATCCCGCAAACGACGACACATTGTATAACGAGAACCTGGATGATTGTGATTCGACGCAGCAACGACAGCAAATGTCCTCAGAGAGGATGAGTCCCCGACCAATGTATACGCAGTACAACATAGATTCAGGGCGAAGAGGTTGATAGAGTTTCCCACACATACCAGGGTGTGCAATAATTAGAGTTCAAGGCCATTTCAGAGGAAAGTCAATCACTAGGCTGAGCTTTTGCCACGAGGACATCCCTAGCAAACCTTCCTCTGACCAAGGCTAGGCTGGGACATCCTTGGGGTCGGTCGAAACTCCCACACTTTACCGAGTAACACCTGCAAGTATCTCGAACAATGTGAAGCCCGAACCGACTACGAGATGAGCCCCAGGTACCTACCCACACAGTACTTTGTATTCAAAGGCGACTTCACTGCTTCACCGCCTGTTCCAGGAGAGACAAAGAATGGGGAGCGAACACGGCCGAGACACATGCACGCCTGGAGATACCCCGTGGATGGAGGGCACGACGCACAGGCCAGGTGCAGGTGGCTTGCATTAGCCTGTTTGCCAACGTGGCACATGGTACCTCGAAGTACGTACCCATGCACCCATGTACATGACCCGCCCTTCGGTTATCCAATTCCCCCTTCCTTTTCCCTTTCCCTCTTCTTCTTTTGTTCACGTAAATAAACCGGATTGCTTTTTCTCCGGGGAAAGATCCGACTTACCTACCTACTGCGTACCGTATGCGTTCACGAGATCCGATGTTTCGATGCACAACGCGATTGGATGGCGATGGTGGGTGTTTTCACTCCTGCCACCCACTCTGTGCCAATATGCCTTTCGGTCCACAATACCTCGTACCCTTTAGCGAGTTTTAAACCCGACAGAGCTGAGATCCTTGCTTTCCAAATCAGATTGAGTTTCTCGTCAAACGAGGCAAGAGTGCATGATGACGACGCCGAGGTGGGAAGGACAGTCGAGCCGAAGGGGTGGAATTACGCGAGATATGGGTTTTTTCAAGCATTGGCTTCAGCTGGTCAGTGGGTTTTGCCCTGTTTTCCTGCATAGTCTACCAAGTAAAAAGCTGCATTGTGGTACTTCATTCGTGCTCGGCAAGCCCGAGAGCAAGCTCTGTGCTGGGACAACAAACCTGGCCTCCTAGCTCAGCGAGGCTGAAGTTGACAATTCACAGTCGTCCCCGTTTCCACCTTCCATTTTTCTTTTTCCTTTTCCTAGGAAATTTCCATTTTAGGTGGCTGCCAGCTCAGTAGAGCCCGCCACGGTGTGACGGCTCTTACTCGCACGAATGGCTTTTATGGTGTTTGTGTTTTCGGGTGCATCCGCCCTTTCGTTTCCGTTTTTGACTTTCGGCCATCTCCAAAGGCCTTTTCTGCCGATTGCATACGTTTCCCTTCGATCTCCAGCAATTGAATTTGAGAATGGTAAGTGATTTTGCGCGTTGACGTGCACTTCGCTCCTTCGTGGGGGTTGTCGAGTCTAGTCTGCAATTTGTCGAAATCGGTTCGATCCCTTGCCCACTTGTGTTGACTCCGTCTATCTTTGGTCAGTTCTTCAGACCTAGGTCTTAGACGTCGGCTCGTTATTCTCTTTGGCAGTCAAGGCCGCTTCGGTGTGTGCGATACTGCACTCTCGAGTAACAGAGGGGCCAGTCATAACGAGGCCGGTTGGAGTGATCTCTAGATTCCAGAGCTGCCAAGCTCCTTCGTCTGCCGGTCGCTCTTCCACTGCCCTGGCAATATGAGATTGTTCTCTGCGAAAGACAAGCTCCAGGAATTTGCATTCTTTTCGCCAGTACCGTATTTCCCACTGTGACTGCCAGTCTTTCAGGAAGCTAGACCCTGTACTGCACAAGGCTTGTTGCTCTAGCAGTTTTAGCTTTCCGGTGATATCCAGATAATCGAATGCTATGTATGTAGGGGGTATGTTAATCATTCTTTTGAACACGGCCGAGTACGTGATCTTGGTCAGAGATGTGAGTCTCGGCAGATGATCATGGAGAGCTTCCAGAAAGGAAGCCAAACCTTGACCTGTCCGGAGACTGGTCCGCTGTGTATCCAAGAGATCGATATACATCAATCTGGAGATGCATTTCAATTTGTTGTCTGCCATTGTTTTCATGAAGATATCCCCGAAGTCCTTTGCGGTGTACTGGGACGGGTTGACCACGATTGTTGTTGTGCTAAAGAAGATCGGCGTCCACTCCTTAGTAATCCGACGGCACACCCCTTGAAGTGACCTTCGCGTCTTTTTCACATCCTGGACACTCTTAGATCTCTTTTCAAGTTGGATTGTCCTAGACATTGCCGCCAACACATCCGTTCGTGGATTTATCGGAAGGACGATTTCGTCCACCACAGCAAACCGCTCGTAGATTTGCAGTCTGATCTCCGGAGGGAGGTCCAGAAACCGGAACCATTGGGGGTTCTCTCCCTTATTCCCCCTTGCAGCACTCTTGTATGCCTGATTTGTCCGTGTTCTGTTTGCCGGCTGCTTCTGAGGGTACGGTCGCGCTTCGCGGAGGGCCGCTGGCTTTGTGACAGTCGCTTTCGGCATCATGAAACTAACGAAGTTTCAATGATGACACAGACACCAAGGAGGAAGGAGAGTGTAGGCAAGGTTCATGTAACGCACAATAGCCCTCGACACAGCGACGCAGACTTCAAGCCAGCAATGCCAAATCACTTCAAGGCGAAGAGGTGAAAATGAGGTGGATGTGAAAGGGATCTCAGAGACCTTGGTGAAAGAAATGCGATGAGTCGGAAGTTGCAGAGAAGAACTCGAATGATTATTTCCAGCCTTCGATACTGACGATCGAGTTTGAGACTTTGCTTGGTTGAAATGGGGGGAGGGTGAGAGCTGTGATTTAAGAATATGACGGGATTGTGTCTCGACGAGGAGGAGTGGAAACCGGTATATCTGAGGAAGGAACCGCTCCGTCACGAACCTGCTCTCTTCGCACGATTCACCTGCCACTCCATTCGAGATATCGTCCACGCATAGAAGCCTCGACCTTTTCAGATGGACCTGAAGCACTCAATTCCTCCAGGGACTTAATTCCTTACCTAGTCAGGGCCTTGCTATGTCAAGCTATGACGGTGGATACTTGAGAGGACAGTTTAGTTTGGTAAAGTGTACGCAAAAGTGTCTCACTTCGTGGCACAAAATATCGGGGACGTATTCGCCGTCAATGCTATCTATCTTGCAATTGATTCTAGACGGATCGAAGAGAGCGTTTGAGGTATCTCAGCGCCTAAAGCATTGGTTAGACATATACCAGATTGGGATGGACTAGCCTTTTTACAGCCCATCAGATACTATGTAGTTTTATAGGCGGATGCCCACTTCGACTGAAGCCAGGACTTACTTGTACCGTGGTGGGGACCGGGACTAGTGTTGACTAAGTTCTAGCAACGTTGCGAGATGGAAGAGTGGTTGGTTCTGTGTCTTCGTAACACGGTAGACGATCTTGTGACAGCTTCCTCATGGGATAAAGTGGTCAAACTTGACCGTATCAGCCAAATATGATGCCAGATCCCCGTTTTCATCCAAATCCACCTTTGTCAAACCATTTCCGACGAAATTGAACGGGTTGTTGGTGTTGTAGACGAAATCAAAGTCCTCGCCACGCAGCTCGCTCAGCATCTCCCTGAAGTGGTTCATGCTGCCAGGGTAAATGGCCGTGATGCCGGTGCGGTATTCGTCAATTTTGCCCTTTTTGTACCACGAGTCACAGTCCTCGTTCCAAGCCGTGCGCCTGAGGATTTCCTGTAGGTAGATATTATATGCCTCGACGCGTTCATTCTTGACACACACGGACCTATAATTCCTGTGAGTGGTAGGTGTGAGGAAAAGTGCAGAAATCGGAAACTTACTTGATGTCCTCTGACGCGATCTTGAGTGCCCATTTTAAAATGTAATTGGAAACGAAGCCCATGGCAGACAAGACAGGTCCATTCGCAATAGGGAAATTGGGTCCACATCCGATGCTGAAATAGTTCGGCATGTCAGGAGCACATACGCTGATGTAGCCATCCACATTATCCTTCCATCTTTCTGCGAGGGTAATTCCACCCCGACCCTGCATGGTCCAGGGTGGAATGCGATTGTTGACAAATCCTGTGGCGAGGACGATTATGTCGAATGGACGAAATGAGCCGTCGCAGTTACGGATACCATTGTCGGTGATAGCCTCTATTCTTGAGTCGACCAACTCTGCATTGGGAGCCTGTAGGGCTTCCAGGTATTTGTCTTCGGGCGTGAGCCGGCGGCACCAAGGTTGGTAGGAAGGCTTCAGACGGTTGACCAACTCCGGGTCTCCGTGCAGGCGGTCGCTCATCCACCGCTCTAGCTCGGCCCGGAATGCCTGTTTCGCCCCTTTGCTCGTATCATTGAAGACTAATCGCATGAATAGACCGTTGTTGAAGCTCTCGATCATTTTCCTGTACTTGAACAGGTTTTCAGGAGTCTTGAAGGACTCTAGCTGCTCTGAGGAGTCTATATTCAATGTTTTAGCTTTCAAGAAGACAATCATTCCACCCAGGACTCCACTCACATGCGAAGTTCCTGCCTTCAGGTGTGAACTGGTGAGCATAGCTCATGGAAATCCAGGTAGGTTTGCGAATGTAGTGCGTGATAGAAGCGGCTTCCGGTTGCATTGCGCGGAATACCTGAATCCCAGATGAACCATTGCCGATGACACCGACTTTCTTGCCCTTCCAATCCAATGAATCATCCCTGAATGCTGTAAGTAGGCCTGGCGCTGCATCTAGACTGCCTCTACGTACCAATCTCCCGTGTGGACGAGTTTGCCTTTGAAACCGTTGAGCCCCGGGATATTGGGCTTGAGCGGTGTGCTGTGGAGCACAAGTTTTAGATTAGCCGTGGCAGCGGCAGATGAACCATGTGACTAGCTTGCCTTTGAGTCCCAGAGGCGCCGATTAGAACATCGCATTGGTCATGCCAAATCGCGCCTTCCGATTCAACTGTGGTATTTTGGTCAGCTTTGATCGGCAGAGCACGAGTGACCAACCCGTCAGGTTCCATTTGCCAATTGCTTCGTCAAAGGCGGCGTCAACCACCCGCGTGTTGAATTTCATGAGTCTTTCCAAGTCGAACTTTTTGGTTGTTTCCAAGATGTACTCGAGAATCTCTGGCCCGGTGGCTAGGAAGTTCTTCCAGTCATGTTTCGGATTGAAGGGCAGAGTGTAAACATGGATCGGAACGTCACACATGAGCCCTGGGTAGTGGTTTGCCGCCCACGTTCCTCCTGGATGGCTCTGGCCGCTGTTAGTCAAGATGTTCAAGGATCCCTCAAGAAGCTCCCAGTGTATAGCGTGCCTGCTTCTCGTAAATCTGAAAGCTCAGGACATCTTCAAGCTTCATTTCATGTGCAATCTTGTATCCAAGGGTGATTCCGGCGAAACCTGCACCGATGCACACAACTCGAATTTTTCGACTTTTGCGCAGGTGATTGGGGTTCAATGGGACGCAGTAGGGCGAATACTGCGAAGCCATTTTTCGGAGTGAAGGCAAGAGGGATGAATTGCAATGATCGCAGGAGAACAAGCCGCAGGAGGGTAAGCAGAGAAAGGAATAAGCACTCAGATACTACATACGAGATATCCAAGGCCGTATTTACAGAGTGTACGTATGTGTGAGAGCCTGAGAGGGTGGTCAAGATGGGGAGGAAGTTGGCGAATGCGCCTACATCACAAAAGTAAGTGTGCCCCAGCTTCTGACCTTCGACCTGTTTTGTGGAGAGCGGGGTGTCTCTTGCAACTTGGACCTCGCAGGTGGAAGTCGACATACAATGCGGTATAGTGGAGGTGAGAGTGGAGGCGGAGGCGGAGGCGGAGGTGGATGTCGACAGCCGTCTGACCAATACGGCTAGCGTCTGCCCTGAAGTGGAGCCAACCCTCCCCAAAAGTTCGAAACATCTGACTGCCTGTCACTACTTGCTGGTGAACTTGCACATCCTTGAGTAGCGAATTGCTGATGGAGTTCGCAGCGGAATATCATCAGCCTCGGAGCAACATGTCGGTTCATCGTGACGGAGCAGAATCCCGGACATCGCGGAGGCTCCAACACCAGCACAACCGGGCAACAACGGAATGACATTCGGTAAGCCTCGACTCCAGGTACGTCGCCATGAAATCCATCTTCCCGAATCCCGAGGTTCCCGACAAATATGTGCAATACTCATTGAGGATTCACTGCTGTAGTGGAGCGGGTCGAAGTCGACCAAGTTGGCGCACATCTCACCAACCAGTCGCCTGTCTTAAATGACGACCAGCCAAAGCAATTGCGAAGTCCAAGTTCCCCAACAGCCGTTTTTGGATCTCCGCGCTCACAAGCTGTGTACAACCGATCAGACCACCTGAGCCTATACATTGGGTAGACATGTCGGACCCTACTACAAACTATGGTGTTTTCAACAGCGTGGACGAATTACTCATTGAGCGCGCAAATGAAAACAACAACGAGCCTATCATCGCGTATCCAAAATCAGGTGACACACTTACAGACTTCCAATATCTTACGGCAAAGGAGGTCACTAGCCTCACAGATGTTGCGGCCCAGAAACTCTTGTGCCAAGGTCTGAGGCAGATCGTGAGTTCAACAAGCGAACATTCGACTCCTGTTACAATTCTGATAAGGACGAATCTAGGAGGTCCATGAAGCGGAGGTGATCGCTCTGCTGGGCCTATCTGACTTGGACTATATGATCACAATGTTTGGCCTGAGCCGGCTAGGTTATACGGTGTTTCTGCTCTCCCCTAGACTCGCAACGGAAGCGTATGCGAGCCTGCTCAGGGAGACTGGGTGCAAAATTGTATGTTATGGCCCAGAGCTGGAAGCAACTGTGAGCAAAATTCGTGACGTTGAGGGTTTATGGCTGCTACCGATCCCGGGAAGATGCGATGTCGATAATGTCGCTACTATCAAACCTCCAACCAAAAGCGTGGACAACAAGATCTCTGCGAAGCGCAAGGTGGCCTTTATCCTGCATTCCTCAGGATCGACGGGCTCACCGAAACCCATTTACCAAACTCATCAATCGTGTCTCGAGAACTATTCAAGAGGAAATGGCCTACGCGGGCTGTTGACAGTGCCACTTTTCCACACGCATGGTCATGCATGTTTGTACCGAGCGATGTTCAAGCGGGCGACGCTTTATTTATTGGACGCAAGGCTGCCACTGACATCTACGAACCTGATTGCCGTGCTGGAGGCTGTCAGACCTGCGGTTATGTTTGCTGTGCCATACACCCTGGGCCTCCTCGCAGAAACGGAACGCGGAATAAAAGCAATGCAATCCTGCGATGTTGTGTCCTCGGCTGGAAGCCAAATCCCCGATGAGCTGGGTGACAAGCTCATTGACCGTGGTGTCCATTTGATATCCCTCTGGGGCTCGTACGTCTCCGCCGATATTGTCCCAAGTTAGGCAGACTGAATTTCGTGGGCAAAGACTAACATACTACCAGGACCGAGACCGGAGCTCTTATGGACTCTATGCGCCCCCCGGAAGATAAGGACTGGTCGTACATGTCGATATTTCCCTCGGTAAGACCTTTCGTGCTGATGAAGCCGTTGGGAGCACAGAGCTACGAACTAGTAGCACTCAACGGGCTGAAATCGAAGACTGCTACTAACTCCGACAATCCGCCGAACTCGTTCCATACTAGAGACACGTTTGAAGCCCATCCTACCAAGCCAGATCGGTGGAAATATACCGGCAGGCTAGATGACAGAGTGACCCTCACAAATGGCGAGAAAGTGCTGCCCTCAATCATGGAAGGCCGTTTACGCCAACACCCCCTGATTCGGGAGGCTGTTGTGTTCGGCATCGGGCGAGCTTTGCCCGGTGTATTACTATTCCGCAGTGCTCCCGCGGCTGCAATGAGTGACGAGGAATTTGTGGAACGTCTATGGCCTGTTGTTGACGAAGCCAATTCCAAGGTTGAATCTTTTGCTTGCATATCGAGAGTAATGATTGTGCCGATCGGTGCAGAGGTCGACTACCCCCAGACGGACAAGGGCACCATTATTCGGTCTCAAGTGTACAAGGTGTTCGAAAAGGTTATCGACGACAAGTACGAAACACTAAACATGAGCGCTAAGGGGGTCTTGAGACTCAATCAACACGATACTGAACACTTGATCCTAGAGAGTTTCAAGCGAGAAGGACCGATTGATCTCCTTTCAGCAGACACGGATTTCTTCTCCGCTGGTGTTGATAGTCTGCAAGCCACGAAGATGGCAGCGTTTCTACGAGGAAAGCTGTATCTCCCAAGTGCAGCCGCATTGACACCCAATACAATCTTCGAACACGCAACTGCGGCGAGATTGGCCCGATATCTGATTGGGCTCCAGGAAGGAAAAGCAAATGGGGAAGAGGATGAGATAGAAGTTATGAAGCGGATGATCGAGAAATACTCGACGTTCTCAATATTCTTGCCGGTTGAAAGAGATCTAAGTACGGTTCGTTCCGTGGTGAGCAAAACATAGGTCAACATCAGATTTTTGAGCGCGACCTAACCCAGCTACAGATACTTACCGGAGCAACAGGCTCTCTGGGCAGTCATATCCTTGTCGAACTTCTCCATCAGCCGGAGATCCACAAGGTCTATTGCCTTGTACGATCTTCGACAGATGAAGACGCCAAGCAGCGAGTACTCTCCATTCTTTGGGATCGAGGTTTGTCTTTGCCAAAAGAACACGAACAGCGTATCGTTGCCCTCTCCAGTAATCTAGGTCGCGAAGACCTTGGTCTCCAGCAGCCGATGCTCAGCGAGCTGCGAAATAGCGTGTCGTTGATCATCCACAATGCCTGGGCTGTGAATTTCAACCTGGGCTTGAGCAGCTTCGAGGACCAGCATATCAAAGGCACATGGAACCTCCTCAATTTTGCCCTGTCGGCCCGATCAATGCAGCCTGCGCGATTCGTCTTTCTTTCATCAGTCTCGGTAGCTTCCGCGTCAAAGCGGGGGACAGTTGTCGCAGAGAATCTGCTGGAAGACCTAGGCTCGGCGACTATGGGCTATGGGAGGTCAAAGCTGGTCACAGAGCACATGGTGAACAACGCGGCGAGATTTGGGGTCGACGGCCGGGTAATTCGAATCGGACAAATCGTTGGGGACAGTCGACAGGGATTCTGGAACGATTCTGAGTCGACACCACTCATCATCCGCTCGGCACTGACGTTGGGTTGTCTTCCCACGCTGGAAGAGGTTCGTGATGTTCCCCTGCGAGGTCTCGTTATTGACAATCCTCCGACTGACTTTTCCACTATTTCCAGTACTGCTCCTGGATCCCCGTTGATGTTGTTGCAAGGATCATTGTTGATCTATGCTCCGATGATACATCTACCGGAGCAGAAAGCGAAGATGTCTCAGCTTCAGCAGGAATCTGCCGATTCTACAACGTTGTGAACCCAAAGTCATTCTCTTGGACGGCGGACTTGCTTCCGTCGCTGCGGGAGGCCGGGCTGTCTTTCGAGTCTGTCTCCCCGCAGGAATGGCTGGCACGGCTGGCAGCAAGTGAACAGGATCCGAACATCAACCCCACTGTGAAATTGAGATCTATCTACGAAAGTCGATACGGGACGAGACCGTGCGTCCCATATGAGGAAGGGAGGAGGAACACGGACAATGTGGCAGCCCCATGCATCTCAGGTTCCGTAGAACTCGACACTAGCAGGCTGAAAGAAGTGGAGAAGCAGGTCGTGTTTTCTACGGAGGCGGCACAGAAGGAGAGCGAGACGATGAGACACTTGCCTGATGTGCTTGTCGAAGGGTACGTGAAGAAGTTTGTTGCGCGATGGTTGGAAAAGTGGCAGGGCCAAGGTGTTCGGGGATTATGAGAAAACACAGTGTGCTTCGGAAGAGATGCTAGAGGCAGACTTAGATTGTGGAATGAGACTTGCGTCTCCCATTAATCAATGACTAGATAGGTGGTCATCACGGTCGGTGGGAGCACGACCGACATCGTGGTAGATATAGCTTGGAGATATATCATATTGTTATCATAGTATAGGCAAACATGGCGAACAGTATTCTGTCTTGTCCCCACGTGAGGCCGGTACCTTGGCAGAATAGTAGGTGGAGACGGAATTCTGACGGGGAGTGAGTGTGATAGGTATATATAATATAAGTCCACAATTCCCATCGCCTCCCCTGGTAGGAACATTAGCCTAGTGGCGTGACCCAAGCCTTCGCATCAAAAGTGGTTCTTCGGGACTCTCCACACACGGTGGTTCAATTAGTGGTTCTTCGGGACTCTGGCTTAGGTGGTTAATGGGTTCCTTTAGAGAGGGTGCACGCAGGAAACTGCGAACCTACCTCTATAAATACCATTCCCTTTTTTGGGTTCTACTATTTTGGCCTCATTTTTTTTCCATGATCTTTTTCGTGCGTGGTCTGGCATAGTGAAGATCCTGTTAGTGCTTGGCGATATGGTTGTTGAGATGAGGCGGACACCAGTGGCAGTAATAATACCAATACACAAGATAGCCGGATCGGGCTAGACTGTTAAACCCGCTTACCCCTTTCTACATCCATACACGGGTCGTCGGTATGTACGTTGCCGGATCACGATGCCGAAAGGACCAGATTGGAAAGGATCCTAGGATTGTGCGGATGCGGGGGAGCGAGGTGAGCATCGCTATTGAGAGATGACACATCTTCGCCCCTTAGGTTACAATCCTCCTTCTCTCTTCCCCTTGCTTACGAGGCGTAGTCAGATCTGACCGGGAAAAGTCTATCTGTCTCGCTGCTGAAATCCTCTCCTGCACTCTATCTCGACCTACACCGGGATCCAAATTGCATCCATTCCAACCATCTCTGCGTGTTAAGACGAGACCGCAGTTTGCAATCCCAGTTCCTATCCAACCCGACTGTCTCTCCGGCAAAGGCCTAGATGATGGAATGGACGACAAATCCTCGCTTAGACTCCAGCGCAAACCCACGACGCATTCCGCCCGACCTCCGCAAGCGCGCCGTCGTCAGCTGCGATCGGTGCAAGAGGCGGCGGCGGAAATGCGTCCGTCGTGCCTCTGCCTCGACCTGCGAGTTGTGCAAGGAGAACTCAGTGCCATGCGTTACCACGATTCCCCGTAAGCGGCCTTCTGCTGCTGTTCAGTCTTTTCCAATGAACGAGGACCTGCCTCCTCGACAGCTACTTATGGAGCAACTGGTCGGCAGGCTGTTCCCAGAAGTGGCAGTCGCAGACGTCAATGAGCTTGCCAAACTTGCAGACTGTCTTGAGACAAGTCGTGTTCAGTTACAATTCGTTCGAGACAAGATATTATTAACGACAAACGGTTCCATCGTGCAGTGTGATCTTGTGTCTTCAACCTCTCGCCCGATTCTCGAGGACCGCCTTTCGTGTGTATCACCGAGCGAGCGTGGAAGGTTTGCCACAACACCACTTGGGCTCTCTTCCATTCCAGCACCATCACCATCATCCTCACCCGCAACAACAAGCAGTCCGAGAGGGAACTGCAGTGAACGGATCCTGCAGAATTCCTCCGGGACGCTTTGCTACTTCGGCCCGTCCAGCTCAATGGCATTTGTGACGCAACTCCGGGAACATCTGATTTCGACAGCGATCCAGAACTCGGAGAAGTTACAGCCAAAGCAGCGACGACTCCGCCAGAGATTTGTTGCGGACAACTACTGTTGCACGATGGAGGAGCCCTCCGCGGCAAGAAATACTCAGGCGAGCACACAACATCGCAGCGACTCGCTGCAGTCGGTTCCAGAAGACATGGACGATGTGTCCGTTGATGCCTATGCCTTAACGTCACCAATGCCTGACGGGCCGCAAAGGCTCGTCGACCTTTTGCCGGCGCGAGAGGAAGTGGAGCACTTGGTTGAATTGTTTTTCGTGCACATCCATCCAAATATGACCTTGTTCCATCGACCCCTGTTCCAAAGCGCTCTTGAACGGCTTTGGACCTCAGACCGGGAATCTTCGCTGGATGTTGGATGGTTGACTTGTTGCCTTCTTGTGCTCGCCTTCGGTTGCAAATACCTCGAGTCTACCTCGACTGACGAGACCACTTCAGGACCACCAAGAAACACCCGCAACCTCCAGCAGAGATTCGTGGAGATCGCCCTGGGGAATGTAGCGCGATTAATTCAATGTGCTACTCTCCAAAGTGTGCAGGCGCTGGCACTCCTCTCGCTCTATCTCAACACCACGCACCAGCGGAATGCCTCATGGATCATGATGGGCTGTAGTATCAGGATGGCGATCGGCCTGGGTATGCATCGGAGCGACAAGGTACTACTACAGCAGCAGAAAAGTGTCCTTTCAACGGCTGTCGTTGACAGGGAGTTGAGAAAGCGGGTTTGGTGGTCGTTGTACGTCTTTGAGCAGTATAATAGCGCCCTCTTTGGCCGTCCTAGTGCCATCGACGAACAAGAAACAACCGCCGACTTGCCCACGGACTCAATCCTTGACGGGGGCTACCACCGCCCCCCGGGACTCGTCACACATGACATATCTCTTGCGCGCATTGTCGACAGGATTCGCAAATCCCAGGCCGGCCAAGGGCACCGAGGCGAACCAGGCCTGTCTGACGACCAGATCGCACACCGACACCTAGACGAGTTGGATACATGGTACGCAGAACTGCCTCCCTTTCTGAGGTTCGACGCATCGAACCAGCGTTACGTCTACCCAAGCCACTTCCGACAACTCATCACTCTCCAGCTCCGCTACCAACACGCTCGGCTGCTGTTGACACGTCCATTCTATCTGCGCCTAATCCAGACCCAATCATCATCACCACCCAGCGGCCAAGCAGGAGCAGGAGGGGAAGTCGATGCTGATGCTGATGTTGATGCCGATACCGCAACCGCGACCACCTGCAGGTTTGGCGACATCTGCATTGCATCGGCGCTCGACTCGTGGCGCCTAGCCCAACACCTGTGGGAGAGAGGGCAGTTCAACGACGGGGACATTGGACTCGACGGCGTGTTTTTATACCAGTGTGGCATGGTGCTGTCTCTGGCCTGTCTCGACACGCGGCAGAGATGTGATCGCAAGGTCTTTTACCCCCGAGCCATTGAAGACATCCTGGTCATGCTGCACGACAACATCCCACCGGACAACCCCATGAGCCGTATGGTACAAATCGCCGACGACTTTTGCAATATTGTGCGCTCGATCAAATCCGAGCATCATCAGCATGCCGCAGCGCCGTTAGGATCCCACGATTCTACTATCGTGCAGGATCTGCACCGTGAGCAGCAGCAGGCGGTTGCGGTTTCGCTATCGCAGTCCACCCCCAGCCAGGCCAAATCTGCTCGCATGCCGCGGACACAAGAGAACCAATCTCGGCCGTACGAGGCTGCTGCTGCTGCTGCTGCTGTGTCTCCCGCGGCCGAGGTGGATGGATTGCCGTCGTGGACTGGGCCGCCAGTGCCAGCTTGTCCCGGTGGAGAGGTCGGCGCGGTGGACAACAGAGAGGAAGCACTACCACTCCCCGTTACTTCTTCGGCATGGGACATGCTGGAAAACTCGCAGCAGCTGATCGATTCCATGCTCGACTGGGACTTGTCGCAGGTCTTTGGGTTTGAAGGGGGCGGTGGCGGTGGATGCGGATCCATCATGAACAACAACCCTTTCCTCGCCTGATGGGTTTCGCGACTCAACGCTGCTACGAGAAACCCGTACCGAGCATACGCGATATTGTTATTATTTGCTATACCCTACGCCGCTTCTCGTATGACCCCCGAGGTCGCTGGGGCACGTAATCCACGAACTACCTATAGGATGATCGACGTACGAGGTAATGAGAGCAATTCCATCGCGAGGTCAGGTGTAATCATCTCTCTTTGTTATGATTTGCATCTTTGTCTTTTTTTCTTCCATGGTACTTGATCGAGTACTCGTACATAAAAAAAAAATGTGGGGGCTAACATAGAAACGCCGCTGGGATGCTCCTTATAATGCACCTCCCTGAAAAAGGGCCCCCCTCTCAATGCTTGCAAGTCTTTTCACAGCTCTAACAGCCATAACCTGAAAGATCAGCGAGAAAAAATGGGCTGGTGATTCCAAGCGCGCAAGATGCAGTCGACGGTCGGTGGATGCAGAAAAATATTCAGTTTCATGTCTCATCACATGCTGACCCTCTTAGACTGGGAATGTCCTCCCTCATCGCCGTGTGGGAGTCTTCCCAGCTTGAGTATGTCTAGCCCTTAGCGTACTCACGGGTCCACCAATCTCTATCCCAATAGCCACTTTCCAGTTTCATCTCGCTCATCTCGAGCCGTCCCCGCCTGTCTTGGCTCGAATTCGGATTGAGATGTTGGTGGTTTCCCGCTGTCTGTTCACTTCCGTCCCCCGCTACATTTGCCCGGCCCGAGTGTAGTCACTCATATCCCGCCCCTCGTTGCCAGGGACTCGCATTGTTTTGTTGCCGGAAACCTTGTTGCGGAGGATATCCGCTTTGGGCGGAACGAGGAGGCGGGGGCCCGTAGCCACCACTGGCGAGACTGCTCATGCTTCGATCGAAAGACGGCTGCGAGGATGTCGTTGTCGGTCTCCCACCGTATCCGTAGTCACCACCAGCGTTGTAGCCCTGGTTGTACATTTGTCGTTGTTCATACGACTGCGGAGGACCACGTCGTCCCGGCTGGTCGCTGGGATACATTGGTGTGTTAAAGTCTTGCTGAGGGTTGGCCGCGTTGGTTTGGGACATGGGTCGTTGTGAGATTTCAGATTGATGTTTCAGCGAGTCGCTGGAGAAAGAAGCATCATCATCGTATCCCTTGTCGTTGGTGTACGTATTCTTGCCGTCTCCTCTCGCAGTGGCACCTAGCGCGTCCAACTCGGTAGTGAGCGCAGCTTGGGACTTGATGAAACTTCCTCGATCATCGCGCATTGGCTGGTATCTGATTTCTGGATTCTTGGACGCGATGGCGTAGATGGAAGCAATGAGCACCAGGATCAGCAAAACGGCCGCAAAGACGACGTTGTAGAAGGCAAAGATGACGCCCATGACACCCGAGACCATCTCCGGCTGTCCGAATGCATTGGAAAAGACGAGGAGGAAGATGGCGTTGAGGAAATTGACCGAGGCGATAGAGATGTTAAAAATGTTGGTTTTCTTGTCCATGAAGGGCCGCAGGATGCTGACAGCGATCAGTGCCACCGCCTCGACAATGACCAAGCCTACGGCTTGAGCGACGGGCGATTTCTGTGCAAAAGCGATGAAGATGGCCTTGACCAGAATGTAGCCCAGGAGAGGCACCACAAAGTAGTATGCGGTGGCGCGGTATTGCACATAGAGGAATCCCCACTTGTTGAGGCATTCGGGGTCAGAATAGAGAATGTAGGCCGGATTCTTGTGCATGGCAACCGATTTCTTTGCGAGTTGAATGACCTTAAAGGACGCCCAGCCCAAGGCGACAGCCATGGAAATGAAGACAATCAAGGCCAAGACAACTTCAGCCGCCGAGTCTCGCTCGACCAGTTCCCATAAGCAGAGAACGGACATCTGCACGAAGCCGAGAAGAACCTGGTGTGTACCTGTCAGCAACGGGAGGCCCTTACATTGGATTAGCAGTACTCACCAATCGGAAAAGAATACCCTTGATGACAATTTTCCAGCCATTTCGGAACTCGAGGAATTTATCAGACTTCATCCACCCTGCTCTGGCGCAGCCATCGAGAACGACCTTCGTCAGGGCCACCAAGACAGCAACTAAGAATAGGATGAAGACGAAGAATATCAGACCAGTCATGAAGATGTTGGTCTGTTCGATTCCTGCCCTAAAACCAACTCTATCGATTCCACGAACGACCTTGACGTTCGCGACAGCAGTGGTGGTTGCAGAGCTTTGACGCTTGGCCAAATAGCGGAGGTTCTGGGCGGCAAAAGTAGTCATGACGTCCAGAGAGCGTTTGATGGCGCGTTTCTGCACTTGGACCGAAAATGTGCTGAGGGTGGAAAGGTAGGTAGTGGGAGTTCCGCCAGTGGCCCGCTGATACCACGTTGCAATCGACTGCAGAAATCCAACACGGATGATACCCATGCTCCACTGGAAGTTCTGGGTCCAGGATTGCACAATCGGAGGCATAGTAACAGAGGTCATGCCAATGACCGCTTGGGCTTGGAAAAAGCCAAAGAGCGACACAGCGTTAGCAGCAACATGAGCAGCAGTGTTAGGATGACCGAGCCCAGATGTCAAACCAGCGGCAACAAGACCCAGACCGGCAATAACGGCCGTGGCCCAGCCCACAGCTGGATGGTATACACTCTTGGTATTGGAGAGATCAGCCTCCATGCAAGCAATCTCCTCACCCGTGTCGAGAGAAGTGACATAGACACGAACCACACCGTCCAGATCTGGCACACTGTACGCGATTCCAGGAACTTGCTTGGCAACATCCGACGGAACGTCGATATTTGTCTGGATGTCGATTTGACCTGTCTGCATGGGACAGAAGCCCGAAAGATCCATGGAACAGGGGTCGAGAGTCTCGTTGAGAATGGTGAATCCATAGGCAATAACCTCCAACTGCGCCGTTACATTTCCTACAATGGACGAGACACCATTAATGTTGAGGCTGATGCTGCTGTTGGACGGCGTGTATGCAACATTGAACAGGGTTGCTGTGAAATTGGAGCCACTCTTGCAAGAATTCAGCGAGTTTGACTCGATTATGTTCTCCGCAAGGGCAAGAGGCGATAATGAAACGGCGGCGAAGAGGGAGAGGAGGTACGAGAGTGAGGTTTGCGGTCGCATGTTGGGCAATAGGTCGCTGTTGGCGTCTGCGACGGGACGCGGATGTTGAGGTGAGAGAGAGTGGCGGATGCAGGAGAACTCAGGGCGCCAACCAGGGCGAACACCTTCCTCAGTAGTCGATGATCAGGTAATGTACTCGGCGTACAGAGAAGCAATTATGGTTTATTCTTCAGTGGTGAGGTCGACAATGGCAGGTAGAGTTATTCGAGGAGGGTGGTCGGTTGTGTCATGGAGATCTGCGAAGGAGGTTGGAAGGGTGGAAAAAAAACCGGGAATTGGAACGAATGGAAACTCTAGGGGCTGCGGTGCAGGCGAGGAAAAGAGCGAGAGTTGTTGGCCGTCGTCGTCGTCGTCGCCGTTCAGTTCTTTCAGTGACAATGAAAATGTCAAAGAGAATTGAAGGCACGGTTTGGTGTCGAGTGCCGGGGGGATGTCGAGGGTGAATAGCGAGCGTGAATTGGTGAAGAAGGAGGGTTGAGTGGTGACGAAGGCTGGAAACAGGATGAGCTGCGAGATTTGACACGCAGCCTGCAGGATGTGAACAGGAGATGCTCTGATGCTCCGCTAGAACCGCGTGGAGCCCACAACCTCAACGGGCCTTGGGATCCAGGCACCCACAGACACTGGCTGTAACCGGAGTTGATCGGGTTGGTGGACTCTGCGGCACTACGGTACTCCGCCTGTACCTTGTTGCGTGTCTGTTTACGGGTAGCAGTGTCTTGGTTTGGGGGAGGACGAAGGATGAATTGGGTTGCGTCGGCGAGAGACGATAGGGCAGTAGCAGTGCGAATTATTGGGGAGGGGGGCAGTTTTTGGGGGGGGAGGCGCAGGAAGACAAGGGGCCCGGGAAGGGTGGCAGGGGATGCAAGCCGAAGGAGAAGAAAGAGAGCGCCAGTGAGTGGCAGGCAGGGAGGCCAGACAAAGCTTCACACCCGCTGCAGAGTCCAGGGATGCCCCCCGAAAACGCCAGATCCTTGCCAAGCAATGCAGATGGCACGGGCGCTAAGCGGAATTGGGATCTGGCCCCTGACCACCCACCAACCACGGTCACCCAGTGGGCGCCCAGTGATCTTCCTTGGGCTTGCGCGTGAGGAGGCGCAGCAGCTCGTGGTCAAAGGAAATTGAAATTGCATCAAGCTCCAAGCTCCAAACACCAAACACCAAACACCAAGCACCCCAGCACCAAACCCACCCAAAACAACAGAGCCCATCGCTTAAGACGGCTCTTTGACGAGGCTGATTCACCCACACGTAGAACTCTGCCTTGCTGCTGATTGTTATTGTTATTTATTATTACTACGAGCCATCCTTCTCACAATCCCCCACAAACTGATCTACTGCTTCTCAATCTCTCACTCCCACACGCCTAACCCGAAAGAGTTAGCAGAGGGAAACGACGTCATCGTGTCTCGCATTCGGCTCTCGGCTTTGCCGCCTTCCGCAATTGGAAACATACCAACGGCGGTCAATCTGCTTCACCATCGGGCCCCGTTACATGTTGCGTTTCATCGTCGCATTTCATGGCCATCTCCCCTTTCTCCTGCGACGCCAAGTCGAAGTGTACTGAAGAGAGGAAATACGCAAACAAAGAATCACAAAGCAACCTCAATTCGTTCCTTGTAGCCACTTCGTCCGGGGCTTGAATGAATCTCTCACTTAGACCAGCTGCAGCTATCTGGGGGTATCACTGTTTGCATGTATCTGTGTCTCTTACTATGATGGAGGAGTCCGCCGCATTGCTCAGATTCGTCAAGCAGCAAACTCTATTCTTCGTCGAGAGCGGCAATCATGTCTGTCCACTGTACTCCCTGCCAGCTGATGTCAATGTTGCCCAGCTCGCACTATACTCGTAAACCGTGCCAGCCATATCATCATAGCACGCTTCGTCATGTTCGTGGTCCAGCGTCTTGTAGTGGCTGCTGCCACTGGGCTGGAGGATATTGTTGCGCCGGAGGATATTGTTGGACTTGAGTCTCCTGTTCTTTGCGTTCCCGAGCCCGTTTGCGCTGCACCAGATCCCCCCTCACCATGCGCAGGTATTTCGTGGCTTGGTCGATTAGTTCCCGGCTTTCTGTGCTTTCCTTGAGCGTCTGTAGCAAGGTCATGACCTGAGTCTCGTTGTTCAGATGTGGACACGTTCGAGAGTGCCCGAGATGCGCAATGCCACATAGCCCGCAGTGTTCAACACCCGCCAACTTCAACCGGCACCAACCCATGGGATGCTGCTCATTGCACGCAGAGCAATGATGCACCGCCGGCATCGGATGGATCGGTCTAAAGTCAAAAGCTCCGTCGCCATTGAAATGTGGTGCTGGTCCAAGGGGAACTCGTACTCGTTGGAAGGGCCGCGCTGTGAATGTCAACATCAGTATCGGCACCTTTACGGACTAGATTTGAGCATCCTACCTTGAACCTTCGGTCGTGGCTTGGACTCCAGGTCAGTTTCTGTGATCTCTGCATCGTCATCATCCTCAGATTGTTGCTCTGGGGCTCTGTAGTCGGGGTCTGCGGCCTTGACGCCACGTTTGACCTTGCTCGAGTCCGGCTCTCCCTTGTCGCCGTCGCCGAGGCCGTAGTCGACGTTCTGACCATGTTAGCAAAATTCCCGTGCTTGCTTGGGATTCGAGACCACTACAGTATCGAATCTTTCTTACCTGTCGCTTTCGCTTGCCTCGTCCAAATGCCTGAGCTTTCCTGGCTTGCTCCTCAGCAAACTGTCGTTCGCGCTCTTGCAATATTTTATCCCAGATCCCAGGGTTAGGCGTACTCTGACCTGTGCGGTCCGGCAAATCGTCTTCCAATGCCGATTTGTCATTGGCCCAGATTCGAGCGAAGCTGAATTGTGACTCGGCCGATTTCTCCTCGTCGATCTTTGTGTCTTCGATTTGCGTCCGATCAAGGAGACGGTCAATTGATGCCGAGTCATAGATAATATCATGCGCACCGCTGTCATCTTGGAACAGGGCTTCCGCGCCGTGCCGAAGAATCGACTCCAGATCCTCCCCTGCATCGTCTTCCTTGTCCATTCGCTCGATCAGCACATGATCTAGTGCCATCTTCTTTCGACCAATCTGCATGATCTTCTCTTCCACGCTGTCTCGCGTCATGAGTTGGAAGACTAGCACTTTCTCCTTTTGACCAATGCGGTGAGCTCGGGAAAGTGCTTGGATATCCTGGTGCGGATTGAAATCTGGATCGAGAATGATGACCGTGTCGGCAGTGGCGAGGTTGATGCCGACTCCACCCGCTCGCGTTGATAACAGAAAGGCGAAGTAAGGCGAGTTTGGTGCATTGAATTCGTCAATCCGCTTTTGCTTCTCAGCTGCAGAAATGCTTCCATCAAGCCGACGATGTTGCATCCCGAGTCCGTCAAGAAAGTCTTCCAGAATATCCAGATTGTCAAGAAATTGTGAGAACATGAGGACTCGATGTCCACGCTCTTGAAGCTTGGGAAGCATAATGGCGAGCAGCTGCAACTTGGAGGACGCTTCGACTAAATTGCGATACGACACCGCACCATCAACCGCTCTTTCCTCAATCTCACGGCTGTAAACGAAGGGGTGGCACAGACTTTTGCGCAGCTGCATCAGTATGTTGTTCAGGTTATGTCTTTCCTTTTGGGGGAGGTTGCTGTCGCGGACAAAGATCGACTTCATCAACTGCGGGTTTTTGGCCAAAATGGATTTGTAGACCTTTTTCTGAACGGTCGACATGCTGACGGGCACAATGATCTGGGCCATGGGAGGCAAGAATGTCAACACCTGTGCCTTGGTGCGGCGAAGGAAGAATTTTCGAAGCATAGTGTGCAATTCAGGCACATTTTCCTGTGTGAGGTTGGCATACTTGGCTTCAAGGTCGGCGGCACTGATGCTCTTGTCGAGAAACTGCAGGAGATTGAACAACTCCCGAGCATTGTTCTGAAGGGGTGTGCCTGTCAACAACACTTTGAACGGGAAGCGAAATTTTGACAGGATGTCGTATATCTGTGTCCGGTCGCTCTTCAACCGCTGTCCTTCGTCGACAACAAGGGCTTGCCAGGGCACCCTCATCAGACTTTTCCGAGTCTTCTCTTCAACAATCGACTCGTAGGATGCGACCACGATATGAGCCTTGATGTCCTTAACCTCGTGAGATTTCTTCTTCGGCGGTCCATGAGAATCTTCCTCCTTATCCTTGGGGAATAACTCATGGTCATGGGTCAGCTTCCTCGCCACAGAAGACCCGTAGTATGTGACAACTCTGAGAGAAGGCGCCCACTTCTTGATCTCACGTCGCCAATTGGGGCATGTGGAGTTGGGGACCACCACAAGAAAAGGCCAGCATTTATGATCCTGGACCAACGTAGCAAAGAAAGCCACAAGCTGAATGGTCTTGCCCAGCCCCATTTCATCGGCCAGAATGGCATTTTGATTAGTGAACCACTGATAGAGGAGCCAGTTAAGACCCTCCAACTGGTAACGCATCAACTCTCCACCGGTCACGATCGTCGGCTGTTTCTTTTTGATTAGGTTGGTCTCAAAGTCCAACGTTCGGATCTGCGTCAGATGGCGCTTTAGTGTTGTCTGAGGAGGTATGGACATATGCAATTTCATCACATAATCCTCGTATGCGGCTTTGAAATCATTCCATCGCTCTGTGTCGGCGTAGGCTGGCGGCTTCTCCCAAATAGCGTCTTCATAGCCAAGACCCTTATATTTGACGAATGCAGAGTCAACCTCTTTGACACGCGCGAGGTCTATCTCTTTGGTACTGTTGCGTACAACGCTCGAGTAGCGCACGTCGAAAACAATATCGACTCGGTAAACCTCCTCCGGGATTGCGTCCGCAGTCGTCAGTTTTGGCAGTTGGTTCTCTGGTTTCTTGAAGAACGCAATGCGCATAGTTGGCGTAGCGATGCCCCAGATCCAGTCTCCTGGCATCCATGTGGTCCGAAAATAGGATTGTGCTTTCCATTTGACCAGGTACTCCTTATCATCTTCCGCGATCTCCATCACACCAGTTCCTGGCGCGTATGTGTCAATATCGATAGGCCGCCATGCCACAAGAGTCGTAATCTGATGTTGATTTTCAACGCAGTCTTTGCAGATCCATGAACGGTGATAGAGCTCAAAGCGTTTCTGCGCCAGTTGCGTATCATCTACCATACCCTCTTCCTCCTCGTCATCGAGAGAATGTGCTGTCTTGCGGTCGGGAAGATGATGCATATGCCATGCACGTGCACATTGCGAGCATCTGAACATCACATTGCCGACATTGTTAATGAGTTTGGACTCGACAATGGTGATTGGATCTCTTCCTCCATTCTCTTCTCTCTGCAGTTGCTCTTGACGAGTGGTCAAACGACCACGAAACGGTTTCGATAATTCCCCCAGTTCACGACAGCCCGAGCAACGTCCCTGATGAGGCGCCATTTCATCCTTTTCGTGGGCAAGCCCAATGCAACGCTTACACTGCAGGACGAACAGATCTTCGCCAACCTTGGTGACCAGATGATCTCTGGTCCCACGGAACCCAAGGCAGGCTTTGTGGTATGAGTTTGTGCAGCCCTGGCAGAAGACCAAAGGCCCTTTAACATTATCGTCTCCCTTGACGTAACAAGTGTCGCACTCCTGCCGGTGTCTTCTCCTGAAAGGATCGTTGTCGGGAATCCGGCTGAAGTGCTCCTTCGTGCCGACAACCTTAGGACCCGCCTTCTCTCCCTCGTAGCTTGAGATCTCGTCTTCTTGGCGTTCTCGCATGCTGCGTTTCGGTCTGGTCTTTGTTCGCTCGGACCTTCGTGTTCCAGTAAGAAGCTCCACTTCCGAAGACGAGTCGCGTCTCAACCTAGAGCTGCGCTGAGGATGTGCAATCCCTCGCGTAGATGATCTTGTAGGTCGCTGTGTAGAGGCACGTGATCTTCCGTGTCTCTTTGTGGTACGAGAGTCGGAGTCATCTTCAAGCTCGAGGAGTCCTTGGTTGAAATATGCTGACTTTCTTAGTTTGCTGAGTCTTGCAGAGCGTCTGCCCTCCACGAGATCTTCACCAGAGAGACTCTCATCGTCCGCCTCCGACAGATCTCCTCCCTCTTCTCCTTCGGAGGCCTCGCTGTCGTGTTGTTTACGACGTCTCTTGGGACCTGATTCTTCTTCCGACTCTGAGAGTGGTATTGTCGTCCAGTCTATCATGCTCGGGTCTTTGCGTGAAGCTCGTCTGCCTCTGCTCGAGGCAACACTAGCTTCAAACTCCTGCAATGCATCGTAGCCATTGTCAAGGTCTCGAAGTTCCCGCGCAGAGACCTTGGGAGCAGACATGTCAGCGGCTGGTGAGGTCACGAGGAAGGTGTGGTGACGAGGGATTAGAGAGAATGATGTGAGGAATAGGAGTGAAGGTGTGAGAGGCAAGGCAAGAGAAGTGAGAGATGAGTGGATAGGAAAATAGGATGTAAGTAGAGGTCGTATTCAAATGCGACCCAAGTCATAAGAGGGGATCGACGTACAATACTCTGCTCACCACTTCCAAGCCTGACAACATAGGTATTTTTCTTATGCTCAGACAGTACCTTGTCCACAGAGAAATGTCCTGGCAGATACTCGTACGTTTCCTTCTCCTCTTCCGACAGGTTGGGCACGTCGATATAGAAACGCTTTTGGAATAGGCCGACTGACAGATCACCACCATTCTCAACTTCTTGATCCGAGGTTGGCTCTTCTGAGGAAACATGACTGCCGTAGTCTTTCTGGTGTGCGTTCCCATCATCGTGCAAAATATCTCCGGCTTCACTAGACTCGTCCGAGAGAGACAGCTCTGTCTGTCGGACTTGCGCATTTAGTTGTTGGCTGGAGGCATCTTCCACGGGCTCGTCGACCCTGCTTGGTTTCTCTGGCGGTTTGCCCATCCATGTCGTAAAATCTATATCCTCCATCTCTGGCAGTAGCCCCTCGGTCCACGGGTAAGCAGGCAGTCAGGCACCTGCGAGGCATCAAGTTCGTCGAGTTTGGCGAGCAGAAGCGGGACCAAGAGACCGGATCGTGCGATTTTCGAAAGAATCGAGGCCGTCGAAGATCATTCTATCGTACATGGCTTCTGGGTTAGGCAGCAAGCGTATGCAGAAAGGATGAGAGCGTGGTGAGAAATCGCAGTCAATGAAGATCAAGTTGCCCGTCGAAAGTGAGTGGGTGAACGCGCTCCGCGTCGCCAACCGACTAGATAGTACATACATAGTAATTGTGATTTTATTTCTCCAACTCACGCTAACTTTTCTCCTTCACTCCGCAACTCGATCAACGCTCGCCTTTCAAGCGTCATCCCCTTCGTGAATGCTACAATTCACTCGTCATGTCGTGCCCGCCGCTCTCGCGATTAGACCTACCCGTTGGCTCCAACCTGCACGCTGCATTTCCCTGACCGGTGCAATTGAAAAGGGGATTCGGAGAGCGCAGCAAAGTACGAACAATCTGGAAAAGCAATATGCAAAGCCTACTGCGGGCCCTCAGCAAGATCAAGGCCATACGTCAGACACTTTCAGTATAGGCGGAGAGGATGGAGAGAAGAAGGTGGTAATCATACCAGGCGAAGAAAGGCGAAGAGGCCAGAAAAAACGCAGGGGTCCTAGGACTGTACAGCCAGGGCAGGATTTGAAAAGCATAAAATCCGCACGCTCTGGCAACGGAGTTCCAGCTTCCATCCCCTACACAACAGCTGGATCGGAATTTCTTTACGGGACATTTTCTGTCTTGTCTGCTCTGAAAGCTCGGCGACGGAAACTCCACAAGCTCTATCGACTACTTCCTCCAGGCTACGGCAAAGAAACGAAGAGAGCCAAAGCTCTCCAGCCCAGAGAGTCTCCTGAGCAGATTCAAACACACAAGCAAATCCACAGCCTCGCTGAAAGGGCCGGAATAGCCGTTACGGCAGTGTCAGGACCTCGCTGGCAAGGAGTGTTTGCCAAAGCATCGGATGGACGACCACATAATGGCTGGATTCTAGAGGCATCTCCAATTCCGAAGCTACCTGTGACTAGCTTGTTACCCGTGGCTAATTCGCCTGACCCTGTCGCTGTGACCGTCGGTTGGGCATCTGAAGAGGACCGAGAGATCAATACCGTGTTTGGCGCATCTGGAAGCACAGCAACAATTCCGTCTGTCCGAAACCCTCTTCGGTATCCTTTCATGCTCTTGCTTGATTGTATTACGGACACCGGCAATTTTGGTGCTATTGTTCGTTCGGCATGGTTTCTCGGGGTTGATGCTATCCTCATCCTTGAGCACGGCACTGCACCCATAACAACCAACAGTGTCAAGTCGTCCGCAGGTGCCTTCGAATACATGCCTATTCTTCATATCAAGAACGAGAGGGAGTTCATCAGGGATTCGCGGAAGAACGGATGGAAGTTCTTCGCCGCCGATGCACCAGAAACTGACGGCGGGATGATGCGGCGGATCATGCAGCAAAAAGGCAAGAAATCCTTGGACGTCGAGGGCGCGCTCTCGAAACATCCTTGCGTCCTGATTCTCGGTAATGAGGAGACCGGCATTCGAGACTTCATGCGCACAATGATGGATGGTATGGCGGGGATCCCCAATGCCAGACCTGACATTGGAGAGATTGACAGTCTCAACGTTAGCGTGGCTGCAGCCCTGCTTACCCAAAAGTTTTTCGACGGAGCTCGTACCAAAGTTGATGAAGGTAGTCGTCCTTGACGCGCTTTGTCCTTCACGACTCTTGACTTGACTCTGCAGAAATTCCGATCAGTGGCCTGGATATCCCGACAGTGTGAATGGGGTCGAATCACTCCTCCGCACTACCTTCAGTCACAGCAAGCTTGAATGTCTCCAACTGTGGCGCCTACGACTGTGTGAGAATGCCGCCTGCACATTGCGCTCCCCACGACGGTTGGCATACATTGCTTGACGTCCTCGATAGCGGAGGCAGTGTTTCCCTGCTCAGGGGAAGCTTAAGCGTGCCGGCGACCATTTGCTCTACCGCAGTCTTATACGGTGACGCACAACGGCCTCCACTGGCAAATTATCGCCAGGGATTAATGTGCTTCGACAGGCCATTGGGGAGTTTCTATTGATCATGTTTTGCTCCTTATGGAAAATTCATTACGTTTGTGAATTCAAGACGCCCCTGCAGTTGAGGGGCCGACATGGAAGATCTTTGGAACGACATGTCCACATATATAAACATTAGTATCACCGTCCCAGCAGCCCAACTTTTGTCCTTTTTCCCCATTGGCCTCAGAACTCCCCATGCAAGAACTAGGTAGGTACCTAACCCCCGTTACCCCTTCTTGACCGGGATTGACCAGCATCATATCTCTGCTGTTCCATTCATTCCATGGTAGGCAGGCCCTTCTTCAGCCAGGGATTCTGTCTCCTGCATGGCGTTTCCTGTGTCTCTTCCGCTTCGCGTCTCTGTCAGCTTTTTGACAGCATCAACAATTCTCCTCCTCCGCTCTGCTATCTCGCTCATTGCATCCCTGAGGATATTCTCTAGTTGTGTCTGAGCAGACTCTCGTCTACTCCTTCTGAAAAGGTCTGCAAAATCGGCCACGAGTGCTTCGCCACTGCCGAACCTCCTCGGCACAGGTTTCCAGTGCTGCGAATTGGCACCATCCCCGGCCCTAGCATTGTGCCTAAATCCCAAGGCTTCTTGTTCTGCTCTCAGTGCCTCTAGGAACATGGATTCAAGGGCTGCCGGGTATTGAGCACGGTTGAAGTCCTGAGTGCCGGCGAAAGGTCTCGTTAGATCCAGTCCCAACTTACTCAAACGGGTATGAAGCTTCTGGCCCAGAGACAAGAGTCGTTTGTCGCCGCAGTACGCTAACTTCTGCATAACACCCGAGAAACTCAGGCGCATAAACTCGACCAAATCTTGTCGCTCGCCTTCAAGAAGTCAGCGCATATCTCCCACTGTCAGGCAAAGGGGGAGAGAGGGAAGTGGGGGCCAAGCACTGACGGCTGATGGTATTTCGCAATGGTTCTACTTCGCAAGCGTATTCGACTTTCGAATTCCATACCACAGCATCCACATATTCCGCGAGCTTCTGGTCAAAATCCCCACCGAGGACAAACGCGATGATGGCAAGGTACGACGCCTCATTCGCAGATGGCGTAAAATCGTCACTCAATATAGAGTCGCTGGCACTGCGTCTCAATTCCTGCCAGTCTGCCCTTTCACATCCATACACCCAGATCGTGATGCATATCTGAGTTATCCATTTCAGGAAGCGTTCTTGGTGCTTGTAGTCTGGGGCGTCGTTCCCTGCAGTCAAGTGGTGGATGACATATCTGACAGACCCGGCGCTCATACCACTACCATTGTTTGGGAGTAGACGAGAAGGGTCTCTTTGGGAGATGCACTGGTGAAGCAACCGATACGTTTTGATGCCGTCCAGCCCTTCCACTTTCCGCTCTCGAAGGTCTTTAACAAGTTTGGTGAGGTGTTGCTGCTGTTGTGGATCATTCCCATCCGATTCAGTTAAATCCTCTTCAAATGACGGAGATTCTCCCATGGGCCATCCCTGTCTCCTAAAGGTATACACTTGTCGTGGTTGGGCGCTGTCAGGGTGGTGGTTCCCAGGATTCATTCTTTTTATGAACAAGGTGTCTCAGAAAGCCGACCGCATGAAGATATCTACAAGTACTTGTGATAGGAGACGATGAGATAAGAACGACAAGCGTGTGGGACGCCGGGCGAGATTGTTAATGAATCCGGAGGTGATGGCGACTAAGCTGCTGGCATTGGGAGGGGACGCACCTTCAGGAAGCGAAGACGTCTCGCGACCATGCTATTGGCTCTGACGCGGGATTAGAGCCGCCTGCACGAGTGGTGGCTTGACACCAACTGACAACAAAGGGGGGTTGCAGAAGCTGCAAGGCGTCGAAAGTGCCAGGCAGCCGGTTGCTCAACAAGCCTCGCCGCTGATAGAGGCACTTTTCCTCCAGAACTAGTTTCTCGGAGAGACATTTCTTGATGATTCGGGCTGGAACCCCCCTGCTCACTCGACGACAAGTCCAACGGCTTCCTCTGGGACTCACGAGGGCGCACCATCCGTGGAGGCGAAGTGTTTGCCTAGTTACAAGAGGCTGGCCACCGCGCCCCTAAGCATGTTTCCGCCCAATAACGAACCGAACAGGCAGCCATGCTGCGCTCCGGAGACTGGATCAGACTGGCAGACTATTGCTAACCAAGTAGGAACGGCGGGTGTTGGCATCATCGACCCAGAGCCTGGATTCTTCTCCTTGAGAACTACTTTCCGCCGAACGCATATATGAGCCTCCGTCCTAGGCTTGCTACTGCCACAACAGGAATCCTCACTTGCATGTCCAACGAACAAAGCAAGACATGGCAACCAAAGAGGTTTTCAATTTTGGCCCTGTGCCAGCCTCCCCTCGATTGAACGTCACGGTGACTTACGATGAGTTGAAATCACATCCAGAGCTCTACTTTCAGGAAAGTTCTCCATGGTAGCATGGCTTGCTTTTAGGGACTCCCATTTCTGACTTGGCCATAGGGAGCTGATGTCGGGTTTATGATGGTGGCAGCTGCTCTGGTCTTCTTCATGATCCCCGGGCTCTGTCTGCACTTCTCTGGTGTCTCGAAGCGAGACTTTACGCTCACATTAGTGCGTCTGCCTCTGATCACTACCGGTGTCGTGGGATGTGTGGTAAGTTTCGAATGTATAAGGTCCTTTGCCGAAGGAACGCTGTGTCTGATGATAGATAGTGGTATATGTGGGGATATACGCTTGCTTTCTCTCCAGCGATATACAACGCATCCGCGCTGCACGGCGTCTCCTGGTATGGCGGCGATACCAAAGCAAATGCCTATATCGATGTCGCCGCTCGACCAGTCGGCATACAAGGTCCTAACTCATCAGTTCTGACCGGCCCCAAAATTCCAGAAATGGTCTATGTCTTCTACCAAGGCATGTTCGCATGTTTCACGTGAGTCTTCTTTGGAGAATCGTCGAAGTCGAGAGCTAATGTTTGTGCGCAGGGCAAGCCTGGTCTCTGGCGGAGCGGCAGGCAAAAGTCGTGTGGGAAGGTACCTCGTTTTCATTACCTTATGGACAACTCTTGTTTATTGTCCGGTTGCCAGGTGGACGTGGCACCCTCTGGGCTGGTCCAGACTCAGGGGAGCAATGGACTTTGCCGGTGGTACTGCTGTGCATGTCTGCTCCGGATCTTCAGTCGCGGCTCTCGCCGTTATCTCACAACTAGATGCTGCGAATTGGCGCATCAAGGTCGTCCTTCGAAAACGGACCGTGAACTTCAAACTCAAGACCTGGAAGGCCTGGAGATGGGTGTCTGTGGAAAAGCACACGACTCATAACCATGTCGAACTCCGAACAAATTCTCCAGAAGCACCATACGCTGCCAACGGATACGCTGCCCACGGACACACTCAAGCTCCAGGACCGGAAAATCCCACAGAAAGGCATCAACGCGATGGGTCGACTTTGCCCTACAGCATCAACCACATGGTATTGGGCACTGCCTTGCTTTGGGTTGGATGGTTTGGCTTCAACGGCGGTTCAGCCCTTGGGGCGAATCTTCGCGCTGTGTCGGCTTGCCTGGCAACGCAGTCTGCGGCATGTGCTGGAGGCACAATAGGATTACTGGTTCAATGGGGCCTGGGCCGCTATGACAAGAAGAGGGTGGCCGAACCCGACCTCACACCGTCAATACAGGAGTTCTGTGATGGTGTAATTGCTGGCCTGGTGGCCATTACACCCGCCGCCGGATACGTGAGCGACCCCGTGGCTCATGTTTTCCTTCCCGGTTGTGGACTGACGAGTCGCAGGTTCCTGTCAAATATGCCCCCGTCTTTGGCGTCGTCGGCGCCATCTTGTGCAAGATGTTGCGGATGCTCATGTATTATCTTTTGCCGGCAGACAGACGGGCTATCTTCGCCGTCCACGCTGGTGGGGGAGCCACAGGCATGTTACTTACTGCCTTTTTTGCAAAGTAAGCCCTAGTAAACAAGGTCCTAGAGAGTGATTTGTTCCTGACGCTGAATTTTCCAGCAACGCAACTACTGGTCTCGACGGGTACTCAAGACTGGTTGACAAAACAATGGGTGCTCGATTCCGGTGAGTTTTGCGTGCCCACAGGTTCTCGGGGCGAGTGCTTACTAACTTAATCATAGAGACCAAGCGCTCGATATATCTGCATGTCTCTTTTATTCTTTTACCATGACCTTCACGATCCGGATGGCCATGAAGCTGGTAGAGGTCTGGTGCGGCGTTGTCACTCCTCCATATAACGACCAGTTTGACCATTACCCGGACAAGCATGAAGCCCGCCCTCAATTCAAGCGAAGAAATTCGCAGGAAGAGGCGTGATGCCTGTGTCTACGGGATGGGGATCTCTAGAACAGAGCCACATAGACCATCCTCTCCAGCCGATCGATCACGGTTAGGTCGAAGAGCAGGCCCCTGTACCAATCTCAAAGGGCATGGGCCTTGCACAACGGGAGGCACCGGGTAATGAGGACAAGGCGAAGGGGGTAATGGTAATTGTCTTCGTTCCGAGGCGAAGCAGGGGGAAAGGAGGGCTCGTCCATGTGCTCGCTCGTATTCTCTCAGCCTCAAAAGGGCTTCCAGGGGCTCACAAGTCCCGCGGCCCTTGGCATAATCTGGATGTGTACTAGCGGTGTGATTGGGACTGTGATACGGATGAACCGACGACTCAAAGGCCTTGGACACAACTTTCCTGTCTAACATGCTTTCAGCCTGGATGAGAATTCCAAGCGAGGCGCTCTACACCGGTTACATGAATGCCTGAACAAGCAATCTTCCCTCAGCAGGATGACCAGGAAAGCGCTGGTCCGTCTTGGCCAGGACGTGCTTCCCCTTTTGCATGGACCAGGAGACGCCTCCCAGAGACCAAAGTTCCCTCCAAAGAGCCCGAACAGATCGGTAGATGACGGTTAGTGAGGGAGCCTGGTTGTTCAGCCAGCCACAAACCATTCATCACCGGCCAGACTCAAGCGTGAAACCTGTTTTCAGGAGGCAACCTTCAGGCGTGATGTTGGTCCGCGAACCAGCCCAAGCTCGTGTTCTGACTTGGCAGAGGCGCTGTGATGGTCCTTTGTTGCTGCCTGCCGCCTGATGGTCGACAGGAACGAGGCTGGTGGTTGAGAGTGTGACCATGGTGAACGGGCTATGGTCCGGTTCCCTGCCGAATCCCATGCGTGAGTACGCGTGGGATGGGCAGCATTGCCATTTCAGCATTAACCGTCAATCCTCTACAAGCTTAGAGGGGAGCTTTTGAGCCTGTTATCCTCCGGATGTTCAGGATGGTAAGAACCGCTGATAACAGGCACAGCAATTCCTCAGAAGCTCTGGGCGACATCACCCCATCTCAGGATGTCATGTCGGGATGCAAGTGCCATTGTGGCAAGTCGATTCCCTGGAAATGGGCAGCGCGATGCTCCAAGAGCAGACAATGCCCGGACTATTACTCTGTCCACTGCCACGAAGAGGATTGCAATCTGAAGGAGTGCAGGTTCCATGGCCACTGCTGGGATGGCCACCTGCCCAAGAGCTCAAGATTAGCAGCGTCACATGTCCCAACTGGCCTGACAATTCAGCATTTCTTCGTCAAGGATATCATTCACTCAGAGGACGAGACAGAGACACTGAGGCAGCTGCATGAGCAGAATGCAGCAACACGATGGTTCAACATTCGCCACCGCAATTCCCAGCCGGTGCTCTACGTCTACGATAGATTTGGTCCACTTTGTGAACCAACTGCTGACCCAACTTCCTCGGTCGCTGCGACATTCCCGACCTTTGTATCCTTCATCGGCAAGTCGGGTGTCGGGAAGTCCACGCTGGTGAGGGCCATGCTCTTGCTGGGAAACCTTGATGTACAACAGATCAAAGATGACGACATCTCCAATCTTTTAACGAACCAAAGCCGATTCGAGACTTTAAAGGCCGCCATATCGTCGCAACAGGAGATGCCAGTCACCAGGTCGGGTCACGTCGACCATGCGGCAGACCCAACGACGCTGGGTGTCCATCTCTACAAGGACTCCTCGTGCATAGACACACCGCAGTCAACTGGCAGTGGCTTCACTTTGTTCGCGGACTGCGAAGGGTTCTTCACTGGTGCTACCCAGACAAATGCTGAGCGCTTTACCGCTGATCAAGAAGACGCCACCGAGGCAAATGTCCTGTACAAGGCGCCTGTGACCGCAGCTAGCTACGCACGCGATGGGCAGCAAGGGGCCGAGTTATTCTACGCAAGGTTTCTTTATGCTGTCAGCGACGTCGTGGTCTTTGTGACTAACGAGGATCAAAGCATCACACTTCTGCTCGTGAGAGCCCTCGAGTGGGCGGCAACGGCGGTCATGCACTCAGTCAATTATCCTTCGCGGAAGACTCTCATCATTGTTCGCAACGGGGCCCTTGGCCACAGCCAGCAATTTGCCGATAATGAGTTACTCGAGAAGCTGTACCTGAACCGCCAGGACTTTCTATGGAAGGCGTCGCCCATACTCCAGAGATTTGTCAATGATTACAACAGCAAGCAAGCCGAATTCAGCAAGCACATTTACCGGAATCAAGACCTCTATGATGCATTGTATGATAGAACCATCTGCTGCTGCATACCACACGTCAACGACATTGAGGAAAACCGGGACGAGACCATGTTTACACAATACCTCAAACTGCGCACCCTGATCGACGACGCCTCCCAACGAGCAATCAACATGCGTTCCAAAGGTTGGATGAAGTACAATGTCTCATCCCTCTCCCAGATCCTCTTTTCGGCTTTCGAGCACTTTCGCACCAATGATAGAGCGTTCAATTTCAACGAGGTTGCAAGAATCAGCAAGCCCAACCCGCATTCATTCTCTGATCATATTGCCAATTTCCTCAGGCTTGCATTGGAGCCACCGCCGTCCGTCAAAACCAGGGCGATGATAGCTGATATGATAGCGCTGAACCTTGTTGTCTGGTCCATGAGGAATCTCATCCATGGTAAGAAAGCACAGCTCCCTAGTCATTCGTTCTTCGACTGAGTGGGCTCTATAGTGGTGGACCCAGCAAGCATCTTTGACGGCGTGATTGACGGCGATAAGGAGGAGAAATTCTCACTGGCACACCACTGTCAATCCGCCGTTCAAGAATACCAAGAAAAGTACCAGCCATGTGGGTATAAGTTCTCGGATAACGACCTGTGTACCAATGGCCCGGCAACTGCCCACCAACGGCTTCATTTGTCGGCATCCAGAAAAAGGGCGGACGGGGATTTCATTCCAAGGCATGAGCTGGACCCAAACTTGGTAAGTGTGATTCGAGACAGGTTCTTGGAGCATTATGAGAACCTTGTGAGCGACGACAGGACGAGACACCGGTCAATGACCAAACCTGCTCCAAGCAAGGTCAGGAGAGTCCGACAAGGCGTGGCGCAGAAATACTGTAAGCAATGGACTCGGATGACCAGCAACATCACCTGTCTGGCTTGTTTGCAGGCAGTTCCGGAGAATGTTCTGCATTGTGGCCACGGATACTGTGTCCAGTGCGTTCGAGAGCTGGGCGGGGTCTCGGAGAGCTTTGAATCAGCTTGGACATTCGAAGTCTGTCCGCTGTGCAGTGCACGGATGGGCGATAACTATTCGCATTTGATCAGGGAACGACCACGATGCGCTGGAACCCGCCTACTGACGCTGGATGGCGGGGGTGTTCGGGGCATCATTGAGCTCGCTATTATCCAAGAGATGGAGAAGAGATTGGGCTTGCAGATTCCCTTCCGCGACTACTTTGACCTTGTCGTCGGAACCAGCACAGGTAGGTCGAACCTAGAGCTGAGGTACTCCAAGGGCTGGACACGCTTATCCACTGACCTTCCTGACCATAGGTGGTATTATTGCACTGGGCCGTACCATGGGAGATAGAAATGCCGACACACAAACAAGCCTCTTGACGAAGGCCTTCAAATCATTTGCATCTTCCACGTTCGTTCACCCCCGAGCTGGCAGTCTCCTCACCAAGATTGGACTCGGTCACTTTGTAACGAGCGTGGTCATGTCGTTTGGCCTGTACCAAGCCCTGTTCGACTCGACGCCGCTGGAAAACGGGCTGAAGGATTTCTTTGGTGATCAGACCAGCCTCTTCGGGTCCGCGCGGACTCGCCATCACCAATGTTCGACCCGAGTTGCGGTGATTGCCACCAAGGAATTTGGGAAACGGGCACATCTCATCACCAGCTACAACAGACCCAACCTGGCATCCAGCAGCGACTTTGAGCGCGAAGACGACGAAAGCAAGGGAATGCGGATCTGGGAGGCTGGATTGGCCACGGCAGCTGCGCCTTTCTACTTAGCCCCGTTCAAGAAAGCGGAGACAGGGATCCTCTATTTCGACGGTGCATTGCACATGAATTGTCCGGCCCCCGGGGCGGTGGAGGAGATCCGGAAGCTGTGGCCCGAGCACACGCCCTCGCTCGACGTTCTCCTCTCGATTGGAACGGGGATCCAGGACTCGGAGGTCAAGATCCCCCGAGCCATCCGCATCGGCGGCTTCGAGGAGATCTGTCGCACATTCCACAGCAAACTGGACTCGGAGAACCAGTGGCAGGAATTCATCGCCAGTGGCGCGACGGACGGCATCCGTGACCGGCTACACCGGCTCAACCCGCCCATCGACGTGAACCTGCAAAAGGTCACCCTGTGGCACTGGAACAAGATGGCCAAGCTGGAAGAGATGGTGCAGCGGCAGATGAGAGAACCCGAATGGGTAGCCCGCCTCGATAATGCTACCAATGCCCTGCTGGCCAGTCTCTTCTACTTTGAGCCGGACGCCGTCCAGCCCTCGGCGTCCACCAACAACCTGACGCCCACGGGCACGCGGCACGTAAGCAACAACAGCGCCGCCCCCGAGCTCCACGGCACGATCCGCTCGCGTCTGCGCCACGGCAGCGCCGAGCTGCTCCGTCTCCTCTCGCACGTCAAGGGCCTCTTCTACACTAAACTGTCCATGTCCCGAGCAAGCCCGTCGGCGCTTCTCCAGCACGACCCATGGACCGAGGTCGCAGCCTTCCACACCATCAAGGACAAAGTGGTGGAACAGTCGGGCCAGCGCTTCCGCGTCCCAGTCTGCCTTGAGGAGTCATCCGAGGGCGGCAGCAAGCTGTTGGTCCTGGCGGTGCGACTGAAGGACTGCTCGGCGCCGCTCCCCATCAGCGGGTTCCCGACGCTGCTGCACGACTTGCATTTGAAGGCCAGATCCTGGGATTGATCATATAGTATTACTACTGGGGTTTGGTTTTCTCGAGAATGCTTATGAGAAGGCAAGTGTGCTGGCTTCTGCTATGTGGGACCTGCTTGACTGCCTTGAATGCTTGAAAGCACAGTACTCGACACCGACACCGATACCGATATCGAGATCGATATGATTTGCGTTTCACGGCACTGACTTCTTGCGCGAAACCTCGTGAGATTTCGTCTACAGTGGTTCGTATCAATTACATAAGAGATGGACACCCCCCTTTGTGACGAGAGTATGCCACCCGGGCACGATGCCCTCGACACATTTTCAGACATAATCAACTATATGGATCTATTGCCTTGGCTCGTTGGATCGTTTTCATTCGGACTTATCCAATCACCACAAAAATGGTCATGTATGTATGTACCTCGTACCGAGTATGGTCATGGTTTCTCTCTCTGTGTGTCTTCGTGTTTGTATTTCAATCACACCATACGAGGTACCCCGTACTCGGTACAGTAAACCACCTGCACCAGCCCCGGGACCGATTGTACCTAGGTAGTTTTGTGGCAAGGCTTTTTCTTCTTCTTCTTTGCCATAGCCATGGCCATGGCCATTGCACTTCCCATCTGCAGGTGGTTTCGCAGATTGGGGGCGACTATGATATGAACATCCCTTAACCCCCCCTCTAATGCATGTCCGAGAATGCTGATCCACGAATCCATCCATCGTCCCATCCGAAGCCCGTCGTTCGTTCGCCGTCACCAAAAGCCCTAGCCAACTAGCCAATGTATGTGTATCGGAGTTGAGCGATAATGTTGGGGCCTTGGTTGTTGTTGTGGCGGTTGTGTATCCCGTACCATATCGATTCGCCCTCGTCGTGCAAGGGAAAAATGCTTGAATTGATGCTGAGCCCATGTCAATAAAAATCTATCCACACCATGAAACGCCAATCTTCGGAGTTGATTTTGCTATGTTCCCCGTCCATCCGTTAGTTTCGGCCTGCCCTTTACAAAAAAGCATAATGTCGATTATTCTTGGTCCCTTTTGTCGCATGTCCGCAATGGGAGAAGATATTACACATCCAATCGTCCGCTTCATTCTTTTTTCCGTCAAAAACATTCTTCTTCAACTTCGTGGATTGTACATGATTTCTCAGTCCTGGTAAGAAAGTTAGTACAGATTTTCCAGAAAGATATGTTCCGAGAGTGTAAATCATACCTCGTCGGTCAGACGGTCCAGCAATTGGATACTCAGTATCATGACCAACAGCCCAAGCGTGACCACGACGAGCAATCCAAAGCCGAACCAACCTAGCACCATGGCCGCAGTCCCAACCCCGGACTTGACACTTCCATTTCCCAAGTCCTGCGCTACTGTACTTGCCGCCACGGCCGCGGTGTGTTGCCACATCACACTGACCAGCACAAACACAGACGAAATGAAAATCGTGGCCAGCGCCACCTGAGATACTGCTCTTGAGGGGAATGGTCGGACCTCGTGCTCGGATCCATCTGGTCCAGTCGACGTGTGCCAGCCTGGGAAAGTCGCCAGCAGCAAAAATGTCAGGAAGGCCAACACAATGGCAATAATCAGCAGGTATGGAAAGACAATGGCGTTCTTGAACGTGCTGGCTACCCAAATCAGATTCAACGGGTCCTGATCGATGGACACCAAATCGGCCAGTGCGGTGGAATTTTGATTGCACATCCATGCTCCTCCGTCGACACGGATACAGATGCCGAAATATCCTACACGGACGTTCAGGTCGGCATTTCCCACGATATTTGCTATCGCTGTGGTGACGGAAGGATCGACTTGCACTGAGCTGAAAACGGGAGGGTATTTTTGGTAGTATAACGAGATGAGGTAGATATCGGGGATCAGTGGGGAGGTTGAGGAGCAGCCTGCGAGCAGGAGGGCTATAACGGAGCCGTGTCAGCATTTCACGAAGAAGCACCACAAGGGATATGATCAAACTCACATAGTAAGATGATTGCAATGGCTATAAAGATCATGAGGACATGATGGTAGCCTATGAAGGGGACGAATCTTCTCCACCCTGTCCTAAAGCGTAGAGCCATTGTGCCGTCTTCTTAGGATCACCTGTGTCCACGGTGCTGTGTGTCTTTTGTATCTGTTCTACCGTCCGTAAGGACGGAGTTCGATATTGGAGCTCAGCACGAGAACAGTGTGTGGCACTTGGCCGGACTCAAGTCGTGGTCAAGGTGAGTTTCGTCGAGGCGTCAGCAATCGTAGGGTGGTGCTGACGGCCGCAGGTATTCAATCGATAGATGGTTGAGGATGTGTTGTTGTTCTGAGAGACAGAATGGTTAGCTGCCTGGGTTTCTTTGCGGCAGAGAGAGACAGATGTAAAGGAAGAGGAAGGAAGAGAGGAGAGGAGAGCAGAGGAGAGGCGTAGCTTGATTTAGTCCTGGAGAAATTCCGAGACTGGAATTGCCATGACTGTGATTGGGGTTCAGTGAGATGCCGTATCCGAAATCCGTGAGGTTGGGCTCTATTTTGTTGAATGTGAGTGAATTGGTAGAGATTAATGTGGTGGCAGGAAAAGCGCAGGTGTAACAAAATGTGGCAGGGAGCGACCGCCGACAAGGCTGGCGACGGTGCGAGGCTAGCCTCTGTTTTGGTTTTACCTTTTTGAGTTTAGCCTCCCGCCCACCTTATGCTTGCCTAGTTTCTGCCTGGCACTGATTGGGTGGACGGGCCACGGCAGCCTTATGACGTAGCGTTTCCGCTCTCCGCTTTTCACCGTTTTCCTTCACCGTTTCTTTCACAACCGTTTCGAACCTTGATTTCTCATTGCCTTCCGTTCATGCTTGGTTTGTACCAAGATCTCAATCATTGCATACCGAGTACGATGTACTTCTATCATAATCAATCAATGGCCCTGACCGTGCGAGCCCTAGTAACCAATAGTCGTCGGCCTTCTAGCTCATCGTTTCGGCCCAATGCACCGCCCCCAAGAGCCAATCCAAATCTCCCACATCACAATACAGTGCATCCCTGGGAACCAAGTAGACGCCAGACAGAATGCCGCTAAAGCTAAGAAACAAATTCTTTATGCTCGTACAAATGCAAATGAACTGAGATCAAACTTGGGCTGCTGCGCTGGTGAGCCGGCCTCCGACCTTTCGTCTTCGCTGTTTGGTATTATCGCGTCCTCACTCCCGCGCCCCGCATTTCGCCAAACAGCTGTTGAGACACGTGTATCCCTCTCCGTCGTAGATGTTTCACTCCGCTTGATCACGGTTGAAGACGATGCTCCGGGGGAGCGTTGCTTGTTCAGCGACCTCAAAGCTGATTGCTGCACCTCGAGTGGTTGGAATCCGAAGGTCTGTTGTAGACCCACTTCCCGACGAGATGACTGAATGTCTCTAGCACTCGGCGACTTGCTAGGTATACCCAGCTGGGTCTCTGTTCGGAAAGAGGGCGTCTGCTGCCTCAACTCCGCAGGGAATAGCGACCTTGTGAGGGAGTTGCCGCTCTCTCGAGGTTGGAAAGCAAAGGTCTTCATCAACGACTCATTCTGCTTTCGAACGTGGTATTCGAGCAAATCCTCAAAGGCTTCAGGGTCATCGTCCTTGCTAATTTCCCTCACAGCTACGGTACCGCCTCCCTCAGGCTTATCTGATGGCGAAGGCTGCTTTGGAGATCCGGCTGCGGGAGAGGATTGTGGTATGGATTCGTGTATTTCAGGCCCCGGAGATGAACATCGCACTTCCGGCTCCCTCAAGTCTGCCACCGTGTCGTCTTTGGCCGGACTCGCCGCTTGCTGGACTTTAGGTTCAGGCAGGCTTTCTCCATCCCAGTGATCTGAAAAGATGTCGAATTTGGACTTGGCATTTCTCTTGCTCTTGCGGATCTTCTGGGCCAGAGGACTGGCCTCTTCGCCCTTGGCACTGAAAAATGGACTTTGCTTGACCTCTCGAGTGGGCGAAGGGTCCATTGAGTCCGAACACAGTCGTTGTCTCTTCGCTGACTGGAAGGTCGATATTGTAGAAGCTCTAGCCAGGAAAGCCGTACGGTCTGTTGTTCTAGCGGGCGCAACTGACATTGTGGTGCTTTGCCTCAAAGCAGGAGCAGAAGAAACCAGTCTCGGTTCCCAAGACGCGTTCCGATTGCGTTGCAGCAGTCGCTGTTGCGAGGGAGAAGGGGTGAGGCTGTTGGGATCCAGTTCAGCGAGAGGTTGTCGCTGAGGCTTGAAAAATGTCTCTAAGGACTTCTTCGCCTTCAAGTCGGGGACGGACGCATAGCTCTGGCTCCTGCGCTCTCCCAGGGCCGGGCGAACCAACGGTTTGCTGTTCAGCTGAATGGGTTTCTTCGAGAATGGATCAAGATCACCGCAGGCGACACCAAGTGCTGTGGAAGCTTCCACATCAGGCCCCAGAAACGGCATGTCTGAATCCAACATCCCGGGACCAAGGTCGTTCAGGTACACCACTTTTTGTGCAATCGGACAGAAGACTCGGTGATGTAAAAAGGTCAATTCTGCATGCCGAAATTGCTCCAAATAGCCATTCGGTACAATCAACTTCCCTTCCAACTGCACCATCCGAAGGATCTTCTCAATGTCGGTATACTTGCGGACAAGGCCATGGGCTGTCTTCAACCCCAATTTGCCAATATTTGGCAAGTAGTCGCAGCCGCTCAGGATGGCCATGCGTCGGAACATCGTGTCTGTCCAGCCCGCAAGCGAGATGTCTCTGCACATGGGGAAGTCCGACCGCTCAATCTCAACCAACTCGCCATATTGATTAAGCTTCGTCAATAACCGTTGGGCACCAAAAACCAGCATGTCCGAATCCTCAGCCAGAATTCCATTGATGATACCCTTCTGTTCTAGATAGACCAACTGTGCATCGGCTTCGTAGGGCGCCACGATGTACTGGACATTGAGCTTCTTCAATTCCTCGATCAATTGTCGAGCCATAAGAGGGGTAACATCGATGGCTTTCTGAAGTTCTTGTTGCGCTTGCGTGGTTTTCCCAGCCTTGTGCAGTTCCAAGCCCAATGCCCTGCTTTCTTCTCTTTTCTTGCGCCTGGCGGCATTTGTTCCTGCTTTGCTGGGCAGATTATCCCCGTCAAAGACCAGATATGGAGTAACTCCGAAGTCAAGCAGCATGCGAACCCGGCTCAACACGAAATCAATGTGGATAGTGGTCGGCTTGTCGAGGGCAAGGGCGAAAGCACAGCCCACCACGCCGCGATGCAGCCAGCCATAGGCGTCGACTCCAATGGTCTGTCCGGAGAACTTTTTGAGGGTGCACTGCTTCTGGATGGACTTGAGCATGGGCAGCAGGCCTAATAATATTAGTATACTGTGTCATACGGAGTCAATATGCTTGCCTTTGATGCCCATCTTTGCACCGACGCCAGCGCTCACCGCTTGTTTACGGTATCTACAGGCACCTCAAGACGGAGAAGAGGAAGGATACAGGAGCGGTAATTGTAAAGAGTGAGCGGCGATATAGGTGCAGATGGACTTCCCACAGCCATTGGGTGTACTCTTAACGTTCGACCTCCAAAGTTGTAGGAGTTGCGTTGCATAGCATACTAACTTGAGCTGGCAAGGCAAGCGCCCACCCGAATACGCGCCGCGAGCTGCACCGACGCGTCTGGGGCCTTGCGAGTCTCGCAGCCTCGCAGCCTCGCTGGAACGGGCCGATGTTTTGCCGACCTCCACCATTTTTTTCCACCATCCCAAGTGTCAGTGTCACACAAATCCATATGGAAAAGGCCTGATATTACGGAACTAGGAGCCCCTACTTGCCATACTATCATCAATCATCCACATGGCTCGCTCTCTCAGTAAGGTCCAAAAGAAGATATCTAAGAAGCGGGGAGGCAAGCCCAACGACCTACATGAGAATAGTCGAGATGCAAAGCGGCTCCGACAAGCAGGGGCAAGGGAAGAGAAGTTGGCTCGGCTGATGGATGCAGCATTAAAAGCCAACCAAGTCTATGGTAAGGCTGGCGCATGGCATTGAAGTGTTTGTGTATTAAATTGTGATCACTGCAGTCGAACGGGTGGCGTGGTTCAAGTCAGCCCTGCAAGGCTCTTCAGGCCCGTTGACCGACGAAGAAATGCAGCTACTCACGCAGAGGTATGTGGCCGAGTTGGGTTTGAAGTCGAAGTTGCGCAATAACAATAAATTACAGCTTTATTGAGCGTGAGGATGAAGAACTTGCCGAAGCCAAGCAACAGCGTCGACCTGGGAGACCGCCTACAAAACAGGAAGAGAGAATCAGCCAGCGAAAAGAAGTCGAGGAACGCGAATTCCGTGCCGGGTTCTGGGTCCCTGAACTTCGAAATGATGAAAGCCGAAGGAAGGTTGAGAGATGGGCGGGAGAGTGGGGTGGATTGAACACGCTGGACTTTGTTCGCGTTGTGCAATCGGGCGACATAAAACCTTCAAGCTTCCCTCCCAAAGCTCTTTCATGAGAGGAAGTGCATCTTCAAGACTGCCGGCTTTCTTGGTTCTTACAGAATTGTTTCTATCCATCCTTTCTGGGACATCAGAGTCTCCACTAGCGACTCGATTTTTCCATGGAGAGGATGCCGGAATCATGCGCCAACAACCTCAGAAGTGGAACCCCCGCATAATCAGTCCACTGATCAGGAGCGTGTTCGGTATGGCTCTATGGGCGAAGGAGCCCCGACGTGGAAACGTGCGCCAGAGAGATACCATCAACCAGCACGGTAGCTGTCCGCTGGAGCGGCCGTGCCGCAGGTATTCTATTCCGGTACTACTTGGAGGAGTAGGAAATCTGGACAGGTCAAAAGGGCAGCCCTTTCCGGTTAGAAAGTGTCCCAGAGATAGGAGGACTTTTGGGGACACTGGCCAGCAAAACGTGTTGGCTGAAGGGTAGAATCTCAGGATTTGACCGGAAAGGCGGAAAACGAAGGAAGTTGACGCAGATACCAGATGGGAGAACCGATTCTTGGTGGTATGGGCTTCGCTCTGGCATCAACAAGCTGAGCATGGTGAGCTTATACTACAGATTGGTGTCCTAGATGGGTCCCCCGAGTGCCCAAACCAGCTATTTTCAATCCATACCTAGGTAGGTACTCGGCGTTGTGTGGATGAGTGCAAGTCAGATCTAAGCTCTAAACAAAGAAAGGGCAGCTGTGTGACCTTCCCTTTTTCCTATCTACCCTGACTCGTGAAAAGTGCATATCACGTGTTTGACTGACTCGTGCTCAAAATTTACGCTGGAAACTTTCTCGAACCACTTCATTTATCTGCGTATTGCATCTTCCGTCCAGGGCTTTCTTCTTGTATCTCTATCGCCGAACTTCCTTGTAATTTCTGCTTCCAACATGCTTTCATTCCGTATGCTCAGCCGGGCATTGCCCAAAAGCTCCCTGCGCCAGCCGGCAGTCCGCTCCTTGTCGTCCATCACAAGATTCGCAGTTCGTCGGCCGCAATGGCAAGCAGCGATGAAGCCATCGTATCCCGCATTCTCGACCTCTATTGTCCGAAGAGAGCCCGCTGGTCAATGTAAGCATATGCAACTACATACTAGAATTTTGCTAAAGCAGGTCACAGCGGACGAGGCGCTCGTTGCGAAACTGAACAATGAACGAATGCTCGAGCTCCAGTCGCAAAGCGATGATAGACTAGCCGCCATCAATGAATTTCTCGAGAACAGCCCCTTCAAGGTTCAAGACAAGCCTGGCTCACATGAGATTGTCCTGACTCGAGATTTTGGCAATGAAAAGTGAGAACCTCCCGTCGCTGGATCGTGACAAGCCGACGCTAATAGCAACCAGAATCAAGATCCAATTGAGCGTCTCCGACCTCTCCGAGTACCCAGCCGAAGATGAATTCGATGCCCTCGACGAAGATGGTGCTCTTTCAGACGAACCGGACTTCGAGGTGCGAAAGAAAGGCATCAATCAGCCTGGTGGAAGAGGAGGGAAAGTCGATGTTATGCCGGAGGATAGCATTGCACCAGCCGACAGAGCTGAAGGGGGAGAAGAAGCCGACGATGTGGCTAATGCTACGCCTGCATACCCTGCCCATATGACCATCACAATCACAAAGCCGGGCAACAAGGCCATCGAAATTCGAGCGGTTGCCCAGGATGGTACCATCGAGATCGAAAACGTCTGCTTCTTCCCCAAGGACTCGCTGCTCGAGGCACAGAGTACCAAAGACGCTTCAGAAGCCCGCAGCCTATATGCTGGTCCGCCTGTCGAGGACCTGGACCCCGAACTCCAGCAAATGCTCCACCAGTATCTGGAAGAGAGGGGTATTGACGAGGAGCTGGCCAGCTTCCTTCCAGAGTACCTCGACTACAAGGAGCAGAAAGAATATGTCAAGTGGCTCGAAGGTGAGTTGATATACCTAGACCCAGGCAAGTCTGCGGTTGTGCTGACCTCTCCAAACAGATCTTGAGAACTTTGTCAAAGAATGATGCTCCCTACCCTGGGTGTCTCTGTAGTATTGGGGATTGCTTCCCACCCATCTTACTAGATCCTCCACTTTGAGCAACTTTTGTCATGTCAAAAAAAAGGTGTATATTATGTTACAGGGACAATTCTGGACCAACAATGAAATAAGCAGATACCCAGTTGAGGTGTTGGCCAACTGCATCAAGTTCGCATATTTCCTCTCCATAGGATCATTTAACTTTTGTGACTCCTGCCGGGACCACTCGTAGAGCCAACTGCTGACGCCCACGAGAAAGAGCCATACCAACTCTCATGAAAGTACCGAGTCATGATTCCGTGGAGAGGCTGATACTTACCCCCTGACCACCGAGCTATGGGGTCTATCCGCCACGCATGGTAATAGCAGCCGACAGAAATGGAAAGATATCAATGTCAGTATGGGGCGTAATGCGTTGATTGACTAATATTGGCAATGGCTCGTCGTGTCAGCCTTGGCTTGTGGTTGCAACCATCATCGACAACATGCCACGCAATTTCAGACCGTCTACTTTGGTTCACCACGACTTGCCTCGCATATCCCGCAAAGCTTGAAGATGATGCTCTCGATGCTTGGCTGGACTACTGGTATTTATCAACCTCGGATGCTGAGCGTCTCGGTATACAACCTCGTATCGCGGATTGACTAACCACTCTGCCAGTCTCGCGGTCCGAGTCTCTGACCCCTCACACTACCGAACTTGAGGCTTCTCAAGTGCTTGGGAGGCCGCCAGCCTCTGCGGAGGCCCTCGTGGAGTCGGTGTAACTGATCTCTCCGAGTTTGTCGCCTGTCCAATGATGAAGGTCCCGAAGAGCCTGGGATTCTGTCATCGATTAGGTATCGTACAGACAATGTGGATCATCCAGAGGATTAGCACCCACCTAGCCACTTGGGAGACTCGGTATCCGGAAGCCACGCTGAATACGGCTTCCAGACCCCATCAGTTGCAACCTCCACGCAAGCTAAGATGTGATCGGTTCTGAAGAACTCCTCCAAGCGGCATCGGGTTGCCTTGTCTGCGGCCCCCCATATCGCGCTGGCCCCTCCCCCGAGATGCTCTTGGGGCGAGTGGAGAGCGGAAGAACGACGTGATTAGTTGGCGGGTGCAGGACTCAGTACTTCTACACGGGGATCTATCACTATCGAGGTCCACGTATATGGCCGCCTGAGCCAGGGTTGAAACCCTGTTGTGCACAAAATGGGTGTGGACCACCGTTGCCGTCGCTTTCCATTGCTATCAGGCACCAGGTTTACCTTTTACCCTTTAAACTGCTGACCTCTCTCGACGCTTTCGTCTCCCTTCATCTCTTCAGTGACTTGTCTGCCATCCAAGGAGCTCCGAGTCAACCGCGTCGCATTCCGGTCGGTTTTGCTTCTGTTCCAACATGAACCACTACCAAACCCTGGCCCTCGGCCTGCTCGGTTTGTCGATCGTCTACTTCTTGGTGGCCTCTTTCCTCTCAAAGCGCTATCATGCTAGAAAAGCCACGGAGCTTGGATGCCAACCAGCCTGGCAGCGCCCTCACCGATGGCCGTTTGGCACAGACTTGGTCTGGGAACTTTTCCAGGCCGACAAGAATCATGTTGTCCCAAACTACCTCCTGGATGTCTATAACAACAGGACTGGGAAAAAATCCACATGGGCACAGAATATGCTGGGGACTATGGGCTTCGTGACATCGGACCCCAAAAATATCCAAGCCATGCTTGCTACTCAATTCAATGATTTCGAGATTGGAGAACAACGCCGCGGCAATTTCTTTCCCATGTTGGGCAATGGCATCTTTACTTCTGATGGCAAAGCATGGTGAGTGAAGGCTTCCCCATGGGTGTGTATATTGCGACCCCTGTTAATATCATTCAAGGGAACATTCTCGGACTCTTCTCCGCCCTCAGTTTGCTCGCCAACAAGTCGCCGACCTACAACTGGAAGAAGTCCATGTCCAGGACATGTTTAGACATCTCACCACCGAAAACGGGTGGACAGCTCAAGTCGACTTGAGCCCGCTCTTCTTTCGTTTGACGCTTGACTCTGCCACCGAGTTCCTGTTCGGCCAGAGTGTGGACTCACAAGTTGCCGCTTTGCCGGGGTATACCCAAAAGACTCGGAAACCGGGTGAATTGGACTGGACGGCATTCGCATCCTGCTTTGATGGTGGGACTACTGCTCTCGGCGTCCGTGGAAGAATGGCAGAGCTGTATTGGTTGTACAGTCCCAAGCACTTTCATGACAATTGCAAGGAAGTCCATCGATTTGCCGACTACTATGTCAATCTTGCATTAACCACCGATCTATCGTCGTTGAGTGAACACAACCTGGAAAAGGGTCAGAAAAAGGAGAAGTACATTTTCTTGAAGGAACTCGTACAACAAACACGAGACCCCATCGAACTTCGAAGCCAACTACTGAATATTCTGTTGGCCGGCCGCGATACAACCGCCGGTCTGCTTGGTTTCACGTTCTACCTGTTGGTCAGGCACCCAAAGGTCTTCAAGAAACTGCGCGAGACCATACTGGAGGATTTTGGCACGTACGAAGCCCCCAAGTCCATCACCTTTGAAACACTCAAGTCTTGCTCGTATCTGCAAAACGTCCTGTCGGAAACACTTCGACTCTTTGCCACTGTGCCCTTCAACAGCCGCCGCTCGACCAAAGACACAACCTTGCCTCGCGGCGGAGGCCCTGACGGTAACTCGCCAATTTACGTCAAAAAGGGGACGGAAGTCAACTACTCGGTCCACATCATGCATCACCGGGAAGACATTTGGGGACCCGATGTGGAAGAATTCAAGCCCGAGAGATGGGTTGGGCGACGGCCGGGCTGGGAATTCTTGCCCTTCAACGGCGGACCTCGTATCTGCCTCGGACAGCAGTTTGCGCTGACGGAGGCGGGCTATGTTATTGTCCGCACGCTGCAGAAGTTTGACGGCATCGAAACTTACGAGACTGACCCAATCGTGCGCCATGCGTACGGTCTCACCACTGCGCCCTTGCGTCTTCCTGTCCGTCTTCACGAAGCGTCTGCGAGTTGAGGAGCTTGCATCGCATTGTGGCAGATCGGGGTGTGGCTTCCCTGCAAGGGATACGGGCAGTATCGAGCAGCAAATGGAGCATATCATATCGCCTCTCGCTCTCATTGTTTGACATACCTTATCAAGTATCTTTGCGGCGTCAAAAGCAAGACCATATCTATCCGCTCTTGTTGAATCCATCCACCTCCATCCGCAGTACGCTGTCATGACATTGATATCAAGTGCACTTCTCCTCATTGTCTTAACATATTGTTTATGACGCCAGCACATGTCTATGCTCTACCTATTCGCCCTTCAACTGGGGATGAGAGATTGCCTCCCCTTGGAACCGCAGTCAGCGGGACTTCCAGTCGGGTGATGCATTGCTGCCATAGGAGCTTAATGCTGGATCCCTGCGAGAACCAAAATGGCAGAGGAGCGAACTTTCGACTGACATGCGATTTCCGCAAGTGACCACTGCACTTGGAAGTCCACCTTGGCCCAGAACTCCAAGTAGAGGCGTGGTACTCTCTCCTCGAGACTCTGCGACGTCAGGCTGGGATAAAGAGGTCTTGAACGCATGGTATTTTCCCATGACGTCGGCGTGCTGTTCCTTCTTAATTGGGCTCTCTCGCAGATTGTACGACAGATGGAAAGGAAGACTTTGGGTTTAGGGAGATACCGAAAAGAAAAGACCCGTGCACCAGACGAATCGGGACAACATTGTGGACGATACAGGACCAAGCGAGCCGACGCTACAAGTACGTTCCCAGAACTGTCAGGACGTAGAGGATAGGGCCGCAGGACCATCGACCGTCACGAACTCAACTCCATCAAACTTGGCCGTGTCACCAGTAACTTCCCTTTCCTCCGACCACAGAAACACCCTCCGTTGACCGAAACAGCGGTTGCGAAACTGGGAGTTCTGAACCCAACCCCACAAGTGATATAGGGCATATACCCGGAAGGGCGGGAGTGGGAAAGGAAGTTCCAGGCACAGGATGAGTGGCATAGAGCTGGTCGTCGACTCTATGGCGTTCCTGGAATCTGGGGTGAAGAGAGTCAGGGGGGGCGGTCGTGCAAGAGAGATCCCTAATAAAACTACCCATGCGGCTTCGAACCATATGTTGAACTACTCTATGTACTCGACCCGTAAGGTCTGGGGAAATTGTAAGCGAGCCACGGGTGGACGCACTGGTTCTACTAGGTACCTATCTGAGATTCGCGATTCAAGCTTTGACTCGGTCCCTTCTCTTGGGTTTATTGATTGGTCGGCCCAGCCGGAGCGCCGTAACCAGCCTGGAGCAGGAGGGATGGCGGGAGGGGGGAAAACATTCAGTACCTAAGTTACCTTATGGTGGTTATTTGCATGTGCAACATGCAGGTGGTTTCCGTGCAGGTTGTGGCGTCAGTGCCGTTTCGTGGGGCGATGATCCCTGCAGAGAAACCTCGCAATGACGATTAAATCGCCCGAGTGACGTCTGTCGTTCGCTCTACCTAGGTAGGTAGCAAACCTGTACCACCTGGGTGCCTGGATTGAATTGAATTGAATTGAATTGACTCCCCAGGGCATCCAGATCATCGACCGATCGCCGGAAGCATGGCGAATGGACTGGGACTGGGACTTCCAAGGGTAATGGATTAGATAGATTCTAGAAAGATAGGTAGACGCACGGGTGGATGGAATGAAGGGAATGAATAGAGGAAATGCCCATAGGGGGGTTGCACACAGGCCAGAAAACAGAAAGCAGGTTTTTTTCTGGTTTTACATATTGAAAAGTTGAAACTCTGAGCGGATTTGCCCATTTCTTGCCTCTACTTTCTGGTTTATCGAGTAGATCTTATATTTTCTTTTTCTTCTTCTGTCTTAAACTCCTCCTTTCTGTGTTTTCTCTCTAGGAAACCCCGTTTATACTTGAATACACGTCCATAACACAAGGCAGAGAACTATATCCCCCCCATTCCCCCAGACATCAATATCAAATCAAACCATAACCATAACCATAACCAACCAAGAACAAACCCCAAAAATGTCCTCCCACGACACCTCCGCCGACGGGTACTCCTACTCAACAATCCTCCTTCTCTCCGTGACCGGCCTCTTCACGCTGTTGGCCATCGTCGCCGCGGGCGTCTATTTCGCGGGCTACGCCGACGACGTGGCCGAGTGGTGGGCTAAGCGGTACTACAAGGCGAAAGCGGTCGCCGAGGTGAAGTTGATGGAGAATGTGGGCGAGGAGAGGGTCCAGGGGATGGTCAAAGGTGAGTTCCTCACTAGGATTCGGCCCTAAAGGCCGGTTGCTATTACAGCTGGCTAATTTTGGGGGAATCAAGACTCGCTGAAGAAAAACCCCGTCATGGGCGAGGACGAACTCGAACAGGTCTCCGGCGGCTTGGGCAAGGAAGCTGTCCAGGAGGGTCTCGGCGGTGTTAGTGGCAAGTTGGGCGGGTTGGGAAAGTTGTGAATATACCTACCTAGGTAGGGAAAACTGCAATTCCATTCCCCGGCAGGTGGCTTCTTTGAGGGAGAGAGCTGGGATAGCGTTGGTGTCGCGATATACTGAACTGCAGACTGGGATCGGTGCGAGGTTGCAGTAGATGACCGGGCGCCTGGTTGAAAATCACACGTGAGGAGTTGAGGCGGGTCTCACCAAAATTGGCATCGAGAAAACGGAATCAGATGTAAAATAACTTCCAGCCTTCCGGGATATAACAAAACTTTGCTGAGCAAGGATCCAGCACTGGCTCAATAAGACAAAACTTAGACATCCATCTGCCTCAGATCTTGCAACGTTCGAGCAGACTTCAGCATCTTTACCAACAGCTCCGGGTAGTCCCATCCCAGCGCGCTGGCAGCCATGGCCGTCAAACTTGCCTGATCTTCGCGGCCCGGTCGGCCTGGACCGGTCATGTTGGGTTTCATATTGACGTCGAAGATTGCGAACTGGGAATCCGTTGCCTCTGTGAGCTGCCTGACGTCGATTCTTATCGGCGCCGTCACCCGCAGCAAGCGAGCCACCTCTTCGCATTCCTTGCTGATCTCTTGATACCGTGGATTTGCAGCTGCCTCGTGCGGTGTCAGGGCTTTTGAATTGGCTGTCACAGCTACGACGCCGTTGTACGGTGCGATACCGTCTTGGTGGTTGAAGCGCACGACGAGTGGCAGTGCGTAATAACCTTCACGGTCCTCGGATGGCGGCATGACCGTGATGGTCGCTTCCTGGCCAGAGAGATACTCTTCAGCCATGGCGATTGGGCTTTCCTTGAACAAGACTGATAAATGCGCAGAGAGATCTGATGAGTTGCGGCACACCTTGACGCCGTGACTCCCTCGGCCACGAATCGGTTTGGCAACGATTGGGTATGGCAAGGTTTCAAGGCTGAGCGATGATGTGGAGTCCAAGGTCCATGAGCGAGGCACGGTGAAGCCGCCATGCTTGCGGAGGAGATTGTTGACATAGTTCTTGTCGTCGTATTGTTGGACGAATCGCGGGGGTTGACCCACGACTTTCATCTCAGCAGCATACTTGTCAAGAGCTGACGAGGTCTGCAGAGGGTGCGAGGCAAATAGAATCGTGTTCGCCCATAAAATGTTGGCGCCTCGCTCGATGGCGGACAGGATGCCTGCCTCTGTGTCAGGATAGCACCAGCCTCCATCTCGCTTTGGGTCAGGATTCCTCTCTGCAACAATGACATGGACATCCTTTCTGGATGCAAGGACGTAAGCGATGTCGGCCCCTGAGTCTTGATATCCCCCGGGTTTCTTGGGTTTGCGAACACCGTTGACCTCTGGAGGGTCGCATGCTTGGTAGAGGACCGCAACGCGTAATGCGGTGGACGGGCTATGTACCATGCTGAAGGGTCGTGCTGCTTGGCTAGCTGGGAAGCAGCAAGATGTCAACAATCTCTTGGTAGCTGTATTGAGAAGCAGAAGCCTCATCCTCGGGATGCTGGGTCAAAGCACAGGCCATCTCTTGGGTGGACTGCGTAATCACCGCATCTGAGATCTGACCCGTTGTAGAGCTTGAGGAGCGATTCAGACTCATCAGTAACCTACAGTTGCTATCGCCGGGCAGATATGACAGAACCTACCTAGGTACCTTAGGTCGATCCATCAATGGTGCGTCGAGACTCTGAAGGAGGCTTGTGGACGATATTAATACCTGGTGAGTGCCTGGCTGCCCAGGTGGGGTTTCTTGCTCCCCCTAGGCCCTTAGGCTCCCTTAGGCTCAAGGAAACTTATGCGGGTCAGGCTTCCAACCACAGCACATGCCTTTCTCCAACTTCATTCCTGTTCGCACAGCTTCTGGTTCACCGACTGGTCAGACTTGCTCTCTCATATCTAACTGAATGGCACCCTGACTTCTTCACCCACATCCACCTTGCACAGCACAACCCACCCATGACCACCACAACCGCCCCCAAAGACCGTCTGTGGTCACGGCGAGAGATCGAGGGACTGATAGCAGAAGGCAGGAAGATCATAATCCTCGATGGACGTGTGATTAAGGCTGATGCTTGGCTCCCCTTTCACCCTGGTGGTGACAAGACCATCTTGCATATGGTTGGAAGAGATGGAACTGATGAGATCCGGGCACTTCACTCCCCTGGGGCGCAGGCGCACATGCTGAAGTTCGTGATCGGGAGAATCCAGGGGAGATGGATCAACTTCCTACCTCCCATACAGGGCGGGCATTTCAGGCCATATATCAAGGGTCAGGATGTCGACGAAGTGGAAGAGGAGGATTCAGACGTGCAGACTGATGGTGCTCTCAGCTCTTGCAGTGACAGTACCGCCCCTTCGTCACCCATCTTTGACCCTGTCGACGTTCGAGAACGAGGGACTTCGTCACCGTCCACGTCTTCCTTGTCTGACAATGAGTCGGCCAACGTCAACAACGACCCTATTCAGATGAAGCTTTCGGCGGAAAAATCCTCAGACATGTTAAAGTACCCGTCGTTAGACTACAGCTCGCAGAGTCGGATTGTCGCCAAGTACCGCGAACTCGATGCTCAGATGCGAGCAGCTGGTCTTTACAACTGCCCATACGGTGCATACGGAGTCGAATGCTGCAGATATGTCCTCCTCTTTGCGTCGTCTATGCTTGCACTCCACTACTCCTACTACGCCGTCTCTGGTGCCCTCCTCGGCCTTTTCTGGCACCAGCTAGTGTTTACCGCCCATGACGCCGGGCATATGGGTATCACACACAACTTTCACGTCGACACGTGTATTGGAATCTTCATAGCGGACTTCTTGGGTGGATTGTCCATTGGCTGGTGGAAACGCAATCACAACGTCCACCACATTGTGACCAACTCACCTGAACACGATCCCGATATCGAGCACATGCCCTTTTTCGCCATATCCACCCGGTTTTTCTCGTCTTTACGTTCCACCTACTACGACCGGATCATGCAGTTTGATAGCATTGCAAAACTGGCCATCTCGAAACAACACTGGTTATACTATCCAATCCTGCTCCTGGGTCGCTTCAACCTCTACCGCCTCTCCTGGGAGTATCTCTTTCTGGGCCAAGCCCCCAAAAAGGGACCTGCGTGGTGGCATCGCTACCTGGAAATCCTGGGACAGTTTGTCTTTTGGGGATGGTTTGGCTATGGAATTGTGTATCGCTCCATCCCTACAGCTTGGGACCGCTTCGTGTTTGTCATGATCAGCCATATGGTCACCGCGCCGCTGCACGTACAAATCACGCTTTCCCACTTTGCCATGTCCACCACGGACATGGGCGTGCACGAGTCCTTCCCACAGAAGATGCTCCGAACAACCATGGACGTCGATTGTGCGCCCTGGCTTGACTTTGTCCACGGCGGACTACAATTCCAGGCCGTCCATCACCTGTACCCGCGGATTCCCAGACATAATCTCCGCAAGGCGCAGGTCTATGTGCGGGAATTCTGTAAAGAGACAGGTGTCCCATATGCAATCTATGGCTTTACGCAGGGGAATAGGGAAGTTATCGGGAGGTTGGGCGAGATCGCGAGACAAGTCAGAGTCTATGAGGAGTGCAGGAAGGTGTGCGCGAAGGAAGTGGTCGGGGGGGGAAGAGCATGTCCACTCTGACTGAGCGACAAATGTGGACATGAACCGAAAAGATGTGTCAATCAATAATGAAGATCGAGATATTGTCTTTTTGGGCAAGAAATGGATGGTTTGATATGAGACCATTCTTCAATACATATAGATCATGATGAGATGAGAAAAGAGACAGGGATGTATATATGCGCGGGATCAATTACTGGGGGATGGAGAAATAGAGGCGTCGAGATGATACTCTGCACTGATACCAACAAGTCTACCTAGTGCATATTTCCTGAATAAAGGAAGGTTTCAAGCAAAGTAGGTCTTTTAAGAATCTTTCCCCCGTGCCTCCATCCACTGTGATGCCAATCCCAGGGCGAGTCGAGATTAGCACATGAAAAAATGAACCAGACGAGCACCGCCAGTTCACTCGAATTCCACCCCGGCAGTGGTAATCCCGAACCCGAACGCGCTTCTGCCTCCCTTTCCGCCTCCTCTCCCACTCTCGCTGCCCACATTCCCTGCACACACATTTGCTGCTGCTGCTGAGCTGGGGAGGAGAGTCGCCACGAACCTCCCCTTCCGCACGGCCTCGAGCCGCTTGTCCCGGTCCCTGAGACACTCGTCTAGCCCCATCTTGGCCGGGAATTGTGGGACGGGCAGCCTTGCGAGGGAGAGTGAGAGCGTGGCGTAGGATGTCCAGGGGGAGACGAGGGGCGCTAGAGCGGTCGGGACGGAGGTGGTGCTCGGCTCGTTCAGCGGGCGGGTCGAGGTGGAGGGAAACTGGTGAGAAGAAGGAGGGGTTGGGGAGGTGGTGCTGACGAGCACGGCACAGTCGAACCGCTCTTGTAAGGTCTTGAGATGGGTAATCGTCTCCGCGGCCCGCGATGGTCCTCCAGGGTTTGCTGTGGCGGGGGCCTCGAGCTTCGCCATGGCCTGGTCGCCTCGGTCCTGCCAGTAGAACGCCGTCGCCGAGTCGATCACGATCAGCCCCAAGGGCCGATGCATAGAGTGATGTTTGGAGCTGTCCAAGAGGTACGTGTCCAGAGACGAGAGGATGGAGATCATCTGGGCTGAAGACTGTGGTCGGAAAACGTGTATGTGGTCGAGGGAGGAGCGGATGATAGTTTGTTGTTGGACATTTGCATCGGTCAAGGTAGTACCCGGGGCAGCAGCTTGGCTAGATTGTTGGTGGTGGTGAGTTTGTAGGTAATGCTGCATCATCTGCGCCACCCTTGTGGCAGAAAATCGCCCGTCGGCGTCGACGTACACGGCTGTCGATTCCTTGCCGCCCAGAGACCTCGGGAGGACCGAGACGGCGCAGAGATGGGAGAGCAGAGACGTCTTTCCCGAGGCGGATCGCACGCTTGTGAGTTCAATCGTTGCAGGTTTGGGTTTGACTGTGGGCGTTCGTTCCTGTGGCCCGCGAGAGTTGGACACCTCGTCGTCACCCCGGTCTTCCTCGTCCAAGACTGGAGATGCCGCTGCCGGTGAGGAAGGCCATGCTCCTTGACGTTGGAGAGTGTCTTGTGTTGCTGGGTAGCGTAGTGATTCGAGTAGGCTGTCCAGCTGTGAGACACCCAGAACAGACCTCGGTCGAGGATTGACCGTACATCTGAGCTCTGCTAGGAACTATTGATGCGAGCAGAAGTGACAATGATTAGATACGTACTGACATGGATATGATGTGCCACTGCAGCCTCGAGAATTGGGGGTTGGGTGGGATAACGAGGCTGTGGATTATGTCCCGTACATGGTGCAAGGGAAGGTGAAGCGGAGACTTTGCAAAAGGATCATGAGATTGATTTACCTGCTCGAGACTCTCTTCGTGGACCTCTTCGAGGAGGCGAGCTCCATATTGTTCTGCCGACATGATGCCCTCGCCATGGTATACCCCCGCGTGGTAAATCTGTTTGTCGTAACTGGATTCAAAGAGATGCTCGGAGGATATTATTATTGTTGAAACGGTGGTGCTTTTTCCATCGTGGACAGAAACTTCAGAAATGGCTCCTCCCGAACACCCCTTCCCCGTCTCGGAGCTCGACCAGCACGTCCGCTCGCACAGTGTCAATTACAAGGAGAAATCGCGCAAACTGCCCCAAGACTTTGACCTGCAGCGCGATTGCGAGTTGATGGAACTCGTCCAGTACAGTTGCACCACGGTCAAGCAGCAATATGAGAGGGCCCTCGCAAACGGGACGGGGACGGCCAGGATGGAATGTTTCCCCATTGTCAGGCTGTTTAGGAAGTATGTACCCTCTCAATCTTTATGGATTGGGGAAATCTCGAAAGGTGCTAACGGGTGGTTCTTCACAGATGCGTCAAAGGTGGGAAGGTGTTTCATGTCGAGACGACAGCGTGGGAAGGGCAACATGCCTGGAAACCCCCAAATACACAGCCGACAGTGCACATGAACAACAGCGACCAAGAAAAGCCTGCGGCGGACGTCTCGTCAGGAAATATGGTTACGTCCTACTGGAACTCGCTATGGTCCAAAAAGTAAATCCTTTTGTTCTGCCTGGGGTATCATATGCAAATTTTATCCCATCCAATGTGAACGACCAGCCGAACGCCAGCGCTGCCAAAGCATCAAAGTGCTGGAAATCACAGCTGCATGACCACATCGCCTGTATGCGATCCTGAGCTACTCCGCTTTTCGGCAAGAGTGTCGTTGACCGGTGCCCGCCTTTTGACCATCAGTTCTTCCGGCATTCGATACGCCTTTTCGCAGTTGACGATCGGTCCTAGCTCAAAACCACCGCGTTCCTTGGTCAGCAAGTCGCGCAGAGTTTCTTCAAAGACTGCTTCTTCCGACAGATCAACCCCAGTCTTCCACCGCTTACGGCGAACGATGGGGGCAGATTTCTTTTTGGAAGAGATAGCCTCCGTATCGAGCGGATGAGCAGCGTCCAATTTAACAGCTCCTGCCAGCTTACGCAATGCCTGCTCACCAAGTTTCCCTTCTTGGGTCGCCAGCTCTCTGATCTTCCTATTATCGGCCAGTCGGTCCGGGTACACGGGTGTATTCCTGTAGGTATGTGCCGAGGGCAGCTCAGGCAAACCCCGGGTTGTGAATGAGAATTTCTTCAACTCGCCGTGGCCGTCCAAGCCGGGACCAAGGAACGATGCCGGGAGTTCGACGAAATTGTGGAATTCGTCTTCAGGGGGCGGTGTTGGCAATAAAGGACGGTTGATGGAGGGTTGGGTCTGATACGGGCCGAGTTGGTCGTCCGGGCGGGGAACATCGAGGACGTCAACGGCGGTCTCGAAATCGGTGGCGATGGGACAGGTTCGCCGGGCTGCGATCATGGAGCGCCGGACCTTGGAAAGGAATTTGAGCATGACTGCCCAGGATAGTCAGCACATATATGCCATGCCTGCGGCGTTGGAGTAAACCCACATTCGTCCATCGCTGCTGCCATGGCTTCCAATGCGACTGACTCAATCACCGGATCTTGGATCCCTTGTTTCTGTGCCTCCTCTTCACATATCGTCTTTATACACAGCACTACTAAATCATCCACCACCTCCTGCTTCAGCAATGCTGGTTCCGAGGTCGGCAAGGACTGAAGTTTGTGTCGCATGACATGGTGGTGATGGTATGGGATTTTCCTCTGCGGGGAGGTGGTGGACATTGGCCTGGACTTTTTAGGTCACTGTAATTTGAATATATGGCGGCAGGAAGAATGTACTCCGTTCTTCTGTAATCATCACCTTGCCCGCGATAGAACTGCCCTCGGTATGGGGAAGGGCATCGCAGGAAAGTTGACTGGGAGCACAGACTCAATAAAGAAGGTTAACCGACGAGGCTGAGCATTACATAAGGCGCCAAGGCTCGACCTCAATTGGACTGCGGATCTTGAAGGAGCTTCAACAAGCTACTGCTGGTGATCAGACCACCACTTTGACTTAGCTACCACTTCAGCCTCCTCTTCCCCTTTCCCATTCGTCTCACAACCCTCACACTCACCTCGCACTCCATCTCAGAGTTGGGGTACATCAGCAATTTTAGACGAGACTGAGCTCGAGCCAGAGCCAGATCAGAAACAATGGCGATCAAGCCCATTACAGGAGTGCGTTTTTCCTGTCCCCCACTCTCCTGCTCAACAGAGCACATTATCTTGCCCGGCCAGCGAATGGAAACTATTCGGGCTGTGTGCTTGGGCTTGCATGAGAAAAGCCGGCAAAGGCTAACATTCAGTGACACTTTCCGCAGATGCTTCGACGAGGCCTCGTCTTGGATATCAGCATTGCGATGGGTATGACCTTCTACCTTCCTATCTAGCACCCTTCGAGCTTTTGCGTCCCAGTCTGGGCAGAGCCGGCCTAGTTCTTGGTCCTGCCTCCGAAAGAGATGGGACTCCACCGCACAAGATATGATCAAATCTCGACATCCGTCACTTGCCGAAATTATGGGAAGACGAGGAATTCTGCAGAAACCTGCACCACCTGCAACCATTAGTAGAGCATACTACTGATCAGGGTGTTATGATTTATAGGTCTCGGCACAACATTCGGCTACCTCTGGTGGTACGGCTACCACCTGCCCCGCGTACGAGCCAGAGACAACTTCTACGCCAGACTCGAGGACGAGCGGGCGAGAGAGGCGGGCTTCAAATAAACAAAGCAAATTCGACGTTGTTTTGTGCCCCTGTGCTAAGATCAAGACGTGGGAAGGCGGTGGATCGGATTTGTCAGTGCGAAGGACCGTTTCCAACGACCTCTGGGGGCTCTGCGTTGTGGGAATCTAGGTTCGGCAATGCTTGGGAGAGGACAGTGGGATTGAAGCTTTGAGATGTGCTCGCAGTGTGAGGAATCTGGGAGAGGAGAGGAAGAGGAGACGGAAAAAATCCCAATGGCGGCTCTGTACATACATACCAAACGCCTGGCATTCTGAAAGAATACAAAAAAACTCAAGGTTATAGCAACCAAGGAAAGTCTGTGGATTCCATCATGTTTTCTGCTCTATGCTCTTGATTCTTCTACACGAAATACTTGGGTATCTATCATCCTTGCCGTGTCGGACCATACTGCGTGACATCTTCGGCGCATTGTGGCCACAAGACAAGTTTTCAAGGGCATCATCCAGCAACCTTCAGCGTTTGCTCTCCCAGTGGATACGTAGGTATCAAGTCGAAAAGCATTCGTCCATCATCCTCAAAATCGACGGAGATATTGGGCCTGTAAGTGTCGTAATCCTACACATTCACAATCTCTTCCTGTCCTTCCTGACCGCCCTCTCCCAACTATTCTCGAAAACACACTCTTTCTTCTTCAACGCTCCTCCTGTCTTCCCTGAGACATCGGCACCAAGGTTCAAATACCTGACCACCTCGACGCTTCCCGTGCCCACGCCCATGGTTTTGCCGACAATCACACTCTCGCTGACGCCCTCGATCCGGTCGACCTTGCCCGCCGCGCCAGCGTCAAAGACGTGGTCTGCCGTCTTTTCGAAACTGGCCAACTGTAACACCGAGTCACGCATTTTGGCCAGCCCGAAACGCGTGATGCCCAGAACCTCACCCTTGTAGGTCATCACGTCCGCCAACAGGTACATGTGGCGTGGATCGATCGACAGACCTTTTGTGACTTCTTGGATCTCGGTGATGATTTTGGAGCGTGCGGCTTCAATCCCCAGAACCTGAAGAGTTTCCATCACAGAGTTGGTTTCAGTGTGATATGGGTCGACGCCTTCGGTGTTCATGCAATAGCGGAGACCGTAACCTTCGACCATGACTTTGTGCATTTGGACAGGTGCGGTGTCCTTTTGCGACACGGAATGGGGCGGGATGGATGGTGTTGGCTCTTCGAGTTTGATTTTCGAGGACAGTTTTCCACTCGTGGCTTCCTTTTTGACCTCAGCGTCGGTGGTAGAATGTGCCTGCTCGGTTTTCACCGCCATAGATCTTCGCATGGCTTTGATTTCATCTGACCTCGGATCGTCTTCGGCCATGACCACAGCTCTAGTCGCTTGCGGATGGCCGAGGACATGCACGTTGGGCAGTATGCGACGCAAAGTCTGAAGGCGAATGAGACGTTCACTTTGACCTTCTTCATCAGCCTTTGCCGCCGATCCCCTCTTCGCAGATTTGATCGCCGATTCTGTAGAGATCCTGAGCTCATCCTTGCCGCGAAACTCGATCCTTAGTTTGGCAGATTTGAGTTGTCGATGTTTTTGAATGGCAATCACTATATCCTCCACTGTGAGATCCAGACCCAACTCGGTAATCGTGTCCAATGAGATCTGGAGGTCGATGCAACTTGGTCTGTCTAAAAAGTGGTGGATTTCGATATAAGACGTGACGTCTGCCAGAAACAGACTTTCGATCCGGCCTTTGACGATGCGGGCAAGGCCTTCGGGTATCGACAAATCTCTTCGGCGCTCTAACCGGCAAGTAATGACTGGCGTACTGATCTCCTTTGAGGCATTAATGATTTCCTTGATTCGAGGGACACCTGCTGTCAAACTCATGCCTGCGACACCGGCAAAGTGGAAGGTTTTCAGCGTCATTTGAGTTCCCGGTTCTCCTATGGACTGTGCACCGACAGCCCCAACCGCGTGCCCGGGTTCAACACGCGCTCGCTCATATTTCTCCAAGCAGAGGTTCACAAAAGCTTGCAGCGTCTTCTTAGAGAGCTTAGACGTGAGCTCAAAGCGGTCTTTCGTGGATGGAGCCGGCCTCGTTCGCGCGCGATCGTCTATGGGGACGGGCTTCTGCTTTTTTGAAACCTTTGACGTGGTGGGAATTGCGCCTTTTCTGCCCGAACGTCGTTTCTGCGCAGGCCCTTCTTCACCGACGTCATCTAGTTCAGCTTCGGCTTTTCGCTTTCCTTTGGAGGCCGGTCCAGACGGTGGCAATGCAAACTGCTGTTTCTTCGCCCTCGCCTCATTGAAGGCGTGGCACTTTGCCATGACAAAGTCATGTATTGACTGGAGGAAGGCTCGGTTACTCTCATTTTGGTCCACCAATTTGTCGTCATCAGTATCATAGCGAAGCTCAACACTATTGAAGCCAAACCTCGTCAGCAGACCTCTCTTTGCCGACAGGATCTCTTCCATGACACTGAAAATCTCGGTATCCTTCAAGCCTTGGTCCTTTATATCAAACGTGGTCGCCTCAACGTGAGCATAGGTGCGGTCAAAGTCGACCGGTTTAGCACTTGCCTCCATATCGACGGGATCCAAATCATCATCTCCGAAACGAAACTGCACAATGTTAGAAGCGGAGTTGCGGACCGTGCGATCGTAGTTGGTAGAAAGATCTTCAAGAGACTTCATCAGGCGCCGCGACATGTAACCGGTTTCTGCTGTCTTGACCGCAGTGTCCACGAGACCAACTCGACCACCCACTGCGTGGAACAGGAACTCATAAGGGAGGAGCCCGCTGAAAAAGCTGTTCGAAACAAAGCCTTTCGATGGAGGTGATCGTTCATGTTTCAGGAAATGAGGTAGTGTGCGGTCCTGAAAGCCATCGGCAACACGTTTTCCTTCAATGTCTTGTTGTCCTAGAAGAGCTGCCATTTGAGCCACATTGATGTTTGAGCCCTTGGAGCCAGAGACAGCCATGACCATTGGCGTGTTGTTTTTACTGAGCTGAGAGGTCAAAATTCCTGCAATGTTGGTTCGAACCGTACTCAACACCCTGATCTGCTCTGCTTCGAGGGTGCCTGCATCGTCCAAACCCGCCTTTCGTTTCAGTTTGCCTGCTTTGGAATCTCGAACAAAAGAGCCACACTCGTCAAATACTTTGGCTATCATATCAGCCTTTTCCTTGACGAGCTTTTCAGGCGGTGTGACATCACTGATGCCAACAGTGAAGCCTTGATTGCCCAACCATCTGGCGCAGAGTTTCGATAAGCGATTCATCCCCTGAGCGGCAGCATCAGGTCCGAAGTCACGGTATAGAATGTAGAAGATCGAGTTCTTCTTTCCGGATCCGACGGTCGACTTGTCCATCCTACCGCAAAGCACCTCTGAATTGCGGACACATAAGAAACTATCGTCTTGGAGATCTCGATGTAGGCCAGGGTGGTATTGATTATGGTCTCGGCAAGCGGCATCAAGATTAACCCTCACATTCGACTCCTTGTTCGGACGCATCAAGACGCTGAAAACCTGCTTGCCGGTCCAGAGTGTTTGAGGCTTGATAATTGCGGGGGGCGGAAGCTCGAACTTTGTTTCAGGCTCCAGCATCCCACAGCACATCGTCACGAATGTTTTCTTGTCGAAGAATTGATCCAGGCTGCTCAAGAGGAACGATGCTGTGATGAAGTCCTGTATTGCCGATATAATCGGTTCGCCATTTTTGGGCGTCACAATATTATGCTTCACGCCCATCAAAAGCATTGCTTCCGTCCGAGCTTCTTCTGTCTGGGGAACGTGGAGATTCATTTCGTCTCCATCGAAATCTGCATTGTAAGGGTTGCAGACACATTCGTTTAATCGAAACGTCCGATGTGGTCGGACTTTGACGAAATGGCTAAGGATACTGAGTTTGTGTAGCGACGGCTGGCGGTTAAACAGAACCACATCTCCGTCTTCGAGATGGCGTTCGACGACGTCGCCTTCCTTTAGATGACTCGCCGTGAGCTGACTGTTGTATTTCAGAGAGTTCTTGAATCCTTCTTTTTTAATGACATGGTTGGCTCCTGGCCAGACATTGGGTCCATTTCGCACCCGTTGTCGTAGCTTTTCAATGTTGAGTTCGTTGACAACTTCCGGGTAGGTCATGTTCTTTGCCACCAGTATAGGGACTGCGACTTCGTCAATGCGCAAATTAGGGTCAGGGGAGATGACCGTCCGCGCCGAGAAATCGACACGTTTGCCCGAAAGGTTGCCTCGAAAACGTCCTTGCTTGCCTTTGAGACGTTGGACGAACCCTCTAATCTGTTTTCCAAATTCACCTTTCGCTAGACCTGGTACGTCGCTGTTGATGTACATCGCCAGTTGAAGGGACAGATAATCCCAGTGTTCCATGATCTGTGAGGAGGGCAATCCCTTCTCAAGAGTTTCGCGCAGAGCATCATTAGCAGCGACGATGTCCCCGAGCTTAGCGGTGATATCGTCTTCGGTGCTTGAAGCCTCTTGTCCTACCGACGGTCGGATACATGCAGGAGGGGCAGGGACGTATGTCCAAAGAAAAGATTCTGGTCTCGCGGAAAAGAGCCCGAGCAATTCACGATCGGCACGGCGGATTCGTTTGAACAGACGCAGGGCGCGAAGAGGGGTCAAATCGTCCATTGCCTTTTTGAGATGCTTCTCGAGTTCCGAGTTGGCAAGCTTTGCACTCTCAAAAGATTTGTCAAACGCCACCTTTTCGGGCGGCGGTACCTTTTTCGCGGAGGTGGAGGCATTGTAGGACTTGAACTTGTCGTGGGTAATCTTGAGAGAATGTGTCGTCGCTTTTCGAACCAAGCCATTGACAGCGCCACACTCGAAGCACACTTTCGTCTTTTTGCATTGATCTGCCACCCGTCTGACAATAGCAGTCTGTTTCAGGCTATCATTTTGCGATCTGCGGATCGCACCCAGGAATTTTCGGCGGTCGGCTTCGGAGAGGAGAATGCAGGAACAATCCTGGAAAGGTCAGTATTTGGTGGCGGTGTATTATTTGAACATGGCGCATGCCTTGCAAATGCTCTGTAGAATCTGGATAACTTTTCTGAAGTATCCGACGTGATACACAGGAAGAACCAGTCGAACATGCCCAAAGTGACCGTTACACTCTTGCAGATGTTGTCCACAGGTTTCGCAGCTGTTCTGTTTAGATGAAACGCCCATGCGCCTATCAAGAGGCCCATATTCAGCGATAGCACGAGTTCCATCCGAGCGTGTCTTGTCGAGATCGAATAGGCGGCGGTCGACAAGTTCAACAGCAGACTGATTGATTATGTCTTGATCCGACCTGGACACATCAGAATCGTTCTTCAAGCACCACCACGGTCAATCCTACAGGACGCCAAACTGAAGTTCTTTGATCACTTTGGGAACGTCATTTATCACCTGCTCTTTCCCTAGGATCATATCCTGAACCTGCGTGGCTGCAGTCATGTTGCCTTGACTATCACCGCAGGGAGCGGCGTGGGAATGCGGAATACGGAGGAGGATCAGGCATCGGCGCGACTGCTGGTTGTCAGCTCAGGAGATGGACTCCGGTTGAGTGCAACAGAAGATCTAGGGTTCGTGTATGGGATAAGTGCAGTGTAGGTATGTTGTAGCGTGAATCGTTTTATTTCTAGACGCTCAAAGAAACCATGGTGGGCGACCACAAAAAGTTCTCCAACTCCACCCCACCTCAACAAGGCTGACTTCGACAAGGCTGACTTCAACGAGGCTGCGCAGCCTCGCACCCCCGAACCAATCATGATCGTCATCAATCACACTCACTCGACAGCTTGCTTGTACTCAGTAGTTCCAAGTCGACAACCGTGCTCTGTGGTCATCTTCAATTCCATCACTCCCGACAGGACCTCAGAAACTCCGTCCCGCCCTAGAGACCTTGATAATTTCAATCTGCCAATCGATAGCTGACCATGGTATCTACCTTGTGGTTGCTGGTGCTGAAGCTGCGTAGTTGGACTTTCTCTGCGTTTTTAATCTCTTTGGCGTCGCTGTCTCCCCATTCAATGGGGACATCCGAGTCCGCATCAGCGTAAACCAGCACATTGAAAGTGCAGTTCCCATCAAGCACCGGCAAAAATGTGACTGACGCTGTAATCTGTCGAAAGATGGCTTGGATCTCTTCCTGTATCTGGGTTTCGGTCTTCTCTGGTTCGGTCTCTTCTGTAGCAACCTCGCTGTTCTCCTGTCAGACTTGTCCCCTAATTCTCTCTTTGCGTCGCTTACTCTGGGGCGGTGTTTTCCTTGTCCGCTGCCTTCTTTGAAGATCGCTGTTTTGAAGATTTCCCAAGAATTTGGACGTCAAATTGCCACCTCTCAACGTGTTCGCCCGTCTCCTTGCTTGTGATAACCACCACCAGCTTTGAGATCTTGCCACCAACCATCCATTTGTTCAGTTGTGACATGATCTTTTTAATGTATGCCTTGACCTGGTCGTCCGAAGAAACGAGCATGTTGAGGCCATACTTTTTGACTCTGCACCATTCAGTCAGAGGGTTTTCCGGGGTGTTTTCATATCGCTTACGGTGTGAAATCCTCCGCGGGATATACGCCTCTCTGAAACCTGTAATATATCAATATTTCATCCTCCTTTTCCAGTGCTGTGGCTCACAGTATCGTGTTTATCGAGTATTCAAACTGCTTTTCTCAGTCCCGGCGCGTGTGAGATCGGACGAAGTGCACTTACGAATTCTGCGACTGTTTTCGATGACCCTGCGCGTCCATCAGCACATGATCGTCGCTTCAATCAATACAAACTTGCCTTTGAGAGCAACTTTGTGCAATTGCGACTTGTCTTTCTTCTCAACCGCCATCTTGCTCATGCTGGATGATCAGTACAGAGCAAAGTGTGGTTGACGATGATCGGGGTGGTTTTGTGTTGATGTTGATTGTTGACCGGGCAATAATCGGCAACATTCCTTCCCCGTATTTTCTGGCCTCAGCACTGGCAAGTTTTTCTAGCACCTTGCGATGCGCAGTCAGGGTCAATGTCCGGCACCACCCCAAATATTCTGACCCATGCGATCATGGCTGCAGCTCTTTGCACGGCGAAGAGCGGCTTTGAGCACCCCTTCTGCCTCAATATGGCATAAATCGGGGTTGCGGTCCTTTGCAGCCTCTGCTTTCCGGTACGCGCCAACCAACAGTCCTCCTGGCGACCTCGAAACTCGAATCGCCGCCATCCCGATAGAGCGATACCGTAACTTCTGCATCGTTGCGCATGTTGACCATGGCAAGAGCACGTTGAGCGACCGACTTCTGGAGTTGACCGGTACCATCCAACCGGGCTCGAACAAGCAAGTCCTTGATAAGCTGGATGTAGAAAGAGAACGGGGCATAACAGTCAAAGCTCAAACATGTTCCATGATTTACAACTACAAGGGGGAGGACTATCTGCTTCATCTGGTGGACACTCCTGGTCACGTTGATTTTCGCGCAGAAGTCTCGCGAAGTTATGCCAGTTGTGGGGGAGCTTTGTTGCTGGTCGACGCCAGTCAAGGTGTCCAAGCCCAGACAGTCGCCAATTTCTATCTTGCTTTCGCACAAGGTTTATCGTTGATCCCGGTCATCAACAAGGTGGACTTGCCTCACGCCGATCCTCCCAGGGCACTGGAGCAGATGCATGATGCCTTTGAACTTGATCCTGATTCGGCTGTTTTAGTGTCAGCAAAGACTGGGCTGAACGTGGAGAGTGTCCTCCCAGCTGTTATTGAAAAAATTCCAGCGTAGGTACTAAGACGCACTCCCATTGAAAGTGCTTGCTGACTGTGACAGCCCTGTTGGAGACCATACGAAGCCCCTGCGACTGTTTCTGGTGGACTCCTGGTACTCAAGTTACAAAGGAGTTATTCTGTTGGTCCGCATATTCGATGGTGAACTTCGTGCAGGAGATCAGATTATCTCCTTCGCGACAGGTCTCAAGTATACTGTGGGCGAAGTTGGTATTATGTACCCTGATCAAACTCCTCAAAAGGTCCTCCGGGCTGGACAGGTTGGATACGTCTATTTCAATCCCTCGATGAGAAAGAGCAGCGAAGCTAAGATCGGAGATACATACACAAAGATCGGATTTCAAAATCAAGTTCAACCCCTGCCGGGCTTCGAAGAACCCAAACCTATGGTCTTCGTTGCGGCATTTCCGGTGGACCAGGGCGAATTCGAACAACTTGAAGATAGCATTAACCACCTCTTGCTGAATGATAGAAGCGTCACGATCCAGAAGGAGTCATCACTGGCACTTGGTGCTGGATTTCGTCTGGGCTTCCTGGGAACACTACATTGCTCTGTTTTTGAAGATCGACTTCGACAAGAACATGGAACAAGTATCATCATCACTCCACCCACCGTACCATTCAAAGTACTGTACAAGAACGGCAAGGAGGAAGTCATCACAAATCCGGCCGAGTTCCCGGACAGCGAGGAAACACGCAGGAATGTGGCAGAACTCCGCGAACCCTACGTTCTAGCAACTCTGACCTTTCCCGAAGAATACCTGGGAAAAGTCATGGAGCTCTGTGAGGCCAACCGGGGTGAACAAAAGTCCATGGAATATTTCACATCCTCTCAAGTCATCCTCAAGTACGAAATGCCCCTGGCCCACCTCGTGGACGATTTCTTCGGGAAGTTGAAGTCGGCGACTAAAGGGTATGCTACGCTGGATTACGAAGAAGCCGAATGGCGGGTCAGCAACATTGTGAAACTCCAACTGCTGGTTAACAAAGAACCCGTCGATGCCATCTCCCGCGTCATGCATCACTCCCAGGTCCGGCACGTGGGGAAGCAGTGGGTGGAGAAATTCAAGGAACATGTCGATCGGCAAATGTTCGAGGTGATAATTCAAGCTGCTGTCGGTCGACAAATCATTGCGCGGGAGACGTTGAAACCGTTCAGGAAGGATGTTACTGCAAAGTTACACGCAGCAGACAAGACGAGGAGGATGAAGTTGCTAGAGAAGCAGAAGGAGGGAAGGAAGAAGCTCAAGGCTGTCGGCAATGTGGTCATCGAGCACTCTGCCTTTCAGGCATTTCTGGCGAAATAGTAAGGAGGACGGGGTAAGATTCGCCTGTCGAGAGTGTACTATCATCATAGAGCAAAGTCAATCTTTTCTTCTTCTACCATCCTTCTCACGCAAAGAGAGAGTCTCGTCACGCCCAGCTGTGTCATTCAACGAATATGTATCTTTTTCAGAAATGAGGGATGGCATCACTCCACCTAACACGCTGGTAGATCCCTGCTGGCGCTGACCGCAACGATATGATCGTTTCGACAAGCAGGAATAATCTTGCAGCAACATAGACGGCTATAAGCAAGGAGAGAACCCAGTCTAAAACTCGGTTGTCTGTAATAACGAGGAACAAGAGGATGGTGGGACCGATGGTCGCAACAATGCTCGACACTCTCCACAGTGTGCTCTCAGCTGAGGTAGGGAACGAGTAGTTCCACGCAGAAAGGTGCCATGCCCCAATCCCTCCGGCCAGAAGCCACAGTATAAAAAACCAAAAGTAAGTTAGGTGGTCACTTGCAACGTTAAATTGGCGTATATGCAATTTCTGCATCAGCAAACGCCTGTCGCCCTTTGTGCTATCGAGCATTCTGTCGATATCTTGGACGCTGATTGAGGGGCATGAGATCGTCCTCCGTAAAGAGACTCCACTGGGCTTCTTCCACCAGCAGATCAAGGTGACAACCGCGTAGGTGACAAAGCACAGCGTTGTGACTTCAAAGAGAGCCAACTCCATCCGCTCCACTGCACGGCCAATGCATTGAAGAGCGAACCATACAAGTTGTACGGCAGCGATTGCTTTTTGAAAGGTTTTCTCACGGGCCAGACCGTCGATCTCCCGACACGTAACCTCTGGAAGAACTAACAAGCTTGAGCTTGCCAGCCATCGGATCTCTGCCGCTCCGACGATGATTTTGCCCTTATTCTGGTACTCCAAGAGGTATCCGCCCATCATGCCGAAGAATGAATGTTTCGTCGTCCACCAAGGAAACCCATGATCCTGCATCTTTCGAGTTTGTGTGCGAGCAAAATAATGCTCATCAAACGACAGCATACACACAAATTCCGGGGCAATCATGGTGAGAAAGGCCCAAAGGACTTTGTTGCCCATAACCCTCCATGCGGACTTGTTGGGAGAAGGGATCGTAAGATGCTGAAGATTCCAAGTGCAGATGATGATTGTAAAGACGCAGCCCCACACAAGTTCCATGGTGCCGCGTACAGGGCTGATAGACACGAAAGCCGACATGCTGGTGGACGTCGGTAGGTAGGTTGTCCGCTGGAGTCACGGCCATTGATGAGAGCACAATTGAGGAGTTGTCAAAAAAACCTACTTGATCATATCGCAGAAGAGATAAAGTGCTTGCGCGAGAAGAAGGCTGGCATGGTTTGATATTCAAACATGAAGTACTCGGGCACCGCTTGATATTGGGCAGCCTCACCAACCTAGTGAGCCGCATCAGGGCAGTGCTGTTTCTGTCGCAGACCCTCAGCCACCGCCATAGCGTCCGGGTTTGATGCACTCGGCCCATCTGAGCGCACTTATGCAGGCTGCACCGCCCGCCATGAAAAAAGGCAACCAGATAGCATTCGCTCAAGTGTGCTGGAATGCAAGCAGAAGTCCATTAGTGTAGAAGCGGGACGGAATAATTACTTAATTACTGAGTAGGTAGTAATGGGTTGGTTCTGGGTGGCTCGGTGGTTCTGCTGGAAACTTGGACATCGGCGGAATAAGGTTTATCCGACACACCGGCTTGCTGTCCGCGAGGCTTGGCGCCGTCCGGGTCGTTTCCTCTTTCGTCAGTGTCAACACAGACAAACATTGAGCTCGTTCAACCAAAGCACTGGAGTCCAAACACTTCAAGAGATCCAGCTCAGGATGTCGGCCGATTCACCAACCCGCCCGACGCGTCGCGTTGCGCGCAAAAACGTGGTAGTCGAGGAATCCGACGACGAGTTGAGCTTCATCAAGGAGGATGACGATGAGGAGTTTACGCCCGCACCGAAGCGAAGCCCGCGAAGGTCCACGAGAAGACAGACAACAGCAAGCGTCGATGCATCGCCCAAAAAGTCGACGCGTTCGCGCAAATTCAAGACTGGCGAAGGCATCGAACCTTCGCAGATATTCGATCCAGAAGAGACCATGCCTTCCAGCGGCCCTACCTCTCCAACGAAGACTGCCTCGCCCCGAAAACGAAAGAGTGTCGCTCCTCGAAAAGGCCGGAGGTCCTCAATCGCACCCCCTCAACCTGAGTTACCTCCGCCTGAGGCCACTACCAGCCCGGCACACGACATCTTGCCAGCGACACCACTGAAAGACATCACTAGCCATGCATTAAACAAGAATGTCGCTCTGGACGCGGATCAAGAATTGCGCAAACCAATAAGACCGGCTGATCTAATGCTAGAGAAGCCTATGGACATCGTTATACGGGCAAGAGCGCAGGCAGTTCCAATTGCTGAAGAGCCTGCGGGACCCAAGTCTAGGATGGTCATTCGACAACTGGTCATGACAAATTTCAAAAGCTATGCCGGGAGGCAGGTGGTCGGGCCCTTCCATGCTTCATTCTCTGCGGTTGTCGGACCCAATGGCTCTGGAAAGTCTAATGTCATTGACTCTTTGCTCTTTGTCTTCGGTTTCAGGGCGAGCAAGATGAGACAGGGCAAAATCTCCGCGCTGATCCACAACTCGGCGCACCACCAGGATCTTGATTTCTGCGAGGTTGAGGTCTACTTTCAAGAAATCATTGACCTACCAGGAGGGAAACACGAACTTGTTCCAGACTCGCAGCTCGTGGTCTCCAGGAAAGCGTTCAAGAACAACTCGAGCAACTATTACTTGAACGGCAAAACTACGAATTTCACGACCGTAACGACATTGCTGAAGAATAAGGGTATCGACCTGGATCACAAACGATTCTTGATCTTGCAAGGCGAGGTCGAGTCGATTGCGCAGATGAAGCCAAAAGCTGCAAATGAGCACGACGATGGACTTTTGGAGTACCTCGAGGATATCATTGGAACCTCGAAGTATAAGACACCTATCGAAGAAGCAGCTGTCGAGCTTGAAAGCCTCAATGAGATTTGCGTGGAGAAGCAAGGTCGTGTTCAGCACGTCGAGAAAGAGAAAAATAGTCTGGAAGACAAGAAGAATAAAGCTTTGGCATTTATCCGCGATGAGAACGAGTTGGCAGAAAAGCAATCAGCCCTGTACCAAATCTACATTGGCGAATGTGAAGACAACACCAAGGTCACAGAAGAGGCTATACAGCAAATTCAGGAGCAGCTCAATGCCGAACTGGAGAAGCATGCTGGGAATGAAGATGCCATCAGAGATCTCGAAAATGCTTACCACAAAGCCCTCAAGCAGTACGAACGAATTGAGAAGCAAGTCCAAGAACTGAACAAAGAGCTAGCTAAATTCGACAAGGAGAGCGTTAAGTTTGACGAGAAGCGCAAATTTATCGGTGGCAAACAGAAAAAGGCAGAAAAGACCGCCACTTCCAGTCGGCTGGCTGCATCTGAAGCTCAAAGTCTTGTCGAAAGGCACACGGGGGATGTCCAACGTAAAGGTGCAGAGGTTCTTGAACTTGAGAAAGAGATGGAGCAAGAAGAGCAAAAGCTGGCCGCCATCAGGGATGATCTCAAAGGGAAGACCCAGGGCTTGTCCGATCAGATTGCGGCGAAGCAAAAATCGCTGGAGCCTTGGAACGCCAAAATCAACCAAAAGCAGTCAACGATCGCCGTCGCACAATCTGAGCTTGATATTCTCAAGGACAAAGCGAACAGCGGTCAGAAATCGATAGACCAGGCCAACGAAAGGATTGCGAGCATTGAATCTGACAAGGCCACGAAGCTCGAAGAAATTCAACAACGAAAGCATGAAAAGGCCCGGCTGGAGAAGGATATTAGGAAGATCCAAGATGCTTTACAAAAACTGGCTGCCAGTGAGCCAGAGGTCCGCTCTCAGATATCGTCGGCGCGGCAGAAGGCTGATGAGGCACGAGCGAGCCTCGCAACCAGCCAGAATCAAAGTAACGTGCTCAAGGGCTTGTTGCGCCTCAGGGATTCGGGTCGGATCGATGGCTTTCACGGTCGCCTTGGCAACCTGGGTACTATCGATGAGAAGTTTGACGTTGCCATATCCACAGCATGTCCGTCATTGGAGAACATGGTTGTCGACAATGTCGAGGTTGGACAGCTGTGTATTGAATATCTCCGAAAGAACAACTTAGGGCGAGCGAACTTCATTCTTCTCGACAAGTTGGCACACCGCGATCTGTCTCCCATACAAACTCCGGAGAATGTACCTCGACTCTTTGACCTCATCAAGCCTAAGGATGCGCGATTTGCCCCTGCTTTCTACAGCATCATGCAGAATACGCTTGTTGCGCAAGATCTCCCGCAGGCGAACCGTATTGCTTATGGCGCGAAGAGATGGCGGGTGGTCACTCTTGACGGTCAATTGATTGACGTCTCTGGCACCATGAGCGGCGGTGGAACTCGTGTTGCACGAGGTGCAATGTCATCCAAGTTGTCTTCTGATACTACGAAGGATCAAGTACAAAAGCTTGAGAACGAACGAGATCAACTGGAGAAGCAGTTCGAGGCTTTTCAGACAAGACAAAGAGAACTTGAGGCCAGCCTCAGAGACAAGCAAGAAGAAATCCCTCGGCTAGAAACAGCTATTCAAAAGACCAATCTTGAAGTGGAAACCTGTACCAGGAATATTGCCGACGCACAGAAACGCATTCAGGATCTTACAGTCGAGCTGGCTAGCACCTCAGTGGACGATTCTCAGATCATACGTCTTCAGACGCACATTGAATCAACTAGCAGGGAGCTTGAACAATTGCACTCCGAGACGGCTAGTGTGGAAGCCGAGATCCAAGCTTTGCAGGACAGGATAATGGAGGTTGGTGGAATCCAACTCCGAACGCAGAAGGCTCGAGTCGACGGCCTCAAAGAAAGGATCGACATGTTGAATGACGACATCTCGAGCGCAGAAGTAGCCAAGACGAAGAACGAGAAGCTTAAGGTCAAGAACGAAAAGACGAAATCGGATGCAGAGAAGGAACTTGAGTCTTTGTCTAAAGATCTTGAGCGACTGGAACAGGACATCGAGAGGCACAAGACTGCGGCGGCGGAGCTGCGGGCTCAGGTGGATCAAGCTGAAGAACAACAAACCAGTATGAAGGACGAACTTGGAGACCTGAAGAAGAATCTCGATGCGCAAACGGCGGAACTGAACTCGACGAGGGCTGTTGAAATTGAGATGAAAAACAAGCTCGAGGAGAACCAAAAGGTCCTGGCGGACAACCAGAAAAAGAGTCGTTATTGGACAGAGAAATTGTCCAAACTTACCTTACATGACACTGCCGACCTGGAAGCGATAACCCAAGACCAAGACAATCAACCGCTTGAGCGCCCGGCGGATGAAGAAGATATGCCCGATGCACCCCCTGAAGCAGATCCGGATGCAATGGACGTCGATGAAGGACAAGATGAAGAGCAGCCCAAGACTCCTTCCAATCCGGTACGAAGGCAACTGCAGACATTCACCCGCGATGAACTACTTGACAAAAACAAAGATCATCTTGTCGCCTCAATTGCCGCACTCGAAGAAAAGGTTTCCAATGCATCAAGCATTGACTTGAGCGTCATAGCTGAATATCGGCGACGATGTGCAGAGGTGGCTTCCCGAACTAGCGATCTCAAGATTGCTGTGAAGACTAGGGATGCGGCCAAAACACGCCTGACTGATCTACGAAACCTTCGCCTTACCCAGTTCATGACAGGCTTCACGACCATCTCCTCGCATCTGAAGTCGATGTACCAGCTCATCACGCTTGGAGGCAACGCAGAACTCGAGCTTGTGGACAGTCTCGATCCATTTTCTGAAGGCATTCTATTTTCCGTCATGCCTCCTAAGAAAAGCTGGAAGAACATTGGTAACTTGTCTGGCGGGGAGAAGACTCTGAGTTCGCTCGCCCTAGTGTTTGCGCTTCATGTCTATCGGCCCACACCCTTGTACGTTATGGATGAAATTGATGCGGCTTTGGATTTCAGAAACGTGAGTGTTTTGCCGTTTAACCATCAACGTGTACCCTGAATGCTAACTTCTTCCAGGTGTCAATTGTCGCGGGCTACATCAAAGAGAGAACCAAAAACGCACAGTTCATTGTCATTTCCTTGCGAAACAACATGTTCGAACTTGCAGAACGGCTAGTGGGCATCTACAAGGTCAACCATATGACAAAGAGCGTCACAGTAGAAAACAAAGACTACTTGTCCATGGGAAATCGGAGGCAAGAACAGCCAGCAAGTGATGGCAGGGCGACCAGTGGACAACCCGGACAAGTACGGTGAACAGCACTTCATTAGTGATGGAGGAAGCGAGGCGGCGATTTTGATTAACGACGTTTGATGATATAACTCCTGCTATGACTTTCGGGTATTGGGCACTTGTATAATGCAGCAGTTGTTCCTCACCCCTGTTTTCCCCTCCGATTTGCATCATGCCTTTCCATCAGTATTTGGATACTCACGCATGGCTCTTGCTGACTGACCAGTCCGTCACATCACATCCAGCAAGTCTCTAGGCCGAGATGAATTGAAGCACGGTAGTGGCCATTGCATTGGAAATTTGGAGCGTTGACTTCCTTCCATATTCTTCCAAGCTTATGGTCTCAATGTCACCTATCTTCAAGTCCCGAACTCGACATATGGCGAGATGGGTACAACCAATTGTTTAATGGAGGATATGACATCATGACAGGGACTATCGACAATGCCGTCAACCTGCATTTCAATCAGCAGCAGCCACTTACAGTTACTGGCCACCTCAGCTTGACGGCGGACCGGAGTTGACCATTGCATCCATCACCTCCATTACTTCGATAAGCCAACTCAAAGGCAAGGCCTTGATGGTGGATCTTCCCGTGAGCGGATACGCGTACATCCTTCCGAAAGTCCTTTCTTTGTACGGGCTTTATCTTGAAAACAACGACTATACTTTCCAAATAGGTCTTGTGTCAATACTTTCTGTTTGTTTTTGACTCGTCTTCGAGCGCACTCTGTCTCGAATATTATTCGAGGCCGTTCACGATTCCATGAATCGAGCGCTAAACCAGAACCGGTTACTATACAGCAGGCTTCCCCAAAACGGTCGTCTGGGGAATAAGAGCGGATTGAGACAAGAGGGCGATCGCTGTTGGTTATTTCCTTCCCGGCGCACTGGAAGTGTCAGGACGCGGCATTCACAACCTCCCGCTTCGCATTCGGCAAGAACAATGCTGAACAAGTCGATCATCCTCGCTATCGTCTGGCGTGTCGTTTCTCCCTTACGAGATTACCTCGGGACGAAGCATGCGGGCTTCCGGAAGGGTGGAAAGCGTTCCATTTCGTATCATTGCCGAGGTTACCAACTTCCATTTTGAGACATTAACATATTTCCATAAGTGTCAATCAGGGCTAGAGCGTGTCGCCGTCTTTGACAGTGATCAACGGCGTTCCGTTAGTAACTGTCAACACTAAATATTGACCATGAGCTCCCTGGAAGGATACAATATAGCCATCACAGGTGGCGGATCTGGTATCGGCCTAGCCACCACAGTTGAGCTCTGCAGTCACGGGGCGACAGTCTGGATCGCCGAGTTAATACAGGACGTTCCAGAAAAGCTCAAGACTTTGGTCGAAACAGGAAAGGTATTGTTTCACGGAGGCATCGACGTTGCCAACCGGGAAGCCTGTGTCAAGTTCTTGGACGAAGTGGTGGAGAAAGCCGGGCGTCTCGACAGCCTAATCAATAATGCTGGGATAGGCCCCGCCGAAGGGCCTATTGCGTCCGACGAGACGTTCGACAAGATCGTGGATGTTAATCTGCGTGGCACGTGGAACTATGGTACGCAGGCGCTGCGGATCATGGAAAAACAGGATCCAAAGGGGCAGTGGGGGACCAGGGGCACCATCGTCAACGTCGCGAGCATGTCCGGGCTGCTCGGCTGGAACAATCTGGCTGTCTACACGGCAACAAAACATGCGTCTGTCGGGCTGGTCAAGGCATGGAGCAAAGATTTTGCCCCTCTTGGTATAAGAATCAATGCTGTGGCACCTTGTAGGAAGATTCTGGTCCGCATGTCCTACGACACATACGCTAACTCTCCTAACAGCGGTGACCGAGACAGAAGGCGTCAAAATCTGGTTTGCCCAGAGGAAAAAGGACTTCAATGAAGACATGAAACCTCCTCCGGCAGGCCGCTTTGCACAGCCCTCAGAAATCGCCAAGGTGATTGCGTTTCTTCTGGGCGAGGACTCCAGCTACATAAATGGACAGACAATTCCCATCAACGGCGGCGCTGTATGACGAAATCAAGGTATTCTCGAGGCAGTGGAAGAAAATTCATCATATGATTCAGGGTCTCAAGCAGAGAATAGTATGGCAACAATTCGAAGGGTTTCTGCACCCAGTGAATACAACCCTATTGCGCATAACCACATACTAACCAAAAGCCGTAATGTCTTTGCAGCCTTACCCTGCTTCTAGCCCAGAGAAGGTGGAATAGGATATGGTTGTGGGAGTGGGCGCATGAGCTGGTTCGTCTGTCTGTGCTTCATTCGAGCGAAAGTAATCTCGTTTCTGCACTTTCCAGTGCTCCTGGTAGATGTGCACCAATGCCCACCAACCCTTCTCCACGGTAGACCGTTTTCCTGTTTCAGAGAAGTGAGGTAGAGTGAGCCGACCTCATATTTTAAATTCAAAACAGTACTGTATTCGAGCGCACAGCCACGGGATTTGTAATGAAGGGAATTCTATTGTTGTGGCAGAGGTGGGGAAACTTCGGTACTTCAACACGCGTCGACGCGTCTGAAGAGGACCTTGGGAGTCCATTGCTTGAGCCTCTCGCGAAAGTTCCGTCTACAAACTACCCTCCTAGTTATCCGTGACTGTTGTCCTCCAACCCGGCGGACGACACCCGGTGTACAATGTTGAATGCCCGGTGACATGGCAGCCTTCTCTGCGTTGTACATACGTGAGCCGTCGGTCACAGCGTACTCGACCTCGGCTTTTTTCGCAGCCCGAAGCTGTTGTATTGGGACTTCCGGTGCTCCTTGCAATGTCCAAGCACCACCCGAATCGGTGTTGATGCAGGTGAGTGATCCGAGGGACTTCGTCCATAGCTGTCCATTCTTGGAAACCGAGGAAATACTATTCCGATACCATCGATATAGCTAATGCCCGACAAACGGTATGCGATGTTCAAATAAAGTCTATGCTTCTAAACCGTCCAGCGATACCTACAACAGTCTCTATCGTGATCTCATTCTCAAGGTAATTGAAGGATACCACCACCATGGCCGTCGCTGTCCAACAATCTATTGAACCACAAAGTGCCGCGATCCTCGAGCATCGCAGCCTGACAGAGCCCGAGAAAGTCGATCTGGATTTCGACGCGCTCAAACGCAAATACCAGGAAGAGCGCGATAAACGACTCAAGAACGGCGGTATCAACCAGTACACCATTATTCAGCCATCGAGCAAGGCGGCGGAACAGTTCCTCGACGACCCATACGTGCAACCAGGCTTCACGCGTGATCCGATCGAACTTGACACAGATGTGATCATCATCGGCGGAGGCTTCGGCGGCCTCCTATGTGCTGTGCGACTATTGGAGCAGGGCATCACAAATTTCCGAATTATCGAAAAGGGCGGCGACTTTGGGGGCACTTGGTATGGCTTCCTTCACTGAATACCCGGCCAACAAACAGGGAAAACTGAACGTTGTCAGGTATTGGAATCGATATCCAGGAGCACAATGTGATATCGAGGCTTATGTGTATATGCCCCTACTTGAGGAGACTAACTATGTGCCTTCTGAAAAATATACCCATGCATCTGAGCTGCTTGAGCACGCACACCGGATCGGAACTCATTATGGGCTGTACGAGAAGACGCTCTTTCAAACTGAAACTCTAAAACTTCAGTGGAACGAGGCGACCACGCGATGGGACGTCGAGACGAACCGAGCGGATACTATCTCGACTCGTTTCATTATACCGGCAGCAGGACCTCTTCACAGACCAAAGCTGCCAGGTGTCGCAGGTATAGACTCGTTCAAGGGTCATGTTTTCCACTCTTCACGCTGGGACTATGACTATACTGGCGGTGATAACCGCGGAGGTCTAACGAAATTGGCCGACAAACGAGTTGGGATTATCGGCACGGGCGCGACGGCGGTGCAGATTGTGCCTCATGTTGGCGCGACAGCTAAGCAGCTTTACGTCTTTCAGCGAACTCCGTCGAGTATTGACGTCCGGAATAACCGCCCGACGGATCCCTTATGGGCCAAGTCCCTCCCTAAAGGGTGGCACCAAGCACGAATGGACAACTTCGACACCGTCATCGCTGGTGGGTATGTTGAGGAAGACCTCGTGGCCGATGGCTGGACAGATATCCTGAGAAACCTCTGGCCACGCAAAACCGGAAATGAGTCCAGTACCATGGATCCCGCGCAGATTGCGGCAAAGATCCAGCTTGCCGACTATAAAAAGATGGAGTCCATCCGTGCTCGCGTGGACAGTGTCGTGAAAGATAAGCAGACCGCGGAAGCCCTGAAGCCATGGTATAATCAGATGTGCAAACGACCTTGCTTCCACGACCAGTACCTTCAGACGTTCAATAGGCCGAATGTGAAGCTGGTCGACACGAAAGGCAAAGGAATCGACAAGATCACGCCCGAAGGAGTGATGGCGAACGGCGTTGTCTACGAAATCGACTGCCTGATTTACGCCACGGGCTTCGAACTAGCGACCGATTGGGCCCAACGAACTGGTATGGAAATCTACGGTCGTGGCGGCATCACAACGACCGAGAAATGGAAGGATGGATTCCAGACATTCCACGGCTGGACCAGTCGCGGATTCCCCAACTGCTTCTTCGTCAACAGCGTCCAGGCAGCCGTGTCGCCAAATTTCCTGCACGCGACCGCCGAGCAAGCTAAACACTTCGCCTACGTGATCCGGCGTGCCTGTGACAAGAAGGTCCGCACTCTGGAGCCCACCGCCGAAGCCGAGAGCGGCTGGGTGCAGATCTGCGTGGACCTGGCGGAACCTCGCCGGAAGTTCCTCGAGGATTGTACTCCTGGGTACTACAACAACGAAGGCGAGTTCGACGACTTGAAGTCGCAGAGGAACGTCATCTATGGGGCAGGCTCGCCGGCGTTCTTTGAGCTGACCCGGAAGTGGAGGGCAGATGATCGCTTCGAGGGATTGGAAGTTCACTACCTTGAAGACTAGGAAAGAAAGGACGCATGCTGCGGAATTAGCACAATCAATACATATTGTGATGAATGAGACGGCAGGGGCATGGAGTTGAATTTTCATATCGTCGCGTGTGCTTTTGGCCAGCAACATGAGAGTGTATAAACTCAACACCTCGGATGATGTCCAAGAGGGGCGACTTTAAAGTTCCCCGGGGTATACAGCTCGATCTAGGCCTAGCGCACTCTCATCTTCCGATATAATGATTGGCCAGCAGCAGCTAGTAGCCCCCCTCCCCCAAGGGTATCAATCTGAAGTCCGTAGATCGTTTCGCAACACCTGCTTCAGTGCCTCTCTAGAGAGCATCGAGATCTTGCCTATTCCAGAGGCACGGGGATTCCCAAGTTATCAGGCTGTGCCCACCCTCAAGGTAAGTGCCGAGAGGGTAAGAGCGTCACCGCGCTTCTTCTGAAACGTCACATTCAACGAAGCTTCAGACTATGCACTCGTCAAAGATCGGCCTGGCAGACCGGTTATTGACTGGAGAGTCCTCTAAGGTACGCTTATGTCCCACCCTCCTCGGTCACGGCCATCGCCGAGGGATCTGCATCGAGACTGCATCCTGCCAATGCACCGGTAAGTAATCCTGACGATTGTTCGGACCCCAGTACAAGCCCATCAAGACCGAGGGAGCCCACATCCCCATTGGGATCCGGACAGCCTCGCCCTGCTGTCGGGCCGTGATGCTGCTTGGTTCGGCTACTGGATACCTTGCTGTCCAGCTACCGATGGCGCCGTCTTCCCCGGCTTCTCCGCATTCCTGGAGAGAGTAGTCTGGGGGGCCTGTAAAGGGGTCGAAGCCTGCTTTATCCTGAAGCAGAAGAAGACATAAAGCCTTTGTTTTCCCTCTCGTACTTGGAAAAAGCCAAGTCAGCGGTCCTTTCTCGGGGCATTCAGAAATTGTGCTTCACACATTGAGTTGTGTTTTCAAAAGTCGATATCTAGCCATGAATAACTATGGCCTGTTGTGTATCATCTACCTCACCTTCGGAGCCTTCTTCTACGGCTATGACTCCGGGCTGACCACGTCCGTCATTGGCTACCCTCGAGTGCGTTTGGCGCCCCTCTTTTCAGGCTTTCAGTGTTTCTTTTTAACGTGCCAAATCAGCTAATATCAATGCGGGCTTTTGGTGGCTTCTAGTTTATTACATATTTTGGCTTCGATGCCACGCTCATCGGTGTCCTCGGGTCGGTCTACTACTCAGGCCTCTTCCTGGGGGGCCTGTCCATGCTCTACATCCCCAACAAGATCGGGAGATTGCGCACGATTATACTGGCCAGCATTGTGGCTCTAGCCGGAAATTCCATGCAAGCAGGCGCACAAAGTCTTGTTGTCTTGTTGGTTGGACGCGGAATCGGTGGTTGGGCCGGAGGCCTTGTCTATGCCGTCTGTCCGACATATGGTGAGTTGCCATGAGAGTTCAATTTGAGAAAGAGTAAAAACGCCAACAATATGCCACAGCGGCCGAGATTGCTCCACCACACGTTCGAGGACGGGTTGGTGGCTTATATGCGTGCGTTCAGCGGCCCTAAAAAAAAGGAAGCTGGTGGATTGGAAACTGATGACTACAGTATCAATATCTCCCTGGCGTATGCCATTACGGAGTGGATGGTAACCATGATTCCCATTGTCAGTCATGATTGAGCAAGTTCACAATCTGATCGGGTTCTCAGGGTCTTGGGCTCTCCTACATCGAAAGCGACACAGCCTGGCGTCTGTTCTTCGGGCTTCAGGTCCTCCCACCCATCATCATGCTTATCGGAGCCATCTGGATGCCCGAGAGTCCGCGCTGGCTGATCATGAAGGGCCGCCACGAAGAAGCGCTGGTAATTCTTCGCCGCATGCACCAGACTTCGGACGACGACACCTTCTTCATGGGCGAATTCAATCAGATCCGAGCCCAGCTCCAGCTCGAGGAGGACCAACGGGTCAACCTCTGGACAGTCCTGAAGCGGCCATCCTACCGCAAACGGCTTTACATCGCCTTCATCTTGGTGACTGGGCAGCAGTTGACCGGCGTCATCCCGCTCCAGAACTACCAGGTCATCGTCTACGGTAGCCTGGGCGTTGCGGGCAAGCTGCCGCTTGTCCTCGTCGGCATCTGGGGCACCGTCGGCGTGTTGTGCAACATCCCGGGCGCGTGGTTTTTCGACCGATGGGGCCGGCGCAGAATGATGCTGATCTCCCTGGCCATCATCATCCCGGCTTCCCTGCTTCTGTGCGCCTTCTGGGCCACGTTTCAGAACACAGACAACCAGAACAAGACGTACGGCATCTTGGCGGTCGTGGCCATGTTCCTCTTCCTTGTGGGCTACGCCGTCATCTTCAACAGCTTTGTGTTTACCTACCTTCCGGAGATCCTGCCGACGCCGGTCCGCGCAGCCCTGGGAGGCACAGTCACCGCCTGGGCAAGTGCGTTCGTCATCCTGCTCGTCCAGGTCACGCCCATTGCCATAGAGCACATCAGCTGGAAGTACTTTATGATCTTCGTCATCTGTACCGCTCTGTACACCGTGGTCTTTTACTTCTAGTCAGTTTTTTATCTCCACCTTTTTTCCCCCCGCTCTTCATAGTGTAGAGATGCTGATTTGAGCCACAGTTTCCCGGAGACTGCCAACAAGACGCTCGAAGAGGTCGAGGAGATTTTCGGGGATGAGGTCGCCATTCATATTGAAGATGCCGAGCGGCAGGCTGAGTTGGATCCGGTCGCGTACTTGAAAGAGCACGAGAAGCACACCGCAATCGAGCAGATTGAGGGAGTCTCCTGAGCTCGACCAGACTTCAGAGGCTGCAAGCTACGAAATCCTTCAGATATGTCTACCTTCGCTTGCAGGGAAGCTTGGTGGAAGCGCTCTTTGCGTTAAATGGGTCCGATTAAGATCGGGGCAGGACGGTTGATATGATGGTCAAGCCGGGTGACTCGTTCGTCGTCGAGCGGACATTGGATGCCGTTGTGGTGGCTCATTCGAGCATTGCCACTTGTGAATCATGCTAATGTGAACAAGGAGGTCCAAAAGCCCGCAAGCAATACCTGCTAGCTGGCAAATATGGTAGTTTCTGGATTGTGTCATGAATCAAGCAGAATGAGATGCTTCTATACATAATACATCAACACAGAGGATGTTCTAAATTGCCCTCTTCTGACCTCGGTCAATGACTAACGTGGTGATTCGATATTGAGATTCGTCTGGAAACCCATGGTTAAACCGTGATAGTGATGCCTTTCAGACTGCCTTCCTCGCGCCAACGCTGGAGCACGTCTTCGTAGCTGCGAATGCCTTCGCCCCAAGGTGCCGCGCGGGCCTTCTTGACCTGCTCACGCACGTCGCCGTCGACGCTTTTGATCGAAGCCGCGCCCTCGCCGTTTAGCCAGCTGGGCGTGCATCCGACCATGACGGCGAACCACGCGGCTCTTTTCACCACCTCGGCAGCCCACTCCTCCTCCGCCTCCTCGGTGACTTCGACGACGACCGCATCATCTGAGTCATGCCGTTGCTGCCGTTGCTGCCGCCGCATCGCTTCGGCCAGAATATACGCAACGTGCTGGGCCTGCACGTCGGTCATGAAGACGAGGTTGAAGGCCGAGGCGGCCTGCGAGGCGCCGAAGAAGAACAGATTCGGGAACCCGTGCGAGCTGATCCCGTGCAGCGTCGACACGCCGCGGGCGAGGTACTTTTCCTCGAGCGACCGCCCGTCCCGCCCGATGATGTCGACTTTGGCGGCCGCAGCGGGGCTCCCGTTGTGTGCCGCGGGGGCGCGGTATCCCGTGCTGAGAAGCAACAGGTCAATGTCGTACTGCTGCTTGCCGGCGCCGTTTGCGACGACGACGCCGGTGCGGTTGATCCGCTCGACGCCCCGGCCGTCTGTGTCGACGAGGTGGACATTCGGCCGGTTGAAGGCGGCGAGGTACTCATCGTGGAACCCGGGCCGCTTGCACCACGCCGGATACCACGGCTTCAGCTTCTCCGCGGTGTCGGGATCGCGGACGATGGCCGCCACGCGCGCCCGGACCTTCTCCGACCTCTCTTGGTCGAGGGCGTAGACCTCGGCGACGTGTTCCGCCACTTTATCCGGCGAAATGATGCCCTTCAACGGACTGCCCAGGCTGGAGGCCGCCGAGGGGGTCGCGCACCATCCGTCCGCGACCAGGTCTTCCTCCTCCCCGACCACCAAGACCCGCGCGAGTGCGGCGTTGAAGTTCCTTCGTCGTGCGAGCTGCCACCCGGCCTTGCTGGCAATTTTGCCCGTCCACAACGCCGCGTCCGTGGCGGTTTGGCCGCGCACATCTACCCTGGCGGGCGTCCGCTGGAACACATACAGCTCCTTTGCCCACCTGGCGAGCTCGGGCACGGCTTGGATCGCGGTCGCTCCGGTGCCGATGATCCCCACCTTCTTCTCCTTCAAGCCTGTCAGCGCCGGGTCGGTCGGCGAGCCGCCGGTGTAGTTGTAGTCCCAGCGGGCAGTGTGGAAGGTATGTCCCTGGAACTCATCGAGGCCCGGGATTTTGGGAACCTTGGGATGATTCAAAATGCCCGGCGCGGTGATGACAAACTGGGCCTGAACCGCGAGCTCCAAGGGCGCCTGATCCGGGCCTCGATCCTGCGTCATGCTGACAAGCCACCGCCTCTGCACGGCATCCCACTGCATGCGCTCGACGGTGGTTCGGAAAAGCGCCTTGTCCGTGAGGTCGAACTGCGCAGCGACCCGTTCCGCGTGCTCGAGCAGTTCCGGGCCGTACGAATACTTGTGCTTTGGCATGTAACCCGTCTCCTCGAGCAGGGGCAGGTATATGTAACTTTCAATGTCGCACATCAGCCCGGGATAGCGATTCCAGTACCACGTCCCACCAAAGCCGCCGGCGCGATCGGCCAGGCGAATGTCCTCCGCGGCGAACCCTGCCTCGATCAGTCGGGCGGCGTAGACTAGTCCGCTGTACCCGGCTCCCAGAATAAAGATTTTGCACGAAGATCCATCGGTCATCGGGGGTTCCTGTGCATTGAGCGTCGCGTGATCCACCCAGGGATCCTGCTCGAGGTGCTTGAAGCGATCCGATTCAATGAGGTTGAGGTACTGGGCGTTGCCGTCGCTGCGGAGTCGCTTGTCCCGCTCGGCTGCATACTTGCGCTCCAGGAATTCCGGCAACGGCAGAGTTTCCATAGCGATGGACCCCATCTTTAGAGCTTGATTGCATTATTTTCTCTTTTTTTCCCCTTTTTTCTCTGGCCGTTTACTTCAATGCAATATACAAGCATCAAAGCCCGGCTGCCAAACCGTTGGACAGGGGACCCCGCGGCATTCCATCAGCATCTCGAGCCTCGGTTGCCTGTGTACAGTAAAACCGTAGAGGAATACTTTGCCTTGTGGTGTCCCAGACTCTGGTAGACGGAAATTGCGTCTAAGCTTCGGCTGTCTTAACCTCGGGTTAATGATAATCGACGCGTTTGTGACGAAGCCCGGCCGGAGAGGAGAGGATTGGACGTCCAAGCGAAGACAGGTCTAGCGCAGCCTTGGCTGTCGCGGCAGGGATGTCAACATATTTGTACTAATGGCTTTTAGTCTCGAGACGTTGCAGGAAGGAGATTGCATCTAGGGAGTAAACGAAGTATACGTGACGCTTTGAGACACGGGGTCCGGTTTAATAGCGATACAACAACGCCAAAATGTGGAATAGAACATACTAACACTATATCCTGAATATGTTCCAAATTCAAAGGCGATGGCACAGTTGGAATTCATACGTCGAGCCTCCTGGGTTCGACATGCACTCACTTAACCTTCTCCAAACGGCCCATTGAATGCCTGTGCTCGATCCATTCCTTGACGGTCCTGACCTTTTGACCCGTAACACAGCTGATCGGCGGCTCTTTCCTTTGAATTTCCTTGCCATCCTCCCCTTTGATCCCCTCAAGGACCTCCAGCAACGTATCGATGTTGGGGTGGCAGAAGTATGCCATCGAGAACCTCTCTTTGCCCTGGTCTTCGGGCAGAGGGGACCGAGTGACGCGGTGCAGCGTGGATTTCATGAGTCCACCCGAAAAGAAGGTCATTGTCTCGCCGATGTTGATGAGCACCGCGCCCGGGATGACGGGGGCGTCGAGCCATATCTCATCATCCTTGATAGGACCCGTGTATTTTGGAGGTCGTATCTGGAGGCCGCCGACAAGGTTCTGGAAGAGGATCGTGATCACGCCTTGATCTGTGTGTGAACCCAGGCGGACTTTGGCGGTGTCGCTGGGTGGAAGGGCTGGGTAGTGGATGAGACGAAGGGTGGTCATCGACGGATTTTCATGCTGATGGATCTGGGGAAGACGGTCCGCGGATAGACCTAAGCCAACCCCAAGGCATGCGAGCAACGGGACGGCGATCTTCTCATGCAGCTCTCCCATGAACGCCTGAATCTCAGGGTTGAATTTCTTCAAAGAGGGCGGCATAGGTTGGTCATAAGACGCCTGCTTCCGAATCACGAATACCTCCTTCTCGTCCACAGCCGACACGCGATCCTTGGCACCGTGCTCGTTGAAATATCCTTCGGTGCCGGTCTTCGCATCGTATCCGGCGTTGACGATGCTGCTCCAGGGCGTCGAGGACTTCTCCTCGCGAGGGGTGGTTTTGAAGAAGGTCGCGCTGATGTCGAACATGCGATCGATGCTTGACTGTGGCAAGCCGTGGTTGCTGAGGTACAGAAACCCCCATGTTGCGCAGACGTCCTTGATTTCCCGCGCGAGGGAAGGCAGATCGGTAGAAAACCGGGAGAAGTCGACGACGGGGATGGTTTCGGGTGACGGAGCAATCATGGTCGCCTACCTTTTTCTCGAAATGCAGAATTTCACGTATAAAGGGATGCACTGCAGGCAGGAATGAAAGAACAAGGGCGACAATACCGTTTTGTCCTTTCTATCCACCATCCAGACTCCTTAGCAGAGGTCATGATAAGGGCACGACTGGAATCGTTCTCCACCCCCAACTGGGTTCCCCAGGCACTAGTGGGTGATAACAATGATGGCCACCTCCGTGAAACCAATGATAACAACCTGGGGAGCGCGTGGCCGTCAATCAGAAAGCTCGATCGCTCGCAGTCCTCGAGAGCGATGTTGACCTAGATTGACGAGAGTCAGTCGCTCATATCCGACAAAGCGGGTATGAGCGACGGTGCAACAACATATCGAGGAGATATTCTGTATGCCCGTTCATCCCAGCCGTCTCCCGGTGTACGCTGCTCATTAAGACACTGACTCTTTGTGCTCTTCGGTTCCGTTGCTGCAAACCTCGTGCGACAGCCAGACTATAAACTCGATGGTGCAGGAGGAATGTATCAGAGCTGCCAGACCATACTAATGCTAGACGGCTTCTTCCCGCTTGATTCGATGGGACTGGAGGCAACGCTTCAGCTGAGACTCATTGGACCGTTGCCTGAATCGCTCATCTCCTGTGGGGAGAACATTCTCCGGGTATGAAGCAAACCATGAGATAACTCAGCTTCCGAACTTGGCGGCTGGTCTGTAATATAAGCTGGGGTGTGGAAGAGCTTCATTTGCTGCGCCACGAGCAGAAGGCATAGAGCTGTCGGCTGCAGCAATTTCGCTCCAAGTTTGTCACTCCAAAGCTGCCATCCAATCTCACACTCCGAAGGCTGCAAAACTCCGCGATCAAGCAAATGCCTCTGAAGAAAGTGGTCCTGGTGCAAATTGCGATATTTCGGCAGAAGATCTGTTGAGACGCGCCAGCCAGCTGAGAATGGAAGCCATGGTTGCCATTGGAACGGTAGTACTCCGTTGAGATACTCCCTCCCCAATTTATCCAGATCGCGTTGTCAATCTGGCATCTCATGGTCAAGGACCTGCCAACGGAGAGCACCTCAGCCCGTCGGATACTCTGCTGAGATGGGAACATATCTGTAGCCACCGAAAAAGTAAAATTTCGAAAAAACCCAGAGCTCCGAACTGATGACGGAGCTTTTTTCGTCCAACCTAGACTCTTCTAGACTTCTCAGTCCTGCCTCCTGGACGGCCTCCCCCAAACCTCGTCAACGTCCTTCTTCCCTTTCGTCTCTGGCACATACCAGCCCACGAAAACAAAGGAAATTGCCGCGATGGCCGCAAATACAAAGTACACCACGCCCTTTCCCAACCTTTCATTCACCATTGGGAAGAATTGAGCTACCACAAATGTCGAGATCCAATTTGCGGCCAGCGCCCATGATTGGGTTGCCGAGACTGCCTCAGGACCGACGAGCTCAGAGGCCAGGATGAAGGGCACTGGCCCTAGGCCGAAAGCAAAGCTGGCGACAAACAGAAGCACCGAAACCGCGGAAAGTATAGGGATTGCGCTGCGTATTCCTACGGCAAGGAGGACGGATGAGACGCCCATGCCGGCGATTGAGGTGAGTATACATGGTTTCCGCCCCAGCACGTCGGCAAGAGGCGCGAAGCCTGTGGTAGCCACAATATTGAGTATGCTCACAAAGATATTGAGCAGAGCGGAGTTGGAGGCGAGTAAGTCTGCGAGCAGGGATACGCCGTACATGACGATACTGTTGATCCCGCAGAGCTGCTGGGCCATCATGACCACAACGACTGCAAGGATTGCGCGGTTATTGGCCGGGTCTAGGAGCACAGCCAGAATGCCCAAGGGTTCTGGTCCTTTGCCTCTCGAAGAGGTGTTGCTGTCCGTGTGCGGGTCGTGATCGGGATTAGCGAGCAGTGTTTGTTCTTCCTCTGCTTAAAGGTTAGACAATTCGACAAAGCACATCAAAGAACACAAACCGTGTCTCTCGTCACCATCCTCAACACCCCAGTCTTCTACCTCTAGCTGGATATCGGCCTTCTGGCCCCTGATACGCCGCAGATTGTTATGAGCTTGTCTTGTTTCTCCATGACCCGCCTGCCACTTGGGACTCTCCACAGAGAACACCAACCCAGCAAATTGCAAGATGCCAATCATGCCTGCAACCGCCAAAATGATGCGCCACATCTGACCATGGCTGAGGAAGTAACCTAGGAGCTGGGTGGTGAAGATGCCCATGTTTGTCATGATTTGTGTAAAGGCACCAAAGAAGCCCTTTTCCTTGGGCGGAGCAATTTCAGAGATATAGATGGGCACCACAACCACAGAAACGCCTGCGCCTAAGCCGGAAATAAAGCGACCTGTCGAAAGAACGCCAATGTTTGGCGCTAGTGCTTCAGCGAGAGGACCCAGCGCTAGCAAGAAGGTGTTGATGCGCATAGTACGAAGACGGCCATAGCGTGCAGACAAAGGGCCGGCCGCAAGAGCACCGATTAGACCGCCCAAGGTGAAAATGGATGACACGAGCCCGAACTGGGCTGTGTTCATGGGTATGCATTGTGGCACTCCACCCAGTGTTGATGGCGGCCCTTTCTTGGATCTAATGGATTTGGCCCTGCAAGTGATGACCTCTGAAGGAGCATTGAGCTCGGCCTGGAGGCTGATTAGCAGGGACCTGGAAGCTCGAGGATGTGTAGTATAGTGTTGAAAGACAGCAGATCATACCAAATGATACCCAAAGAGTAGAGGTCCTAGGGTTGCAACCAGAAGCAGGTAGAGAAAATAGGGAGTGAGCTCCTGAGACCATGATCTGAGCTTTGAGGTGAGGCCCATAGTTGAGTCAGGTCGGATATCTCAGCCAGCGAAATGATCTCCGAAGCAGCAAGTCCGCTCTGTGGTCGTCGCGTCGCCTGTTCTCCCAGCGGTGACGGTTGGTGGTGAACGAGGGACGAATGTGACACCAACGATGGTTCGTCAGATGTGCAAATGACTTTGTCGGGAACGAAACTAGCCGCCGTCGCCTTCGCCTAGCACAGTCCTTGGCATTCACGTGACACTCACTACGCGTTCTCGGCGTCCGGGGGCGTTAAGTGGTTACCTAGGTAGGTACCAGGTACGTACCTGGGTATCGAGTGCACGCATCACGCGTTCTACTCCATGCAGTGCCTGAACTTGCAAATGATGTTAATCGATCATCGAGTAATTGTGGCTACATAAGCTGGGCTTTGCATCTTGTCTTGGGTATTTCTAACATCTTCCCATCCTAATGCTTCTGAGATCTGTCCGTCCTGTCGGTGTGTGTCACGAAGTCCTGGTTCAATCACCCCGGAACCGCCGATGATACCCTAGGTACGCTCGATCCTCTCATGCTCTTTCCGTCAGTATTCCCTGTTCTCTATGCACTAATAGCGCTTCTTGCTGCTGCAAAGACCGTCCCCGTCATGAATTCGTATCCATCCGCTGGAAAGCTGGCAAGAAAAGAGACAGAAATTCAAGCAGCGCCACCCCACTAAGAGTCAGTCAGGACCGTTGCGCAGCCTTAGCACTCAGACTTACTAGTTGGGCCACCAAGTCACTAGCCACGTCGAGGTAAGGGTAAGGGCTGGAAATCTCCTTTTCCACGTTCTTATAGCGCTTGCTGACCGGTTTCCAGTAGCCGTCTGCGCCCATTTCATCGAGACGATCAGAGCTGGTGTGAATGAATTCTCCGAATCCACTGGTGGGTCTGCTGTTCGTCGGACTGGTCACTGTGCTGTTGCTGCTGGGTGTCTTGTTCCTGTCTCGCTCCTTCTTCAAATCGTGCCAGATCACATTTTGATATCCGTCGCATTTGAAATCCACAACGAACGTTCCCTGTTCTATGGTGTACAGTTGTATATCGATGAATACCCAAACCCCAATATGCTCGCTTGGGATTTTCTTGTTGAGTGCCGAAAGACTGTCGGGTCTGCTCATAGACACTTGTCCTGGTCCGGTGAATGCATCCTGGCTGTGCGTGGCCGGCTCGCCTCCAGTATTTGGTCGGGTAGGATGTCCGCTTGATGCTGGTGACTTTATATTTGCGGGGCCGCCGTTGGGGGAATTTATGCCGAGCACGTGTTTGACATCCTCTGAGGCATATCCCAGTTGTTCAATATGCTTCTTGAGCTGGGTTTGTGCTTCTGCCGGCAGACTAACCGCCGAACTGTGGGCCGATAGAGATGGTGCTTCGCCGGGCATCAGCAAACCCTTCTTTAAGATTCGAGCCCGAATATTGTATGGGTCTCGGGGTATGTAGTAATCCTCGCCCACAAAGGAAAACCGCTGTTGCATAATCTGGTGGCGTTGGCCGGGCTCTAGGTCGGGTGGAGGTGGTGGAATGACATCCTTCTCGTCATCACCGTCTGGCATCGACTCCGGCCGCAGCCAGGGATTAACCTCCCATTCAGCGCCTTGAGCCTTGAGAGCGGCATACAAGCACTTCATGGCTTCCCAAGGTTGGTTTCGACTGCGAATCCCAAACTGCCACCGTCTGGGCTTGGTTTTCGAAGGCGCTGGACGCTTTTCGTCGGACGGCAGAGAAGTCATACCTTCCGGTCGGCTTTTGGGTTCTCTCAATACACTGAGAGCCGTCACAGATCGAGAGTGTGGTTTCAATGCTCTTGATGTGGCCTCCTGTTCCTCTTTGGACCGATAAATCGGGTTCCCGTGTTCATCCTTAATTTCCTCGGGGATGGGACTTTCAGCTTCATCTTCCTGATCTTGGCCTTGTGTCTGATGTAGAATCATGTCAGGGTCTTCGCCGTGAGCCTTTGCCTTTTCGCGAATCTGAAGGAGCTCCTCATGCACGTGAGGTAGTGAGGTGTTGAGGACGCGGACATTGGAGATCCTGGGCTTCTCTTCTTCTCTCAATGAAGACGGAGTTTCAGACAGCGATCGACTAGCGCGGTGGGGGTCTGTGCGACTTGGAGTAAGAGGCTTGACATCAATATCCTGAAATCGTCGTGGCGAGCCTGGAAAATTGGGATAGTTTGGTTCGACGGGTGGTGAAGAAGCCATAAATGACTCCAGTTCTGGGTTCTCTGTGCGGTATTGGGGAGCGCTGATCATCAACTGATTTTCTCTGACTATGAGGTACGCATCTTTAATGGCGCTCGGCTCATCTTTGCTCAGAGCATCCTTCACATCCTCCTTTGCGTAACCCATAGTACGGCCAAGCTTGCCAACCACTTGCTCATGGATCTTCTCAACCACATCGAGTGGCTTTCCCGGAGCCAATTGACGAGGGTCGATGGCTTTGGTAGGATCGACACCGGTATCTAGAAATTCCTCAACAGGATCAACTAAATAAGCAGGAAGATCTTTTATGAACCATTCGTCTTGTCTGATTTCGGGGATGGTGATGCGGTGAACCGGATGAACTTGCAAACATCGTTTGATGAGGTTTACGGCGCCTGGTGGAGTTTGTGATGGAATGTGAAATGTCCCGGCCTGGATCTTCTTGAATAGTGCAGGGATGAACTCGTCGTCGAATGGAAGTCTGCCAACGAGAAAGACGTAAAGAATGACACCGCAACTCCAGACATCGACTTCCGGACCAGCATAGAGCTTTCCGCCAATGACTTCCGGTGCAGCGTAATTTGGGCTTCCGCAGCTCGTTTTCAGGAAATTGCCATCTGTCATGATGTTGCTGAGACCAAAGTCGGCGATTTTCACATTCATGTTCTTGTCAAGGAGGAGATTCTCAGGTTTGAGATCCCGATGGACGATTTTGTGACGATGGCAATACTCGACAGCACAGATGATTTGTTGAAACAGCTTCCGGGCCTTAGCTTCACCCAACCGTCCATGTTTCACGATGTAGTCGAACAGTTCCATCGGAACATATTCCAGCACCATATAGATGTCTGTCTTGGTTGTGATGACGGTGTAGAGCTTGATGATATGAGGGTGACGCAGAAGTTGCAAATATTGGATCTCCCTCTCTATCCGCCCTGCCATATCCCGACTGATCAATTTGCGTCGACTGATAGTCTTCATTGCAACCTCTTGACCGGTAACCTTGTGTCTAGCCAGCTTGACTTTGCCAAATGAGCCCTCGCCGATATTGCGGACGAAGGCGTACTGATGCAATCGTTGCATTGCGCGGGCAGTGCCTGGAGACTCTGCCATCGGGGTATGACTCAAGCTAGCCCGTGCCGGAGGGGAGACAACAGTAGGAAGGGATGGTCGGGTACGGCTGGAGTCGGTTTGTGGGAGGGAAATAGAGAGTTCGTCATCGTTGATGGCCGACGACATGGTGGAGGGCGAGGGATGGCAGGCAGAGGTTCGCTCTGCCCACCGTGAAGGGGTGTGGTATCAGTGGCTCGAGGCTGTCGGGCAGATAGGAATAGACAGATTGGTGTCACCAGTAATCGCTGAATTGGTGGTTGAGCATCTCCAAGGGACGAATCACTTCCAGGTGTGAGGGTGGAGATCCTGCGCCTGCGGTCGACAGCGAGATGGGTGAAGGTCAGGGGAGTTATGCAGGCTGTATCCAACGACCGACGAAGAAACGGGAGATTTAGCGTATAGACGTGCAACACAAGTCTTTTCGTAGTTGTTTGCAGATCAAAGTCGAAAGATTGGGCGAACTGAGTAAGTGATCGTGTGTGGGTGTTGAAGGATGCAGGATGAGCGAGGCACTGGAGGGTTGAGGCGAAACTGGACAAGAGGGGGCGCTGGGCCGCTGCCAGTTCATGTGCTGGGTTCATGTGCTGCTATGACGGCCCGCCGCCCGCTTGAGTTACCCGAATCGGCAACCCTCCCCTTTGGCGGGCTCGCGGGGTAAAATCACGCTAAGTACCCGTAATAGGTTGCAGCCACAGCCTCGCAGCCTCGTGAAGTCGCCAGCACTGGCAGGGAGCACTGGGCGCCTACTAGGGCTTTCCTAGACGATATTAATAATACTAGGGAGAAACTACCTGGTACATTCGTCATCAAGGTTCTTGTCATTCACCAGAGTGCAGCACTGAGTCCTAGCCTATTGAAAAATGTCCTGTTTTGCCCTACCCATGAAATGAAACGCAATGAGATGGATCTGAAGACAATTCCGCCACTCCATGTCTCGGGATCATTTGCCTGTTCACATACAATCCGATCCTGCCATCTCTCGTCAAATCTGGTGCATTGTTGATTGCATCCATCGTCGAATGTTTCATCCACATGCCCTGCCACTGATTTCGTCCACCGATATCTTCTCATTCACGTCCTTCTCATATCTTCAGATGAAGGCTGGCAGATCGATAGAATTAATTAGTTCTTCTCTCTTGACTTCATTTGGCGTCCACAAGTCTTCTCCCCCAGAGTAAAAGAACCAGTACTCTGCCGTGTATTCTTCTTCCGCCATGAAGCGTTGACTGTCACATACAGGTGGAGCGCCTCCCGCGACCTCGACTCGGTAGATATCCCAATCCCTCTTGGGGCTCACCGAGTGTGCCCATCTGCTATTGCTTCCAGGATCATCCGGGGCTAGCACGGATTCATGCGGAAGGGCTTCGAACGTCGCAATGTCGAAAAGAATGACAATTGCTGTCTCGTTGACAGTCCCAATCGTGCCCAAGCATTCCAACGTAGAGTTTTTCTGTTGCTCATAGTCGAAGTCATGAAGTTTGGCAGGCAAAGCATGGAATGCTGCTTCGTTGGGGAGATTTTGGATAAGAGGTGCTGCATCGTAAAGCTGGGTGGATTGAGACTGAAATTTGGCGGCTTCGCTAGATCCATTTCCCTCGCACAGATACATGTACAGGCCTCGCGCGATTGCAAGGTATTGAAGAGGCTTGCCGGGAGGCGGCGGTGACAAGGAATCCGTGCCTGGAAATGTCAGTGAGTCGCACCTCAGTCCTTAGCTTGATGGATCTCACAGGATTTGTTAGCATCGCAAGTGATGCTGCCCTGGAGAGGTACTGTCCAGCCTGCGGCCACCGAGGCGTTGATCGGGGGAACATAGTCAAGATCACTACGGCGGTCAAAGCGACGCGCGGAGTTCGATCCTTTGACGAGGCTCAAGAGAACAATGGCTGTCAACCACAGGATCGAGGTGACGACGACCATAACGCCACGGCTCTTGGAAAGAATGGCAAGAGTCGGGAAGTAGCCGTGCTGACCAATATTTGTTACCTTGTTGAATGGATAAAACGAATGACTATTTGCTGAATGAACGACTGAGGACAGGGAGGCAAGAAAGATGATGGCATCGGACAGAGGTGAGTCTTGAGCTGCAGGAACGACTCCAGATAAGACCTTAACGCATTCCTGTCGCCAAGAGCAGAAGACACGCAGAGAGGTTTGAGTGAATTGACACGCTTCACTTCGTCTCGCTGCTCATGGCCTGACACCCTGGGCAAGTGCTCACAAGGACGGCAAGTCAGCTGGAGTTGAAGTCGAGAGCGAAACCTGTGGTGCTTACCAACAGCAGCAGCAGCAGAGAAAATGACAATCTGCGACACTTCTCAAGTTCACCAGTCGCCAAAACCCTTCAAACAGGAGTAGTTGGAGGAATGAGTGGACTGCATTGTATACCTATCAACATTGGCCACGATGGTATAGCACACCGCTCTCTTTTCGATAAACGCCATCCATTCCAAACACTTCCATGCACATGTCCCCAGCGCCTGGCTCAAAATCATTCAAAACAATAATGTTAGTAGTACAAATCGGATTGAGGTTTGCAATTGAGGCTGCTCAATGCAGGTTATAACCGCAGAAGCGAGGGACCCGTTCTCAATGTCCATCTGCGCCTAGCACTTCCATCCGATCTCTTCTCATCCCTTCGAGGACACCCACAATACCGCCGTTCCGTAGTCTTTCCAACACAACGTTCATCCCTTCTTTTCCGTTTACCAGAGCTGACTTGGTCCGTTTCACTCCAATGAGCTCGATGGTCCGCTGAATACCAGCCGTCGACCATGCTGCAAACAGTCCTTGTTTTGGGGGATCTTCTTCGGCATTTGCAGTGTGCTCTTGCTTTTTCCGGCTCAATAACTTGTTCTGGCCCAGATGTGATACGAACGTCACAACTGTCTTGCATGTGGTCGTCTCCTTGGGTCTCTGTGGTTGGAGGTCATCGCCCGATCGACTCGAAGACGCTATCTCAGACAGTCGTTGACGTCTATATGTTTGTTTTTCCACGACGCTCAAGATACCTGTCCACTCCATATTTTGAGATTCTGTTTCCATCCATCCTTCATTGATGTCAATGGTACTTTTCTCTAGGACATAGCTCTGACTGGCACCGCCCGGGCCAGCAAGGCCACGAGGGAGGAATTTGAGGATGCCGGAGGGTACTTTCGATCTTTTCAGATGCAGTCGGACAGTATGCAGTCGGTTCGTCTCGGGATCGATGTAGCGATCGATTACGTCTGAGCTGAGAACATGCCTGGAATAAGGATTCGGGTAGCGCAGGAAATATGCTAGAGTGACAGCAGGGAAGGTGTAGTCGTAGTTAAAGGAATGTTCGTAGAATTTCATCCTGACATGAAGACATTGACCCCAAGTAACGGCTGATGGTTAAAGCGTAAGATGAGGAAGGAAAGGAGATGGCGAGTTTTTGGGGCCCTCACGCGAGCTTCTCAAGCCCAGTTGCCACATTCGGCCGAAAAGAAGAGGAGAGAATGGCTTGGCCGGCAAATTGTGGAGGACGGAGAGAAATATCCGACAACGGCATATCATTGGACAGCGGTTCTATCACAGTTGGGCTGCATGTAGAGGCCAACGGTGAATTCAAACACTCACGCCGAGTCACAGATCCTCACACAGACGAGCTGCCACCACTATTGTTTCGAGACATCTTTTCATAACTTTCCCTCACTCTTACGCTCCCTTCGAAGGTCCCAGTCTCGCCCTCGCCCTCCTCCTCCCACTCCCTGCCCTTTGTCTCCGCTCCTGCGTCTCTCACGTTCACGGCCTCCAACCCCTCGCCCGCCATGGCAGAACAAAAAGTCACTCCCTTCGAAGTGTCTGGCGGCGTGGACGAGTCTGGCCAGGTCAAGCAAATAGACTACAACAAGTTGATCCGCGACTTTGGGGCCACCCCCATCTCACCCGAATTGCTCGAGAGATTCGAAAAAGCCACTGGCCATAAACCCCACAGATTCATGCGCCGGGGCATAGTGATATCCCACCGCGAACTCGAAAGAATCCTGAACAAGTATGAGAAGGGCGAAAGATTCTATCTCTACACTGGGAGAGGGCCGAGTAGTGACAGCATGCACGTCGGACACAGCGTGCCTTTTGAATTCACGCGCTGGCTACAAGAAGTCTTCGACTGCCCCCTCGTGATCCAGTTAACAGACGACGAAAAATTCATGCACTCCAAAACCATCAGCATGGACGACGCCACTCGGTATGCAAGAGAAAATGCCAAAGACATCATTGCATTGGGCTTCGACCCGAAAAAGACCTTCATCTTCTCTGATTTTGAGTACATGGGGGGCGCATTCTATCGCAACGTCTGCTTCGCTGCGAAACACGTCACGCTCAACCAGATAAAAGGAGCATTTGGATTCAATGACAGCAACAATATTGGCGAATTCCATTTCCCTGCAACCCAGTCTGCGCCCTCATTTGCCACGAGCTTCCCACATATTTTTGGCACCGATGCAAAAAGCGTCCCGAAGATCCTTTGCCTAATCCCTTGCGCAATTGATCAAGACCCCTATTTCCGTGTCTGTCGAGATATAGCAGAGAAGATGAAATACGAGAAACCGTGCCTCATCCACTCTCGCTTTCTCCCAGCGTTACAGGGCGAGGGCACAAAGATGTCTGCAAGCGTCGATGCCTCTGCGATATTTCTCACCGATACACCCAATGCGATAAAGAAGAAGATCAACCGTTTCGCGTTCTCTGGCGGGCAGGATACCGCAGAGAAACAACGCGAGCTGGGCGGGAACACGGATGTCGACGTGCCATACAAATACCTTACTTTCTTCCTGGAAGACGATGACGAATTAGCCAAGATCAAAGAGCAATATGAGAAAGGAGAGCTGATGACCGGGGAGCTCAAGGCACTTTGTATTAAGGAGTTGCAGCAATATGTGGGTGATTTTCAGGAGAGGAGGAAAAAGGTGAGCGACGAGGTGGTGCAGGACTTTTTCAGCAGAAAGGGGTTGCTATTTAGAGGGGTTCCGGCGGATCAGAAGACGGTTACAACAGGTTTAGCAACGGATAAGGGTAGTGTCAAGGAGAACGGTCCAAAGAAAGAGGTCCCCTTACGATGAGATTCAAAGAGCTGGAAGAAATTCCTCAATAGATAGTGCGCTTATCTGGGAATGGAAGCATAGCGTGACTTGGTTTGAGATTAGAAAAGAATGATTGTGAACTAGACCATGAACCTGGAGTTTCTCCATAGGTCGTACACATGCACGGCGACTAAATGAAAGAGAACAGAGCCTTTAGTTATTTCCTATATACATGAAGATCAAGTGTCTTCACGTCCCCTTTGGCCATGCAGCCTCACCACGCCAGGGAAGAAGCCTCTAACCGCATTACTCAACCACACCACCTCCCCGTCCTCGACCTCGCGGACAAGAACAGTTCCCTCATCGCACCAGCCCGCCTCTAGCGCATAGAGTCTGGTCACGGACAGCATGGCGCCGCCGTCGTCGGACCGCGGAGTCCGCCAGGTGCCGTTACGGAAAAAATACACCGCCGACAGGGACGCCTCGGTGACCTGGCCCTCGGTGTTGGACAGGAGGACTTCTCTCGCCGTGGGTGGCGTGGTCGGGAGGAGCTCGGCGCGCGCGCGGGCGTCGTCGTACGGCCTCCGGTGGTTGGTCTTGTGCCGTGTAAACAAAGATGTGTGTGTGGGTTGGGCGTCGATTGTGACCTGGCATGGTGGTGGTAATGCTGCTATTGCCGCTTGTTCTACTTGTCCGGCGACAGTCGGCGTAAATGGGCACGATGCGTACATGTCAACGAGTCGCGTGAGCGTCGAAAGAGGTCGATCCTCGCCCATGGCCGTGCACTCGACAGTCACCTCCCCAGCACGGGACATCAGGACGCGGACCCGGAGGTCTCGTAGATACCCTGCCTTGGGGCCTTGAAAAGAGGGGCCCGCAGTCGTTTGGGATCTAGCAGCGGCGTCCTCGACGAGTTGTTCTAGACTGATAGGGTTGGCGACCTCTGGCATTAATAGAGACTCTCCATTCACTTGCCCGCTCGCTATGGCACCGTCGGCCGGGGAGGCCGCGAGCCGCGTCGCAACATCTGCCCAGCCGACCGCTTCGGCAGCCTCGCGCAGACGCCGCCTATGCAGCGCGAAGAGATTCGCGCGGATGTCTTTCCACCGTCGTATGAGAGCGTAGGCATCCGCCGAGTCCGAGTCGCTGTCGGCGTCTTGGGCGTTGAAGAGCGTGTGTTTTAGGGTGGTGATGATGCGGAAATGCTGGCCGGAGATGATCGCTTTGACGTCGCCTTCTTCTCCTGGATACAGAGACATTTCTATTCGCCAGAATTGATGGTGGCGGTGTCGCGTATATAAATGGTCTTTCCATCCATGGCCTCGGGCACGTTTGTACACCTACCTAAGGTATTTAAGTGGGTAAGTATTAGACTCTCACCTTTCTGTAAATTTTACCTCCGCTACGATCGACCGGCATAAGTGTGGCAAAAGGCTTGGTTGTAAAGAATCAAGGCCCGGGCCGATGACGAGGAAGAGCCAATTTGATAATAATGTTAGTGGATGAATAGGAAAAGTGAAGCTTTGAAGCCCTCCTCCAACCTGCCTACTCGTGGCTTGTCACCCCAAGTCGAAATCAACCCAGCACTGGACCATATCCATAATTCGGAACATCCTCATTCTAGCAAGTTTCAACTATTCATACATGCTAATTCGAGCGACGATAAGTGTGGCCTGCTTTCCAGTTTTTCGCAGGGTTTCGCTACAGCTGCCTAGGTACCCACGCTACCTTCTAACAGCATTTACCCTTAGACCCCTGAAGCCTCAGAAGTCAGAATCTACTCGGTACGAGGTACAGGGTTCGCCTTGCAACTGAACCGCTGCCCCATTGCCATTCCTGCAACTCTCGCTTTGTGCCCCCGCCATAGCCTCACGGGGCTAATAGGACGAACTCTGCCCCTACAGTCACCGTACACAAGAGCCCCAGGCTCGTGCGAATCCTTTCAGTTTCGGGGTTTCCTCTTTGCCGGACACAAAGGATGAAGCGTAGACAAAAGACTCTGCGGCGTCGATTTCTGAGAAAGGCTCCGGTGATGAAATCACAAGCTATCTCCCCCTTCCATCCGTTGGGGCGCCCTGTTTTCTTTAACCTTGAACTTGGTGGTCCCCTTCGTTCAACTAAACCTTTGACTCAATCTACGTAAAGCTCTTAACTAACTATACCTTCTGCATAGACATGCCTAACAAATGCCAAGATCAATGCCTAGACAAAAAGGCGCCCGACGGACGGAAGAGGAACAGTAGAATGTAGGATCAGAGCCACTCAGGCTGCCGGACAGGCGCTCGGTTGAATGTCTAACTTGAACCCGCTCCAACCGAAGATGTCCAGATACGGTACGGCGGCACCTCGCTGCTTTGCCGAGACGAGATCTCAGACGCGACGGTACCCTATTTATACACGCAATCGAGTCTCGCCAGCAACGTCTTGGTCATTGCGTCTAAGACCCGAGGCGCGCCGAAGACTGTGGACAAGGATGTTAAATGCGCCAGGAATGTGTTGGGAGGGCCAATGTCGTATCATATACCGTGGCCGCTATCTGTGTGAAGTATAATCAAGATCGAGAACAGAATGCAAGCGGGACCTTCGTGTGTAACTAATCCAAATGATTGACCACACACAGCAACGCAGATCCCATATTAATGCAGATTAATAAATACCCTACGTGTTTGAACCAAGAAAAAAAAAATCTGAGTTGTCTATCTCTCCAGTCAGTGAGTAGCTGAAGACGAGCTCTTTCGACTTGACAACCGCCAGCTTAGGATACCCACAACCTGGTTAACTCAGCTTCATCGCACCATCCAGGCCTGGCGAAGGGTCGCAGATCACAGCATTGGATCCAAACTTCGCTAACAAGCCGCATACGCCTGCAGCCTCATTCCATTGTGCAGCGACGCAGTTGTTGAGTTGGTCGCACTGCACCATGCATCCATCGAAAGTGCTTGCAGGATAAGCGCCGAGACTAATCGCGTCGACCAAGAAGCAGCTGCAAGTGACCTGGTACGAGTGCCCATTAGAGTCTGTATATGTTCCTTGAGGAACACCCGCGCATGTAGGAGCAGCAGTATACACAGTAGTCGTCGTGGTTGTTGTCGTAGTCGTCGTGCTCGTGGTGGTGGCTTCGACAGAGGCAGTGGTTGTTGCCTCGACAGAAGTAGTGGTTGTAGTATCTGTGCTAATGGTGTCTGTAGCAGTCACTGATGTAATCGAGGTTGCCTGTACCAAGGACGTCGCGACAATGGAGCTGGTGACGGTAGAGGTCTCGGTGACTGTGGTGCTAACTGTGTTTGTTTGACATGTTGGAGAGGCTTCAATACAGGAGCATACTGTGCTGAAGACCGAGGCGGCTTCGGCCTGGAGGCTGCAGAGAATCTTTGTCAGGCTGCTGCCCGCAGCTGCTCCAGCATCATTGTAGGCCGTGACCAAGGTGGTGAACGCCGGGGTCGGTTGCGCAAAGACTGGTGGTTCAGGAATCCTCTCGGTAGGATGAGCAAGGAAGTCCGGAACCGAAGGCACTGAGCGTTTCAGCCTGGCTGGCGTGGGGCTCGCTGTCGTTATGGTGACAGTAGAGGTTGCAGTTGCAGTAGAGACAGTAGTGGATGTTCCTGTGGTCACGGTCAATGTAGTGGTGTCGGTCGTCGAGGTCTCAGTCGCCGTGCTAATGTATACATATATGGTACTTGTGTCGACAGTGGTTGAAATGGTGGTAGTCCCCGTGGTAACAATAGCAGTTGAGTAAGTAGTGTCGACGGTGTTGACGGAGGTCGATGTTGATGTGGTAGTAGAAGTCACTGTACAGTGAAGTGGAAATTTAGATGAGCAGAACGTTTCTGCCGGGGCGAAGTTTGATAGAGGAAGGAATAGTGCATATGGAGGCTGGGAGCAAACAGCACTGGAGGCATGAGCACAGACAAACAGTCCCGAAAGATAGGCGAAGATTATCGCTAAAGAAAACATAGTGTATCACGAATCCTCCGACTTTCTTCCTGATCTTGCAGCCGGGTTGCCCAAGGAATACGGGTTCTCTAGATTTATATATTGAATTGCCCCACGGGCTCCTGAATGAACGTGTCAGCCTGGACCAAGATCCTAGAATACGAGGATGCTCTTCTTCCGCCTCCAAATTCAGGCGTCTTTAATAGTAGGGGGGCGTTTATGTCCCGTGAGCTGAGTTACCCGCAGCGTTTACTGATTCAAACCGACCCAACGAGCAAGGCATCACATGGCCTCCCCTCTTGCAGCACTAACCAGCTCAAACCTCTGGAAACAGCGGCAAGCTATTAAGAGGCTGATTCTCGAGCTTTCGAATTTGTAAAGGGTTTCTTGTTCGATGTGGGAAAAGTATAAAATGGCTGGCTGAGCAATTTCACAATGAGAAATTCATCTGTGGCGAGGTTTCAGATGTCTGCCATATCTAGCATAATCTTATTCAAAAGTCCGGAATAGGTAAAGTGTGGCGTGTCTAAGCGACGGGGTGGCGTAAATGCAGGCCCTTCGAGAACCGACTTGGTGCACGTTTGATCTTGAAGCTATTGAGCAATAAGCTACAAAGACTTCAGCCAGCCAGTCCCAAAGGGTATTCTTCCTGTTTTAGTGGTGTCCCTGACCCATGTCGGTTGAACTTGAAAGGCGGAGTAGCGGCTGGGCGAAATTGCTTGGTGTCTTAGCGCGCTATACTCTATCCACCCATCAGAAGTATTTGATTCCTCTGTTCCGAATTTGCAGCAGTATGCACCTATTTCTATCGCACCACTATGAAATGTAGAACCAACTAAATTGATTGTCTAACTAGCAACTACTGGAGGTGGAGAGACTAGGTGGCAATAAGTGCCGCAGTGTCACTCGCCTAACCTACCGTGTATAGGTTGGGTCGGCTAACCTTCCCAATATGGTTAGCCTAACATGAAACACATCGGAAAACTACCTAGGTACGATATAAACCTCGGTTTTGTCACGAACCGCCCAGCACACCTCGCACGTGACGACAGCTTACTATTTATGTGACTGTCAGGGATGCCAAGGGTTGTAAAGACGGATCGAAGGTATACAGACTAGCCGTTTAAGGCCTTCGGCCGAAGGCCTTCGGGCGACGCTAGTAGCCCTCTGTAAATTACCCTGTGGTATATAGTCTGACGGTCCCCAGGACCTAGTCTAATTCACCATGTTCCTCCATTGAGTCACATTTAAGTACCGCATGCTCACTGCCTGAGGAGGGAAACTCCTTCTTCCTTCCCTCATGCTTAGAGTCTTAGTTAAGATATACTATCAAGGAATACCTATACCATCACCCACTGTCTATCGCTATCCTCTGCCTATCTATATAGGCTGTTCCTAACAGGTTTTCCGCGATGGTTGATGGTGGTTAGCTAAGCCTTGGGTGAGTAAGGGGTGAGTCTGCCCATAGCAATTGATTAGCTCCGACCAAATTGGCTCTGCCACCCTACCTCGCAGCTTCAAGCCTTCAACGCTTTCAGCCTCAAGGGCCCAAGAATGCCCTCGTATCGCCTCGGAGTTATATGTCTACGACACAACACAAAACGCAATTGACCCTTCACATACCAGGGTTGATGGCTGCAGCTGTATTGCTGCCCAATGTAAGGCCTAGCAAAGGTTTGATTGATGAGCTTTGGCGTATGAAGATCCCTAGGACTAACTGCCGGCAGAAAGTGGCTTACTAGGTTGCACTAATCAGATATGCAGCACCACCCACAGCTCAGTTGACCCTTGCACCTGGCCCATCGCATCCTAACGGAACTGGAAAGCTGCAGTTTGGCGAGGATATTGTCGAGTCAGCCCGCACGTACAGTAGGATGTGGCATTGAAAGGCAGGATGTCTTTCCAGCGTTCTTGCGGAAACTACGGTTAGCCTTGCAAGAACTTGCATAGGTGCGAATGGGAAGCCTGGATAATCTATGTGAGGCTGTCTACCAAATGTTGTCTTCCCAGCGATCGACGAAATAAGCCTCCTGGGTACTTACGTACTTCAGCTTCGACCAGCATTTTGTCCAATTTTTGCGAAATGACCATCGCCGCCAACTAATATGACATCATTCCACCGATATAGTGCTGAAATTAGTGGCCTGAAATATTCTCAATTCTACGCAGCCAAAACTCTTGTTAAACGACGCTCGTATCTGGTATTCGCAGCCAGCCACGCTGCAAGCTCAATGCGCGTAAAGCGGGCCATAAACTATCCTAGAGAGATGTGGAAAGACCTGCAGACGTTTATGAAGACAAGGTTATGACCCTCTAAGAGCTCTGAGCCCGGTATATCCGCCTCCGGTTCGTGGAGAGTAATGCCTTATCGGAAAGCAGGCGAGAGCCATTTCTAGAGCCCCTTGGCTGATCGAGATCTCCCACAGTGGCATGACAATAGAAGAAAAGGGTCATTGTAACGGAGGCAACCGGACGGAACCCAGACACACCTTAAGAAGTTCATTACGCACCTCAGTGGTCGGATTTTTCGATGCTCCATCACTACGCCCCGGTAAGTGTTCTCTCCCATGTAGCATTCGTCATTCCTTCACATGCCACAGAGTATTTCCATGAATTTGAGGGCAGGGCTTAACTTCTTATAGGTCTAACCTCCCCCTGAGCGCAGCTTTAGGTTAGACCCTCAGCCTCCCTACAAAAATGTGACACATTCTTTAGGAGTGGTTATTGCCCATGCTAGATGTGGTTTAAATAGATCAATGTATGTCAGTTGTTGGATACTATAAGCAGGGCAACTATGATAGGGCACATTACGCGAAATCGTGGTCCAGACTTGCTTCCTCACCAGTTACCTGCAATAAATGCGGTTAGTAATGCTTAAGTCATGCTATCACTCTGTGCAAACGTTTGATAGGCCCGTTCGTCAGGCAGACATTGCTCTGTGTAAACGAATTATCTTCCTTAGTAACGCCAAAGGGAGACGATGGTATAAATTGGTCTCATCCTTCCACTGAAACCTGAAGAAACTTCCTAGTCCTCTGAGGAAGACCATTTCATCCTTCATTAGTTACCTCCTGGTTCACTTCTGTTTAGCCGCCCAAAATTAACAAAGATGACTGAAATCATCAGCCTGATTCAACAGGCCATCGATTTAGAAGAAAACATAAGAAACTTCGTCCAGGTATACTTGGGTGCTGAGCGAACTTTCTTTAAGATGCGACTTTTCGGCGGTAATGTCAACAATGTCAAACTGAAGCTCTTCTTGAGATTATCCGAAGACCAAATCAAGAGTAAAACAATGCAGAAATCTGATGAAGAGGCCATAGAAGCTGCAGCCAAAGAACTCAAGAATAGCTTAGAGAAAGCGATGGATCACTTGGAAAGCCACGTACCGCAGGGGTTCGCATCCAAATTCATGTGGGCATTATGTGAGGAGAGGAGAGCAATAGAGTTGATCAACGCCTTTGAGAGCAGTTTCACCAGCATATTACAGCTCTCCGAATTAGCTGAGCGCGCAAGAGATCCAGTGTCATTCGATCTCCGTAATTTTTCACTTATTACAGAAAGAAACATCCTCGATTCTGGGTTTTACGCATATTCAGCGCAGGCAAAATACAACCCAAGGGGAAAGGATCCTGAAAACGATGATCCTGAAGTCGATGTTTTTATCGAGTCCTTTAACGCGGATAAAACTTCTCGCAAAGATGCCCAAGAGAAAGCAGAAAGGAGTGCCAAGTGTCTATGCCGTTTGGGTGACGACAGCAATACGATGCTCTATCAGACTGGACTTCTTCCTTGTCTCGGTCATCAATTCGGACGCCTCATATTCCTCTTGCCCAAAAATGCACAAGAAGAGCCTCGCACATTGCGAAAATACATCGCGGAATGCAAAGAGAAGCACGAACCGGCCATTCCCTTGGATTCCCGATTTGGATTTGCGTTACAACTGGCCGAGGCATTGGTTACAGTTCATAGCGCTGGAATTGCACATGGTGCAATTCGAAGCGACACAATCCTTTTTCTCAAACCTAGAGCAACAACGACACATCACACGGAAGACAACGCAGCACCTCCGACTCCTGGCGATAACCGGAAGACCGGAGATCAAAGCAGCCTGGAAGATAAAGGAGACATAGGAGTTACCCGTGGTCGTCCCACCAAAAAAGAAGTTTCTCCGCCGAAGACAGGAAGGTCCAAAAGAAGTATAAGCAGGCTTGGGGAACAAGCGAAGTTAGTTGTCGAAAAACTGAAGAGGTCAGGAAGCCGAGACAAGAATCGTACCCAAGACAAAAATGCCAGGAAGACAACACAGAATAACGCAAACAAGAGAGATTCAGCCGGCACAAAGGTACCAGAAGCTGGTCAACCCTCGGGAATCGAACCCAGTCCGAATGCAGATTCCGATTACAAAGACAAATCCAACAGTGGCCAACAGACAAGTTCCTATGTCAAAGTCGGTGAAGTTCCATCCGAATTTGGTGGCGTCTACCTAGCATCTTGGCTTTCACTTCGCTGCCGTGGAGACGCTCCGCGGTCTTACAGAAGACGGTGGGACGAGGATATCTACCGGCATCCTCAGATGCAAGGTAAAGTGAAAGACAAAAATAACATGGGACACGATATCTATAGTCTAGGCGTTTGCCTTCTTGAGCTTGGCTTGTGGGACTCCTTGGTACAGAAGTGGCAGACCAATGACAGCCTCGTCGATGGGATTATGAAATGGGTGAAGAAACAAAAGATCGACACCGAACCTACGGACCAAGATCCGCACCAAGAAGGTGATTTGTCAAAGGAGATCAAGACCGTTTTATCCTCGATCCAGAAAAGTCAGGGCACCGACAGCCTCTTTGACCAGTTAATGGGGTTCCTGAAGGTTGAAAACCCCGATCCCAGTTCACGAGATTTCCTTCAAGGGGAGGGTATGCCGAAAAACATCAAGAACGCTCTGTGTCAAATTGCAAAAGACCGGTTGCCGAATTCGATGGGCGCAGCCTATGCCGATATTGTTATCAACTGCTTGACATGTCTCGACGATACAAACGGCATCTGGAAAGTGAAATTTGCGAAATTGAACAGGCAAAATGATTGCGACAGATTCCGGGATGTTGTTTTGTTTCCTATGCAGAACATTACGGCGGCTCTCCTTGGTTCAAAGCAGTAGTTTCGTTGCCTGAACTAGCGTTGAAGAAAGTGCATACAGAATTTGAAGCCGGTTGTAGAGTCTCGATGGTGATGCAAGCCCGAATCGCGAGATGCGAGAAAGGTGATCTTCAACCGACCCTGAAGATCTTCCGGGGGTTTGAAGAGTCCGTAGGAGCTGAAGACGACAGCTGTTAGCGACCTGTTAACTGAGTGAACGCTGGAAGATCTCAGTGACAACAAGAAATAATATCCACTGACTCTTTTCACTCCGTCACCGGGGCCCTAGTCGCAGTGAGAAAGACAAGTGTCACTATCGTCCTTGCTGCCATGGCGTCAGCCAAAATCACGGCGAGCAGCGTAGATGCGCGAAGATAATGGTAGCGCGGAAGGACGGTGGGGGGTGTAATATATATTAGGAGAGATAGCTACTTATTAACCTTAAAGCCTCTTTAAGCGTTGATATCGACATCAATAGACTAGTTAGTCTATCAATTTGATCCCAAGTATCGCACTGGCCTTCATGTCGGTATGACTAGTCTGATACTGGCCATGCCATCCATCAAGTCGACTTGGTGAGCACGTTCCGAGTCCGTTCCAGTGTGCATCAACCAAAGCGATCATAAAGAAAAGAAAGCCAAAATTGCGATGATGCGGGATATCTATCACAGGGAGCAAAGAAACCCTGATCTTCTTGGATGGCCAAAGATCAACAAGCTGCCCACTTTGGATGTTTCGCCAGCCTGACGGATCCGCCTACTAGGTAAACTCTGGATCGGCCGAAAACATCTCTCTGGACCACCCCGTTGCGGTGCAGGAGTTCCGAACCTCTCTCCGAGATAATCAGCAAGCCACATCACCTCATCAGCAAACTCATGCCGAGTGGTTAAATAGTTTGCTCCAAATCGCTGAAACTCCGTGGTGGCGACCTGCTTGGGTGTATCAGGAATTCGGCATTTCCATCTAACCGCGATTCATGTCTGGTGAGTATACTGTGTTGTGGACCGATGTCTGAAGCTTGATTGGATATCTATGAGTCCAGGGCGCAAAAATCAAAGAGGCACTTCTGGGAAGAGTCGCCATTCTCGAACGGGAACTTGAACAGAGACTGGAGCAGGAATCCGCGGAACATGAGCGAAGATACGACCAGGAGCTCAGTGTGCACCTGCAATTAGTCACCGACGAAAATATCAGGTACGAACTGGACCTGCGACGTTGCAGGGAAGAGAACATGCAGAGACAGCAGCAACTAGATCGCGAATTCCAAGCCGCCTTGGATGGATACCAGCGACAGATGACCCGAGATCGCACTGAACTTTTGGATTTTGAAGCAAAACAGCGACAAGTCACGGAGGCATGTGAAGCAGCCAAGACTGGATATTCCCGTCGGCAGCAAGCACGACTTGATAAAGAGCACGCCCGTCGGGAAATGAAGGCAGTTCTTCGCCGTTCCTGGAATGTCGCTGCCAAGGCAAAGATTTCTTAACAGAAGAAGGATCTCGAGCCGTGGCGCCTGGAATCAGACGACCCATTCGAAGTACGGTTCTTGGAGGTCCAGCAAAGCCTGATCCGCGCCAGTTCTGGAAGCGCAACAGCTGGTGTGCTCCATGAGCGACTCAACGGTCTCGAAAATGTCCTTGGACGGCAGGCTGACTTCCGGACCTTCGAATCGAACCATCCGAGACCCGTGCCACGACCGTTGACGATGCCTGTGCGTACTTCTTATCAACCTCCAGATCCTCCATCCAGGGTGTCCTCTACCTGCTGAGCCTATACGAAGTGTTATGGTGCTCTTGCTCATGCCATCGAGTTGAAGAGATTGATCGGACAGCTTGTTTCAGGCGCTGAGAGACTCGACTCCTCCGCATTTTCCATTGTGATAGGCGGTAGGAGTGTACCTCGCTCGCCTTGCGCTTGGTTTACCCATCTGCGGCACTCCGGGACCTGTCAGGCTTCTGACCACCGAGATGGCATCTGTGCGTTCCTCGGACTAGCTGACACACACTATGGTATTAGCCCTGCCTACTCGCAGAAGGACACACTCATCCACGTTCTTATCCAGACAAGCCGTGCTATCGTTGAGCATGACAGAAACTTCCACATCTTTGCCCATGCTAGCCAGGGGCGCAGGAACTGGGGTAGATGATTGCCGGCCTAGGTTGTTGATTGGACCAGTTCCGAGGAGAGCGACGGCATGCAGGGTTTGGTGAACTCCAACTTGTAAGATCAGGATCCGCCTCAGCGAGCATTTGATGCCTCCAAGGGCAACGAAGCTCTGGCTGAGTTTCGAGCAGATCCCAAGGATGAAAAAAATGTGGACCTGAAGGTCCGAGAGTTTTAATATGCTGAGTTTGGGAACTGTGTGCCGCCTTCTGGCGGGCACCCCGGTATGCATTCATTCTCCACAACAGAAGACGACAATCCCTACCCGGGCATTGCTCCGACATCCGCTCGGTGCAAGGATGAGGTAGGGGTTCTATACGGGTCTTCGATGCCATTGATCTTGCGACCCGAGCCCCAACCAGGATTCGAGGACTCGTAATTCGTTCGTCGCCCAGGCATTGGTTCCGACGCGTGATGGAACGATTTCTCAATTGATGTATGGAGAACTGGTTGACCATATGACGGAGCAGAGCGCAGAGCCTACTGATATTTGGCTTGTCTAATGCTTGTCACTTTGACTCTGGCAGGCTGTCCACCTGCAGAGATTCTACATCGCAACCCGGGAAGCCGCCAAAGCACATAATCGTTCAGGGGCACAGCCAACCCGCTACGATGAGGCTTTGCCCAGCTGAGGACCGCCTTACTGTACTGATTGACGGTACGGTAGCATGTCCACCACACCCGACGATAAGCTGTCCGGAGAATGCAAGACAAGACACCCACGACTTTCGATGCGAATAAATTGAGGAATGAGCATCTAAAGACAGCAAAGAGCCACACCTGTGCTCTAACATTCGCAATTTCCCTGAGCAGCAAGGGACAGAGGAACAATCTGGACGGTGTGGATTGCAATTTTGTATATGCGCGACCCAGACTACCAGTGTTGGATCGTAGAAGGAAGAAATGTCCATTCATTGGGAGAGGATAATATACTCTGCGCTCTATTTGATTCTCTATATATCTGTGTTATATTTAATCTAATCTCCCACGACTTGGAGCTGGTTTCACTAATCTTCTATGCTAAGGAAAAAGGCACGGGATGGACAAAAGGAGAGATATGAATCACGCTCTCCTCTGGGGAGTTTTATCTATTAGTCGCCCGATGCAAACAATAGCGTCAGAACTTTTTCATTGGTTGAGGACAACCTGAGGCGCGTCGCTGACAATCAATATACAACGCAGCCTGTGGGACGGAGTACTTGATCCTAGCCTGAGATCGTCTTTCTCCAAGGAGGAAAAAAGGGTACCAGCTTGTCCCAGCGTAGAGGACCTTGGAATACATGTGTGAATCTTCAAAGTGCGAGGAATATGTACGAGGTATTCCTTGGAAGGTGAAAATCAAAAAGTGACTAGGCCTTTCGGGTTGTTTATAAAGTTGAGCAGCTTCAGACTCCCGAGGAATGGCGTCTGTGGATGGCCACCGAATCCAGAAAGAGCCCAGCAAGAGAGTTATTCAGCGAAAGCATGATTGTCTCCAGTGTTTGTCAGGGTCAGGGCCAAGCGAAGGCAGCTTCATATGCCGCTGTCGTGGTGTAATCCGTCCGGAGACTCAAGACCGTCACTCATTTTTGGGATGAGTCTCTGCCAGATCTTCATCTTCTCGCACCCGCGTATACATGATGCATCCACCCCGAATCCTCCCTTTCAGAGGATTGACTCTGCCCTGCTCGTCCACACCATCGTTGGCCCAGCCCGCGACCTCGGTAAACCCACAGCGTTGATAGAATGTCTCCTTGTCCGCCGCGGCCATGACACACGCGGGGATGCCCTCTTCCCGGGCCCGGTGCAGGCCCCACGCGACCAGCTGGCGACCATGGCCGTGGCCCTGGTACTTTGGGAGCACGGCGATGCAATCCAGGTTCCAGCGCGTCAGTCTGTGAGGCGGCGAAAGGTAGCAGTGGGAAATGAACGGCCAGAGGGTTCTTTGCAGCGTCGTCGGGGTCAGTGGGAAGGGGTCGGACGGATCAGCGCGAGCGGTGGCGCGATTGGGCCTCCAAATCGATAGGATTCTGTGGAACGCCTTGATCAAGGGTGAGATCAACCTCCCTATAACATCAAATATGATGGTCAGTAACGTGCTTGTGCCTAGGAACCTGGAGGGTTCGAGACCGGGTTCGTTCGCAGCGATCAGCATGGCGAGAACGCACACCGCTCCATTCACACTCTCTCTTGAAGCGAGGCAGGGTCGCGTGGGAAAGGGAATCGGGGTGAGACTCAACGTGGATCCCAAAAGCCTCCTAGGCCCCAGAACTTGGCCCAGCCGAGCCCGACTCGCTGCCACTCGGCCACGCCCACCACGACCTCGCGTCCAGTTCCTGCATCCTTCTCGCAGCTGACCAGGAGCACCCGGCTATAATCCCAGTACCGCTCGCGGCATCGTCGCCTCCAAGAGTCCAAGTAGTCTTCGGGGTATTGGTCGCGGAAGGGGTGCATCAGGGGACCGACGACCTCTTCATCGTGGAAGCCGATCGCGAAGATCTGGGATATGATTGGGAGGTCAGAAACCCTGGCTAGGCGTAGGACCATCTTTTCACGGAGCGGGATGGACGAATGAAGGGCGAATTAATGCTTAGAGGGCTGCGTTCGATTTCATCGGAGAATTGCCCGTGGTGATAATAACCCTGCCTGTCTGGTTGCTCGAAGCAAGCTAGGCGCTTTGTTCTCCGTACCGAGTACCTCGTCCTGTCGAAGCGAGAATCCTTCTGGGGGCGTACTCGAACAAGTCAACTAGCGTAGCGTGGCTTCGCTGGCAGGCTTGTAGCATGCAGAGACCGTCGACAATCCTGGCTCTGGGTTCCGCCCCTTTTGTGAGGCTCCGGCATAAAGAGTAAGACAGCCACACAGCCTTCCGAAGGAGTAATACTCGTCCACCGAATCCGTACGAGGTACTGAGTGCAGCGGACAGACGCCTTAAAAGGAAGGTGAGGAAGTGGATGTAGGTAATTGAATCGGCCGAGCAACCAAGCAGTGCCTTCCAAAAACAATGTCCTTGACAAAGGGAATCAAACGTTAACTCGGTTAGTCGTTGTCGTACTCGCTCCTCGTGGAGAAGATAGTAACTCACATCCAGCCCTTCAAAACGCTGGAAAGTTCCGGGGTCTGGCACACGGCCTGTTGCCCAAGTTAGATTCCCTTGTCCACCCAGCTGTGATTTACCTTATTGCCAACACTGAACAGTGAACACTGTTCAAAAGTACGAGGGCACTAGTGTGCGTGGAAGGACTACTAAAAGGCCCAACCTTCCCTGCAAGCGGCACGGGGTAGCCTGGAGCTCGCTTGACGAAGGGAATAAGATGGGAAGCCCTAACCTAACCTCCCACGGACACGCGAGGCCGATAGTAGGTAGGTATGCTGGGGGCATCTGCAGAGCCACTCTTACTATACCCACTCCGTAGGTAGTCGTACGACTAAGTAGGTACTGACGACCTCGGGATGACTGGATGCTGATCAGCCGGCTTCGGCCTCGCGTAGGGACCTGGGAATTGTGTTTCAAAGACGGTTCGGAGCTTCAGCGCCCACGCGCCCTTTCTTTGAATTGTCCCACTTTTCATAATCTCGAAGCCTTTCCCGTCCCGCCCGTTCTCCTGATTGGGGTTGCTTTGCAGCGAATCGGGGAGCAGGGCCGGGCAGCCCCGGAGGCACGGACGAGCCGATCCTAATTCGAGTTTGGTCCCGATAAGCTTTTCCGACCATTTGATGCTTGTTGCAACGAGGGATTGGATCGTCGTTGGAGCAAGAGATGCCGCCTTTTCTTCCTCATCCTCCTCTTCTCACCCCAAAATCCCCCCCAATCACCAGATCACAACCCTTCCCCCGCAACCTGGTCCTCGGTACTGGTAGCATCATGTGCTCACACGCATATGTGTGGTGAGCCTACACCTTGCATGAAACAAACCGCAGAGACCTGGATCCTTGGAGGTAAGGTACGACTAATATGTCAAATGTTTGGCACCAACGCAGAAGCTAAGGGCCTAGCGACTGGAGCCAGGCGTAGCAGAGTTTCGGCCACGGCCTCAGGCGTCCGCAACATTATCATTGCCCCTAGTGGCGTAATGCCGATCCTGAAGCTTCAATCTGACTGTGGGTTCAATCATGAACTGTAGTCGCACTGCAGTCAGCGTTTCAGCCTGGTGGCAGGGACTCCTGGTGGGAAACCTGTTCGTCTCTTGGAAGCAAGGTGCCGATCGAAGAAAATAACGGAGTAGGGTTTTCCTGGCGCTGGATCAAGAAGTGTTGGGGGTTACGCAAAGGCATGTTCATTCCCGTAACAACTTGTTTGACTTTCTATCTTACAGTAGTAGTTCGAGTATTCCGCGGCCAGTCGCCGGTGGACAGACTCCGTATTTCGAGCTTTTAGTGAGCGCGCTCGGACAGTTTTTGCAGTATTTGGTCGTTGGACACTTAAGCAACACGACACACTCCAAGAAAAGGTGCATTTCCAACATCTCGAAAGGCTGTGTCCACGTTCTGAGTCTTCTTCCCCTGCCCATGTAGTATCGAATTCGGCGTTGGGCCCGGAAGTGCATTAATTCCAATTCTTAGATCAGTCTTGGTGAACAGTCCAGGCAACTTCTCTGCGGATGATCATCTCTTGACTACCCTTGCTCCGGTCCGACTGGTTGTCTCTGGAAATAGACGAGGCCGCTTCATTCATATTAGGCGGATCGTTTCGGCTGACGGTGGCATTGTATTCAACCTCATCCGGCCGGAAGAGCGGTGCTGCTCCCGAGCCCGGTGTCTTGTCGCCATTCCGGGACCTCAGCGGCTTCATGCGAAAAGACGTAGTCGCGGAATGGGGGTTTGTTACACCGTACGATCTCGTGGTCGCGGGGTCGAGCGTCATGCCGATGGTGGTATCAAAGTTGAGGAGGAAGCTCTTCAGGTTGGGAATGGTGCAAGACAGGAGAGAGTAGCAAAGCTCGATTTGTTGGAAAACAATGGGTGCCGCAAGTCGGACGCCGGTGTTTGGTCGCACGGTGAAATTCCTCTGGTCCCAGACATGGACCGCGGCGAAGGAGATGATACTTTGATTGATTCCTCCTGTAAGCAATGGGTGAAGACAAAAGTTACAGATGTAGTGGCTGCTTACCCAAGTCGGAAGGCGAATGCTGCCACAATTTGCGTCTTCCTGCCCGGTTTCATTTTCAATCCCCAAAGAAGAGCAAGAACCATCGCTACCATGGCCACCTCGGTCAGAGCGTCGAGTATCCCAATAGCTTCCCAGCGAGGAACCTATTCACCACAAAAGTAAGCCACGCTGTCTCTTGAGAAACTTCGGCAGTTCGAGTGGATTGAGGGCACTTACAAAATTCGCGCAGAACTGGCCTTGGTAGCCCATCAAAGAGAGCAGAGGGCAGTCGATTGCAATAATCAAAATGGACGCCAGGCCCCAGACAGCACATATACCCAGGAGAATGTCGCATACAAGGGACCGTTTTCGCATGTTGATGGAGAATAGTCGTCGGATGAGTAGGGTCACCGATGCCTTGGCTAAAGTCAAAGATATAATGAAGAAGATTTCACCAGCAAGCACCGCCTAAAGAGAGTGTCAGGTACATCTGGTGGTATAATCCGAACTAGTAAACGCTCCAACTTACCCTCCCGATGGTCGATACCTGCGACGCTGTGAGGTGTTTATAGGATCTTCCCAGTCCCTTGGACGTCGACACCCAAACGGCGATGTATTGGGCCAGAGACATCAACTATTTCTTAGGTCAGTCGTGTGGCACAAGTAAGAAAGGAGTTCTGTTGTACAGTCGCCGCCCCAGCAAGCCAATCGTCTGGGCCCCAAGTTCTCCGTTTGATATAACCTCTCAATGCCATGGTCAAGATCGAGTAGATTCCGCAGAGAATCGACACGGTCCAGACCACGCCGCCATAGTCGTCGTCTGTAACGGTTGCAAAGCGAGGCCCGTCGCCAGATATTGAAGTCATTTTGTTTGGCTTCGATCCTCAAGCCGAGAGAAGAAGGGAGAAACCGTGACAGGTCATGAGGGAAGAGCCCGAGTAGGTGGGATAGTGTCCAGATATCATTGTCGAGCACAGATCGCCGCAGGACGAACTACCTACTTGTCCTGTTCACACGGAAATTACGGGCCGCGCTGAATGGCCGCCCAATAGCCTTGCCAGGCAGGATATGGCTTGCAGCGAATACTTCGTTGCATGGGTGGGAGGAGCAAGGCGTGTCTGATATCCCCTGCATTAATTGCAACAGAAAACCAGGAATTGCTAACCCGACTTACCAGAGCAGACTAATGCCCTTGAGGGTTGGGCCTCAGGTGAGGCCTTAACAAGAGGCACATGGTGGAGCATTCTGACCCATACGCCTAGTGAGCCATCGGAACCAGCAATCCGGAGACCGCGCCAACGGCGAGTCCATCTTCAGCTAGCATGTCCAGGTTAGCACTGTTAGCTACAGGTAGTGTACATGCTGCGTCGCCACCTCTTGACACTCGCGTGGCCATTGGGCGTGGTGTAAGCGAAGGGACCTCGAGGATAACGAGGATGAACGGCGGGCTGCCGTCCCCATCTCTATCTCTCTTCCTCTCTTCCTTCGACTTTTCAATCGTTTTCTTCTTTCCAATCTTCAAAAGTACTCACCTGCTGTTCTCTGGCCAAACTGTCGATTCCCGAGATCTGAACATCACCATGGACAAGTCGTCGAAGGGTCTCGAGACCCAGGTCTATGCAGACGATATCCCAGACGGTGGGGCTGTGGTGAGCGAGAAAGATGGCACCATGGACGATGTCAAGGATATGCAGCGTATGGGTAAAGAACAACAGTTCAGGGTATGCTTTTCTGTCCTGGAGGAGGGTATTGCTGGAGAAGACCATACCATATACTAACATCTCTCTCGACAGCGAAACTTTGGGTTCCTCTCCATCATGGGTTTTGCTATGATTCTGATGAGCACGTGGGAAAGCCAATTGGGGTAAGTCCTCGAATCTCGAGCCAGCCTTGTCTCCAGGGAAGACGAAGAAGTACGCTCTTGCTAACTACCTATATCAACAGTACTGCTGGATTCGCTCTGGGCAATGGTGGCACTGCCGGCCTCGTGTATATGTACATTGCAAGTGCCATTGGCATGTCCCTCAACATCGTCTCAATGGCTGAAATGGCCAGTATGGCTCCCACGGCAGGTGGACAGTACCAGTAAGAGAACAACTCCCTTTGCATACAAACACACTTTCCGCACGAGGCTGAAATGCTAATAATTTCACGCAGTTGGGTGTCTGAGTTCGCACCACCACGAGCCCAAAAGTTCATTTCTTACTTCATCGGATGGGTCTGCGTGCTCGGTTGGCAAGCAGGAGCCGCGTCCAGTACTTTCCTCGCCGCCACCGAGATCCAAGGCCTCATCGTCCTGAACTACGACAGCTACGTCTACAAATACTGGCACGGCACATTGCTGACCATCGCCATCACGCTGGTCTGCGGCTTCTTCAACACCGTCCTGGCCAAGAGACTCCCTCTCGTCGAAGGCCTCGTCCTGTTCTTGCATATCGCTGGGTTCTTTGGCATCCTCGTTCCCCTGTGGGTTCTGGCTCCGCGAACTCCGTCACACCAGGTCTGGACCGTCTTCGAAGACGCCAATGGCTGGGGGAACATCGGCCTGGCGTGCTTGGTGGGCATGAACAGCCCCGTGCTCTCGCTGCTCGGCGCCGATGCTGCGACACACATGTCGGAGGAATTGAAGAACGCCAGCAAAGTCCTTCCACGAGCCATGGTCTTCACGGCCATCTTCAACGGGACATTGGGTTTCATCATGGTCATGTAAGTCGTATCAATCTTCCCCGCCTTCTATGCCTCTTCTTCTAACCACAGTGTGTGTGCCTTACAGCACCTTCTGCTACACGGTCGGGAACGTCGAGCAAGTCCTCTCCACGCCCACGGGATACCCATTCATCCAGGTGTTTTACAACGCCACGCAATCCAAGGCCGGCGCCACGGCCATGGTGTCGATCATGATTGCGCTGAGCACGTTCGGCGCCATGACCAACATGGCGACGGGTTCGCGACAGATCTTCGCCTTTGCCCGCGACCGAGGCGTCCCCTTTAGCAACTGGTTCGCCTACGTGCCCGACGGGTGGGACATTCCCCTCAACGGCGTCATCTTCACCGTCGTGGTATCCTGCCTCTTGTCGCTCATCAACATCGGCTCGCAAATCGCCTTCAACCAGCTCACCTCCCTGGGCCTCTGTGCGCTGCTATCCTCCTACATCGTCTCCATCAGCTGCATGGCCCTCAAGCGCATCCGCAAAGAGCCCCTGCTGCCGTCCAAGTTCTCCCTCGGTCGTTACGGCCTAGCCATCAACCTCCTCTCCGTGGGTTTCTTGTTGTTGGCCTTTGTCATGATCTTCTTCCCGCCCGGACCGAACCCGACGCCGCAGACCATGAACTGGGCCGTTCTCGTCTACGGATGTGTCGTCATCTTTTCTCTGACGTATTATGTTTTCCGTGGGAGGTTCAGATATGCTGGCCCCGTCGAATATGTCAGGAAGACGGTTTGAGTGGGGGGCTGCTTTATCAGCTTGTGGAAGAGATGCACAACCCTTCTCAGGAGTTCTACGTCCCCATCTGCCATCTGGCGCGTTCTCGTGGAACAGGGCCAGCATGTTTTGTACTGTCCATAATAATGTCCCACAGCATCCAGGGAGGGCTAGCTCTCACCTGCACCATCTCTTCCCAACTTGAAATCCCCTTTTTGACTTCTCCCTCCCTTCAAGTTAGACAGATAGACAAAAAAAAAAGAATGAATAAAAGCCCGCAGCTTTCTGGACCAGCTACTGCGGTATTGCCACACTTCTTCCTTTGAAATCTTCCGCAAAGACAAATGGGTGGACATGAGTACACCCTGGGCACCGATGTGATTGGAATGGCAAGAGCCTCCTGCTACTGCACTGGAAAGCATTTTAACACGCCCCTACCCCGCGTAGGAGGAGAATCTTCGGTCTCAAGGTGTGGCTTGGTTAAACATAGCAGTATCGTACGACGTCCTGGGACCTGATACACCCCTATCCTCGCTGTGCTGGGGTACGCTGAGAGGAAGGCTGTAATCTGCACGACTAGGCAAAAGTCGGGAGACCACCAGTCGAGTCTCGGTGGTGGACACGGAGAGACTGATATTCACAAAGTCATCTCTTTTCGGGGGGAAGTTGGAGACTCTTCTTAAACATTCCTGCACAAAGTAGTGATAGTAAAACATCGTTTCCTATCTGCGAGACTTGCTGTGTGTCTGCCTCGAGAACGAGTTTGGTGGTAGGAGCTGGGGTCGGCGGAAGCATTAGCAACTCCTAAGCCGTGGTGAGCTGAGCCGCACATGTCTCGCCTTTCGGTGCTGATTCCTCATTTGGCCTATGGTATCAGGCTGGAAGAACCATAAAGTGTTTGGTATAGACAAAATTGGGATGGATATGGTGGAGAAAGGGGGAATGTCGACAGGTATGTGGCAGTGCCAACACCGGTCTCGAAGATGCGTTTGTGGTGGCCTACAGAATATATAGTATTAGAATGTCAGTCTATGTAGTGTCACGCACTTGAGTGAATAACTGTCGAATCTGAACTTGCACTCTCTCGCAAGATTCTCCATGCAACCTCTTCCTGCTGTTCGTTGATTTCTTCACCGGTCCAGAGTCTCCACTGCTCTTTTAATTGGTGTCCCACAACCTGAACCCCGTCAACGATCTGCCAGCCATGCTGCTTTGCAAGCTGCAGATTGCGTGTCATTAGCGGGTGGTAGCACATGTCCAGCATAAGCGCCTGATGCGGTCTCTCCTTTGTGAGAAATTCGATATACACGGACCTGGCTTCAAGTTCTGCCAGAGTTCTTGGTTCAAAGTCAGGAACAGTGCTCACAATCCAGTGCGGGCACAACAGGGTCTGGGCCTGCTGTAGGGTCTGTACGTGGACGATATTTGGTCGGTTTGGCGTTTTGTAATGGTGCACGTCTTCGACCAGCCCTTCAACCTCGCCAGCATCCCGATTGATTATGTAGACGTCCTTGCACCCCAGCTCCATAAGAGCATATATTGCGGCTCGACTCGCGCCACCCGCTCCAACGACCATCCCCCTAGGCCCCTGGCCAGGGTCAGTGGTGGGTGCTCCTTGTAGGAGAACCTTTTTGATGCCAACCCAGTCAGTGTTGGTTCCCCTCAAAGTCCCATCATCGGCAACAGAAACATGGTTACAAGCACCGAGCTGATCAACGAGATCGTCAACATGATCCAGACACGGAATGATAGTCTTCTTATAGGGCATTGTGACAACACCTCCCGCAAAATCCGGAGCGTGAAACGCGTCCGAGACCACCTGGAGGGTCGACGCTGCCAGAAATGTCATTTTCCAATCGCGTTCGAGACAATGAGCGATGAAGTCGTGGGCGGGGGGTGCTATCGAGCCGCCTCCTGGGGCGCCTGCTATGAATAGTTGGGTTCGCGCTGTCGAGTCATTTCCCATGGTGATGTAGTCGCCTGTCAAATAGAGGCAATGCCGGATTTAGAAAATCGAAGTTGGCCGCAATGCAAAATCCCGATGCTTACAATGAAAATGGGTCTGCACCTACTGAAGAAGTTGAAGGTACTAATATCGTATCTCTTCATGGAAATCCGAAAGAACCGACATAGAGCGAATGAGGTATTGAAATTTGCTTCCATGCAGTTTCATGCTGCGAAAGAGGTATATACATGGGGTTAGGACAGTGACCCGCCAGCAGGCTCCGAAAGTTGTTTGTCAGCCCGTAGGTGAACCCGTGCATCGCGGAAAAATCCATAGCCGGCGGTTGACAGGTCGGTTGCTGGGGTCGAGCTTCATGTGCGGAGAGAACTCGGCTCATCTCTGTACGAGAAGCCTTCGAAGCGGGAGGGTTGGAGATGCAACCCCATATCCAACCATTGGTCTGTGGGCCTTGGGTGGAACAAACATCGTTGGTGGCATCCACTTGCAATATTTGTCGGCTTGACGGACAAGGGAAGCTGTCAGTCGTAGGGTTCATGTTTTTTGAGTATTCCCAGTTCTATCCGAACAAATGATTCGACCTGCTATAGCCTCATTATCCCTGGGTGCCCCTGCTGTGCACGACATCTCGATAAGACTGCGCACAGCAGCACGAAATGGGTTCCATGGGGTCGAAATTATAGACACCGACATCGACACGACCGCAGAGAAGCTCACAGGAGGGTTGATTTATGAGAACAGGCTGCAGGCCGCAAGGAACATCCGAAAGCAGTGCGATGAGCTTGAGCTGAGCGTCGTAGTCTTTCAACCATTCCGACAGTACGATGGTTTACTCGATCGCAACCAGCATGCGGCTATGATAGAGAAGCTCCGACTATGGTTGGATACCGTCAAGATCTTGGGGAGCTATATCATTCAAGTGCCGACAAATTGGTTGCAGGAAGGATCAACGGGCGACGAAGAAGTCCTCGTGGCCGATCTCAGAGAAATGGCCGACATGGGTCTTGCACAGCACCCCGTAGTCCGGTTTGCTTATGAAGGAGTAGCTTGGGGCAAATATATCGACACATGGGAAGGCACATGGGAGATGGCAAAGAAAGTTGACAGACCTAATTTCGGGCTTTGCTTGGACACTTTCCACATAGCTGGTCGAGTATGGGGAGATCCCACCGCACAAACGGGGCGCGTTGGTGACGCGGACCGGGCTTTGGAGGCGTCTGTCCAGCGTTTGATCAAAGAGGTAGATGTTGAAAAGGTGTTTTACGTCCAGGCGGGAGACGCAGAGAAGCTGGATCCGCCACTGAGCCCGTCTCATCCCTTTCATTCTGTCGACCAGCCTGCAAAAATGAGCTGGTCGCGAAATGCGCGACTGTTTCCGTACGAGGAAGACAGAGGCGGCTATCTCCCCATCGAGCCAGTGATGAAAGCCATTGTTGACGGGCTGTGTTATGATGGATGGGTTAGCATGGAGCTGTTCTCGTGGGAGCTGTCGCAACCCGACCCTGAGTTGCCGTCACGGTATGGTGCTCGGGCTTCAGCATCATGGAAGAAGATGGCTGCAGCGTTGAAGCAGTGAGAACGGGTGAGAGAGGCGTACTCAGTTCTTCTATCGTCTGTATACACATCTATTGGCACGTGAATGAATCATGGGATGTATTCTTTGGGGACCGCGACGAAGCAGCGGAGGTCGAGCAACGGCGTCCGATGTGATTGGCTGATTGGGACGTGGCTCTGTGGTTGGAAAAGTTGCATCTCCATCTCCATCTCCATGACCGTCTCCGTCTCCATCTGCGCATAGGCTTTCAGGGAACTTTCTTGTCTTTTAGTGACGATTGTCAATATTGCTCTTCCCTCGACCCTTCGCTCCCAGTCCACCCTTCATCCTTTCCATCGCCATCCTTCTTTGGGTTATCGACGGCTGGCTGTTTTAGGCTTTTTTTCCTTCTGTACATTAGACTTCTCTGCCCTCCATGTCCGAAGCTGCCATCGATGCCGCCCGCGCACCTGCGTCCCTCTGGGATCGCGTGTCGAATTGGGTCTCTGAGAACAAGGCGGTCGCATACACCATTGCTGGAACAGTAGTTGTCATCACAAGTGCCGGAGCCATCTATTATTTCTCGAGTCAGAAGAGCGGTGCTCCTGCTACTCCCTCAGAAAAGAGAAAGAGCAAGAAGGAGCGACGGAAAGAAAAGAAAGCTGCAGAAGAGGCACAGAAGGCCGGGATCAATCTCAAAGATGAGGAAGCTGGTGAGACAGCTTGACCCAGAAAAGCATTGGAGAACAGGACTGATACACAACGCAGGCACGGCGCCTCGAGCTGCGACCGTTGAGACCGAGGATGAATTGCCAGAGATCAACGAGTCTAACATCGAAAGCTTCTCGAAAGAGGTAGAGTTGCCTGCACCATTCTCACTGCGCGAAGCTGACCACGACCGTGAGTAGGAAAGAGCAACATATGCCGGCAAATTAAAGGCCGCCGGCAACAAGGCATATGGATCCAAGGACTACAACAAGGCCATCGACCTTTATGGCAAAGCAATCCTCTGCAAACCCGACCCTGTCTACTATTCAAACCGAGCCGCTTGCTATAATGCGCTGAGCGATTGGGACAAAGTCGTGGAAGACTGTACCGCAGCCATCTCGATGGATTCGGAATATGTCAAAGCTCTAAATCGCCGTGCCCACGCCTACGAACACTTGGGACTCTTCTCCGAGGCTTTGCTGGACTACACGGCCAGCTGCATCATCGATGGATTCAAGAACGAAAACAGTGCCCAAAGCGTCGAGAGATTATTGAAAAAGGTTGCTGAAAAGAAGGGCAAAGCAATCCTTGCAGGCAAGAAAAACAAACTGCCCGGTGCAACTTTTGTCTCAAACTATCTCCAGAGTTTCCGCCCAAGGCCCCCACCTGCAGGATTGGAGGAGAACGCTGAGCTCGATGAGAACACCGGTAAAGGCCAGCTTCAGCGTGGCTTGATCGCCATGCAAAAGAAGACGGCCGAAGGCTACGATGAAGCTGCGGCAAACTTCAAGAAGGCTCTTGAGCTCGGAGATTTGGGTGAGCATGAGGCTTTCGCCTACAATATGCGTGCCACGTTCTTGTACCTCGAGGGCGACATCGCCAACGCTCTCGATGACCTCAACAAAGCCATCGAGCTCCAACCTTCTCTCACTCAACCATACATCAAGCGTGCTAGCATGCAGTTAGAGTTGGGGAACAAGGACCTTGCTGCGGAGGACTTTGAAAAGGCCATGGCACAGAACAAAGATGATCCTGACATCTTCTACCACCGAGCGCAGCTGCATTTCATACTGGGAGAATATGCCGACGCCGCCAAGGACTACCAAAAGTCCATTGACCTAGACAAGGATTTCATCTATTCGCACATCCAACTGGGCGTCACCCAGTACAAGCTTGGCTCGATCGCGTCGTCGATGGCAACATTCCGACGGTGTGTGAAGAATTTCGACAAAGTGCCTGACGTCTACAATTACTACGGCGAGCTGCTGCTCGATCAACAGAAGTACCAGGACGCCATTGAGAGATTCGAGACCGCCATCGATATGGAGCGCCAGACGAAACCCACCGGGGCGATCAATGTGCTCCCTCTCATCAACAAGGCATTGGCACTCTTCCAGTGGAAACAGGACTTCAAGGCGGCGGAGGAGCTTTGCGAGAAAGCGTTAATCTGTAAGCCACTCCTCAGACCAAGTGGTACCCGGGTTGGATACTAACGTGATTCTCTAGTGGATCCTGAATGCGATATCGCCGTAGCCACGATGGCTCAACTCCTCCTCCAACAAGGCAAAGTGACTAAGGCCCTGGAGTACTTTGAACGCGCCGCCGAGCTGTCGAGAACAGAAGGCGAAATTGTCAACGCGCTTTCCTACGCCGAGGCCACACGCACGCAGCTGGAGGTGTCACAGAAGTATCCTCAATTGGCTGCTCGTCTGCAACAAATGGAAGGTGCCGGCCTCGGCGGACCTCAGTTGAGGTAACAGTGCCCACTTGATGGCATGGCTGAGTTTGCATAAGGTCTTGTTTCAGCTTTTTGTTCCCGGAGGATCTCCCTTCTCGCCGTCTTCTTGTTGGGGTTTGAATGGATACAGGTCCTTTATGCTGATGAGCGATCTTGACGAGAGATTCTTGACCTGTACGGGGTATGTAATGCGCATCTCTTCTTCTTGTGAATCCAGAGGGTAGACACCGAGATTCGCGAATATGGCGTTTGATGAGCATGAGGGAACAAAAGGTGTGTGTAGCAGAGTGTAATAACAAAAGAAATCTCAGATTTGGTTGTGTAGCTTTTGCCTGTGCACGGTCGTACCTCGTAGATTGTGACACATACCGAGTAATACCTCGTACTATCCACCTAGAGGCGGCCACAAGGCTGAGCCACGTTGTTGTGGCTGTTGGGGAGAACGAGGCTGGCCATGTACGTGGGTGGCTTTACCTATTGCTCAGATTCTAGGCAGCCACTAGGCGCTAGGTGTCCGGCAGTCGGGTGCCTAAAACAGCAACGGTTCCCTCCCCCTCGCCCCCTCCCTTGCTTCAGCTAGTCGTCCCTGGCGCAGGCGTGGGTGCCGTTGTCGTCTTATCGATTAGCTGGCAGATGCCTTGCCCCTCACTTGCAGCCTGCCACGCCTGCTACCGCTGAGCATCTGCGCCTGACTTGTGAGACCGCGTTCAAGACAACCAAGGCCCAACTGCCTCATCTCGCCCGCTGCCATGCCTTTCATCCATCGGCTGCTTCACCTCTCGACTTCTGTCAAGGCACTTCTTTGACTCTCAGCTTTCTGAGGTCCAACTCGACCAACAACCTTCTAACTCTACCCTTAGCGCACGGACGACTTCATCCCGAAAGCCAGCCTGATACAATCGACCCCCTCCCTCTCTATCTCTTCGGCTGCCTGCGCCCTGGACCCCGTTTGAACCTCATCTCAACTTCAGAGCCACGACTTCCAGGGAAAACGCAGCTATACCAACCTGAAGTTCATCTTCCCCGTACTTCTCTCTCATCAAGACTCCTAGAAGGAGTCTTGAGATTGACGAGTTCTCGAAGTGAACCATGGCTGACCACAGTTCATCCAAGTACTGTCCGTTCCACAGCCTCGCTCTGTGTCGTCTGAACTTCCTGGCTGACATGCCTCTCAGTAAACCTCACTCTGCGAGAGCTTGATTTCCGCGAACCTATCCCTAAGCGAACCCTCACCCTTGAGGCCCCAGACTGGGAGGTCAGAATCGGCCGGGGAACTGGGAGTCGTATTGAGGAACTGACTCCTGCTGAAAACAATGCCTGGTTTGACTCTAGAGTCCTTTCAAGACGTCATGCCGTTCTACGTGCGAACCCGACGACCAAGGTATTCCTTGCAGTATGTTGCCTGTAACCCGGGGGCTAACAATTCTCAGGAAATCCATATTGAAGATATCGGTTCTATGCATGGCACTTTCGTTGCTGGCAAGAGACTGAATACAAATCAAATGGAGCCCCTTTGGCCCGAGGACACCGTGACATTGGGCTCTGATGTGATTAGAGGAAGCTGTGAGTACGACAACGAGGCCGAAGCAGCAAGTACTGACACCCTCCCAGCCCACTTCAGTGCTCTGAGGTTCAAAGTCAACTGGACTTGGTGCGATGGAGCGTAAGCGTGCTTGATCCTAGTGTTCTGGGAAATCTCACTGACTCTTTGTGCTGCAGTCTTCGCCAACCAGACCCAAACCAGGCGAACGCAGGGATGTATCAAAACACCTTCTCAGCAGATTACACTGATGAGGAAGCATATGGTGATCATCCTGCCCAAGTCTTGCACAACCCAAAAGAAGACGAATACGACTTCCGCGAGAAGAGTATTGATTACCATTCGGAACTCGACGAAGAAGTTCAGGTCATTCGAGATTCCGTCCGTGGACCCAGCATCGAAATCGTCATTCCTGGGGTGCGCACCTTCACCGTTCCTGAATCCGATGACGCATCGAATACTCCAAGTCACGATTCAGGCGCAGATGTCTCTGACGAAGACAGCCCAATCACCAGCCCATTGATTCCAAGCCATATTCAGGAAGACAAAGACGGCGCCCCGGCAGACATCCCCCACATATTCCATGATGCTGGCTTCCACACCACCAATCCTGATCACGCAGACCCTTCTCAAGTCCTTGTCCCCAGCTCAGCTCAGCAAGCAGATCTGCTTCCAACCATGGACGAGGACGCCCCAGAAGAAGATTCGTACGGAGATGATGAGCTTGAGAACGAATACTCGGACTCCCTCAGCTCGCTTCATAATCCTTCTATCACGATTGAAAATTCTGAACAATATCTTGCTCGGACGAGTCTTTCGGGCATGGGCGATCACCCAGAACATGCTCGAGCCCCAAGCCCATCCGACGCGGCAATGGTCAAGCCATCGATCGAACCTGGATTCCGTGCTACATTGGCCGCTCCTCCCTTTCCGAAATTTGATTCTTCTGGCCAACAGCCTGTATTGATGGACCAAGACGAAACAGGAGGTCGCTTAGGCTCTGCATGGGCTGGTCACAACTCAGTATTGTATGAACCAGTCGCACAGCATGTTGTATCGGAACAGACAGCATCAGCCTCCTACCATGCTTGTGCTCCTCATGCGACGCTCTACCCTGATCTGTTCACATTTCAAACCCCCACAATGTCAACTAAAGCACCACCGGCCTCAAGTCTCTCGATTGCTGGTCTTATTCGGCAGCTGCAAGCTGTCAAAGACGTGGACGGAGCAAGGAAGCGCAAAGCTGATCAGATCTCTTCAGACGAACGTCTGGATCCAAACACAGCATCTTCTGACTCGTACTCATCCGAAGTTGGAGACATGCTTGCCACGACCGCCACGAGCAAGGTTGGAGGTGCCAGAAGTGTGATTGAAGACAAGTCGATAAACCCGTCAACCTCGGCTTCGGAGGTCGCTGAGAGCCCCTCAGCTGATGATATCGAGATGCCACTACGGAAGAAGGCCAAAAAGGACAAGGTCAAGGCTGCTGAGCAATGTGGCACCGGCTGTAACAGTTTCGTCACGACGGCTGGAGCAACCATTGCTGGTATGGCTATCGGAGCTGTCGGCATGTTCATTGGTCTTCTCGCTCTGCCGGAAGACTACTTTATGTGAACGACTTTACATCATTTCTCGGCGGAGTCGACGGGATAATCACGGGCTGTTGGGGATTGCTATGGCTTCTAATGCTTTCGGGGACTACAGGTGTAAGTTCTCATGGACATTATGTAAGGGACGGGTATGGATGAGACAGGGGTATCAAGTTATCGAAGTTGATCTTTATGGTCCAAAGGATTGGGCGACAAACGCGAAGCCAAGAGAAAAGGTCCTGTTGGAATTCATGACGGATGGGAGCTTTCGTGCCACTGGCGATGAGTGACACATCGTCCAAGATCGACCTTTCCCACCATGTGGCGAGAAAAGGAGAGTCAAGATCAAGATCGGAGATGGTCATTGTCCCATGGAGTGGTTCCGGGCTGATCAAAGTCGTAGGGGCTTGTGGGCTGTAGACACGGGCATTGCATCAATTCAGAATACAGTAATATGTTCTAGTTTCCTCCTATTTTGAAGGCTTTTATACCCAGGGGCATCCATTGCGTTTGGACAGTTTCGATACTATCATACAATCTATTTACACGACAAATGAGTCGAATCGCAAGAAATTGGCTTGAATATTGTCAGAGAGATAGATTGATGATCTGGTATTGACATTAGCTACCGTCGTCGGGCTTTCCCGTCTCTCTATATCCCCCAAGTTGGTCGGTTGGTGTGTTGGTTTGCTAGTGGTGAGCACGGAGGATCCCAAGGCCCTTCCTTCGTGGAGAGAGAGAGAGAGAGAGAGAGCTTTTCCACATGTTCCAGCGCGTAGTGCCCCTGTCCGTTGTGCCATTGCTTGATAGCTGATTTTTCGCCTATGTCGTAGGCTCGATATGATTACCTTTTTCGTGTCTTCATGGCTCATTTCATCTCGTTTCCTCATTTTTATCTCATTACCAGAATTTCATGCGCTCCTGCGGTATAGGCACATGTTATAATCCCATATACAGAGAAAGCCCGGATGGGTTTCTCCTATAGTATGCCTGTACCTTTTTGCATCCGGGGCCTCGATCCAGCACAAATCCCGATGTCCATTTTCCCATTTTCCTGTGCCCATTTCCCTGGCTCTTCTCTTCGTTTTTGTTGTCCGCCGTCATAGATCGATTCGCCGTCGCGGTGGGGATTCCGGATCCCTAGGTACATACTACCGTTGTCCCGATTTCGTGTCGTGCGTAAACTTGGTGTTTGTCTGGTTCGCCTTCCTGCCATAAAAAGCGTGAGAGATTCCCATGTCTGTGAGGAGTTGGTTTCCTTCCCGGGGTTGATGGTCCAGCGTGCTCTGAACTGAAAGTCAGCTCGGGCGCGTCATGACCGTTTCACGGAAAGTTCTGTTCGAGGGCAATAATGCTCGGTGATTGAACATTTCCCATTATTGATGACCCATACGGCCTGAAGCAGAGTACATGCATGTACGAGATGGAGGCCTCTTGCGGCATCGGTTAATGTCCATGTATCGATCCAAGGTTCGCCTTTAATGGCTGGTGACGACGCTGCACGTAGCCCAGCTGGTCGTGATTGGACTTTTCGACCTCTCACTTGGGGGG